TCTTCTTCTTCTTCTTCTCCGTATTCGTACATAAAACTCGGCGGTAGCCCTCTCGCTAATACATAAAACCCCCCATTGACAAAACAGGTCATGGTATCAACCTCTGGCGCACAGCTCCTCCCCCACGAAGCCATCAAGCACCTCTCTGACCGTCTTTTCTCGCGCACCACGCTTCTCACGCCCAACGTGCCCGAGGCCAAGCTTCTCCTTGCCGAGAATGGCATTGCCGAGCAGCGTCTTGTCGACAATGTGCGCAGCGTTGACGAGCTCGAGGCGCTCGCGCAGACGATTCGCGACCGCCTCGGCCCGCGGTGGGTGCTCGTCAAGGGCGGGCACGTGCCGCTGCGCGCGGCCGACATGACGGCTGCCGCTGCCGGGGACGAGGACGAGGACAAGGACGCGGCGGACAAGATTGTGGTTGTTGACGTGCTGGTTGGGCCCGAGGGAGAGGTGGTCAAGGTGCAGAGCCCGTTTCAACCGAGCACGAGCACTCACGGCACGGGTTGCTCACTGGCGTGTAAGTCAAAGCTTTTTTGAAAAGAATTTTTAACTTTTTTTTGCGGGAGTTTGTTTTGCTGATCAATGTTGCTGATGTTTTGTTTTTTTGCTTGTAGCGGCGATTTCGGCACACTTGGCCAAGGGGCAGGACGTACCTACGGCGGTGCGCGCGGCGTGTCGGTACGTAGCGGCGGGTATCCGGACGGCGCCGCGGCTCGGCGGCGGCAACGGGCCGCTGAACCACTTTCACTCGTTGTACGCGCTGCCATTTTCGCCGTACGTGCCCTCCAACTATTTTTTTTTTTTGCCAAAACCGCCCTGATCAAGATTTGTGCGCTGACATTTTATTTTCTTTCTTCTTTTTTTATCAAGTGGTTATTTTGTCGAGTATCTTTTGGAGCGGCCCGACGTGCAGCCCGTGTGGAAAGAGTTTGTCCATCATCCGTTTGTCATGGCCTTGGGCAACGGGACACTGCCTCTGGAATCTTTCAAAGGATACATCATCCAAGACTATTTATTCCTGGTAACGTGTCTTTTCTTTCATAATGTCATTGTAAACCTTGGAGCTGATGAATGGAATGTTTAGGTACAGTTTGCGCGTGCGAATTCTCTAGCAGCGTACAAGGCCAAGAATATCACCGACATTCAACGAGTACGCGGTTTGTCCAAGACTCTCCTTGAACCCAAGTTTCATCTACTTACACTACTTACAATGATTATGCGTCTAGTCCAACGAGATTGTAGGCCACATTGTCCGCGAAATGGACCTTCACATCAACTACTGCAAGGGCTTTGGCATCTCTGAGCAAGAAATCCAAGCCACTCCAGAACTTCAAGGTATCTCCCCCTTTTATGCTTACTGATATATACATGCTCACCCAAGACGTACACATATTCAAAAAACTAACACAACTCTTCACCTCCTTTCAGCTTGTACCGCCTACACTCGCTATGTCCTCGACATTGGCCAGTCCGAGGACTTGCTCGCGCTGCAGATAGCCCTTGCGCCGTGCCTGCTGGGCTACGGCGCCGTCGCGCAGATGCTCGCCGCCCACCCGGCTACTGTCCGCGATCAGCAGGCCAACACGTACTGGCCGTGGATAGAAACCTATGGTGCGGCAGACTATGTTGAGGCTGTGCGTCTCGGCTCCGGTACGTCTTTCCCCCGTCCCTGGCACCCGCTTTTTGTTCAATGTGTCCGGCCCGGGAGCATCGAGTCCCGGGATAGTTTTGCGACGATTTGTTGTTTTGTCTTTTTCAACCCATGTTGCTAGACTTCGACGTGGGGGGGGGGTGCAAGTGTAGCGTACTGGGTCTGACACTTTCTTTGCAGATCTCATCGAGAAGAGAATTCGTGACTGTTCGCCTGCGAGAATAGAGGAGCTGGTCAAGATCTTTATCCACGGAACAAGGGTTTGTCTTTTTTTTATTTTTTTTATTTTATTTTTTTTTTTTTTTTCCTTTTCTGACGACGAGTGCTGACGCAATGGTAGATGGAGATTGGCTTTTGGGAAATGTTTCCGTCGAAATAGATTCAAATTGGGAATATCACGAAATGTTTCCATCGAATTAAATTCAATTGGGCATATCACGAAATGTTTCCCTCGAATGAGATCCGAACTGAGCACATGATGAAAAGCTCCTGTCGAAATAGAATGATGGAGTAAATCATGGAATACATGGCCGGAAGTTTATATAGACCAACGACACACGCAAACTCTTCTGAAATTTAGGACTGCTAGCCAACATGCAACTTGAAATCACAGAATTTTGTAGTCCATCGCAGACATGAATCTCTATATAACTGTCTTTTCTTCTTTGCAAAGTGGTATTTTCTTACTAGTGGTATTTTCTTGTAGTGGTATTTTTCTTGCTAGTGGTATTTGATTACATTCGGCATCACCTCTATATTCCTCTCACAAAAAAAAAGAAAAAAAAACCCCCCCGTCTCATCAACGAGCCGCCCCAATCGTCCCGCTTAGCACGCTCCTCGTCTGAGAGCCCCAGTCGCCGGCGTCTCCCTCCCCAGTTTCCGTATCCTCGACTCTTCGCGGCACCTCGCCATCCGGCATCATCAGCCGAAAGTCCTGCTCCGGAGGTATCGCCGGCACGGGCGGCGGCGTGCCCGACTCATCAGCGGCGTCCTGCTCGCGCTGCTTCGCGCGCTTTACGCGGCCCGACTGCTGGCGGACCCATGAGTTGACGGTGCGGAAGCGCGGCGGCGAGTCTTCAGACGCTTCGGTAAAGACGGTATCTCGGCGCGTGTCGCCGCGAGTGGTGGTGGTGGTGACGGTCGTGGCGGTGCTGTGTCGGTTATTACTGCTGCTGCTGCTGTTGTTGTTATTGTTGTTGTTGTTATCGTTGTTGTTGTTATCGTTGTTGTTGTCGCTGTGGCTCATGACGTTTTGAAGCTTGCTCGACGTGGTCGACTTGCGCGCCTGTTTGGACGGCACAAAAATGTCGCCGTCGCCAAAGCCAGACGACAAAGACGACAGATCGCTGATGCGGCGCGCGCCCCCAGGGGCAGAGGGCAAGGTCAGATTGTACTCTAGAGCGGTGGAGGAGAGGGACGGCTTGGTGACGTGGCCGCTGCCTGCCAGGTGTCGAGCCTGCGAGGCAGAGCGCGCTGGCGGCATCGCCGTCGGGCTGATTGGTGTGTCGTCGGCCGGGTCTGCAAAGGGTGACTGTCCCCGAGAGTCGGAGCCAGGCTCTGCTGCCCGAGCGTTGGCTTCTGCGACTGAAGAGATGCCCAGCGCCGAGGCGTCTAGATTATTCGAGGAGACGCCGACTGTCGAGAATGTGCCCCCGACACCAGCGGTGCTGTTGAACTTGGAGGCAGCTGAGCCTGTACGTGTAAAGCTAGTTTGTATCGTGACGGGTTCGAGCTTGCGATTCTCATTGGCAGCCGGATCAAAGCCAGCAGAAGAAGCTACTGCGTTGGCAGCACTCTGACTCTTCTCCGTGAAATAGTCGCCGTATGGATCCCCGAGATGGTCCCATCTGTTCTCGCGGTCGCGGGGAAACTTGTCGCGGAGATAGGGAATCCGTCTGGCAACATTAATAAGACCCTGTTTTGTTCTACCAAGTGTTGATTTGAACAAGTCTTTGGGTGAGTCGCCGCCGCCGCCGCCGGTAATAACACAATCAGGGTTCATGATTCGCCTGCGTCTTCGCCAGAGAAAGTATCCAATGCCAACAGCTGCAGAAACAGCGACTAATGGGTACTACAGTTAGCAAAACCGCTGCGTTCCGTCTCCGTTGCATCAACATACTTAATACGCCTATGGACATGACAGCATCTTGGCCACCGGTACTGAGTCCGCCGCCGCCACCACCACCACCACCACTACTCTCCTCCCGGTCCGGACCGTTGGGGTTTAAGTCGGCGATTGGCCCCCCTGTCTGATTGGGTGTCATGTTCGAGGTCGGAGAGATGCTGGTAATCATTGTGGTACGGTCAGGGGCCACGGCAAATGGTGGCGTCGTGTCATTGTTGCTGGCGGTTGTGCCCTTTTTGATACCAGACGTCGCAGCCGGGAGAGGGTTAGTCAGGATGGGCGTCAGCTGTAGACGGGTGCCGCTCGGGCCAGTAATGGTTGCGCCAGGGACAAGAGTGCTGAGCGAAATCTTTTGGCTGTCATCTGTGGGGGTAGGTTCTTCATCTGATGAGCTTGCCGAATAACTTTCAGCCTATGGTGTGTTAGCTGCGTGTGCATGTTACCATTGGGGGGGACGATCTAGTACCGATGAGCTGAATCCTGATTCACTGGAAAAGTCACTGGGAGGCTGCTCTGCCTTGGGAGGGGGTACATCCTCAGCTGGGCTGTCGGTGATTTCTGGAGGAACAGGGTCATTGTAATAAGTTGATGATGGCGAGGGCGACGTCTCTGTCACTTGAGGCGGCTCCTGCGTCGGTGAAGGCGCCTCATATTTAGTCGTTGTGCTTGTCTTGCTCCCATCCTCGACCGAGTCTTCCACAGCGCTGGCAAGAGCGCCTCCAGCGCTGACGACGGCTTGGGCTGCTTCACTGGCGCCCTTGTGTATGCCATCCGACACTGCTTCCGCAGCGGCGCTCGCTGCGCCGGCGACCCCTTCGCCTTCCGCAAAGGCAGAGGCCGCAGCACTGCCCGAGTTGCTGAAGCCTTGTGCGACGGCATCTACGGCGGCGCCCACGCCGTGGGCAAAAGTCGATCTCGCCGCACCGAGTCCCTTTGCCAGGTTCTCGAGCTTTCGCTCTTGGAGCATGACACGAATCTCATGGGCCTCTTGGCTCACATCTCGGCGGGAAGGCCGCTCGTCACGTGGCGGTGATTGGTATCTCTGTCGGCCTGCGACACTGGCAGCTCGGAAGCGAACTCGCTGTCTTCGGGCAATGGAAGCAATCTCAACATCGCTGTCATCTTCTTGCGTCCATTCCGGGAAGAAGCGGGTTGGTGTTGGTGTGGTGGACTGCTTGTTGGCAGCTTGTTCGATACCGGCGGGAGCCATATTGAGATGGGGGGTTTAGCGGGGAAGCATTCGTCGTACAGGCCGCTTATCAATGAGAAGAGCCGAATGGAAGCATCACAATATGTGCCAACACTCAGCCGATGCTGTAGTTGGAGGACTTCCCGAGTATCAGGCTGTATGTTGTATGACAAAGGGTCGCGAGAAAGGCACAAAAGTTTCGAAGAGGAGAAATGAACAAAGTGAAAACGCAAATGACAGAGAAGAGAAGATAGTAATGAATGAGATGATTGAACGCAACGTTGCCTATTCTGGCAGGACGATTTGCATCAAGTCTGTAACAGTCTAAGTCATCGGGGGTGTTTACGGTATCCCAACCTGCAAAGCACCAACGGGGCGGCGACTCCGAGCACCGAGGAATGGAATTGTCTGTTAGTCGAAGGAATAGCTAGTCGGAGGACAGCTGCGCGAGACGCGAGCCAGGGGGAAGAGCTCCAGGGGCTCGGCTACGACTGAGTCCAACTCCTCCGGGCATGTTGTTTCCGCGCGAGGCATCACTTGCATAGCTAGTCAAAGCAGGGGCAAAATAAAAAAAAACGAATGCAGCAGTGTGTCAAGGCAAGGCAAGAGGTGTGGGGGAAAGAGGAGGGGGGAAACCAGCGCAGGGCAGAATTCCGTGGTCGGAAGCCGCCCATGTCTACGCGAAAGGAACGTCAAACTTCCGGGGGGCGATGACTTGAGACGGCAATGTATGAGCTACGTACCGGGTCGGGTCTCTCGCCCGGACGGTGCAAGTCATGACTGGGTTTTGTAGTTGACAAGGGGGGGAGGGCTAGCCGAACAGAAATCATGATGGGGGCCAAAGTAATACTAGAAGGAACCAACGATAAAAACATTTACAAAGATGTGAGAGAAGAAGAGGATGAAAAGGAAACTCAAGAGACGGTTTTCTGATTGGGAGGTTGGTGTCAAGCCGAGATGGGCTGGGATTGAGTGAGTTAGTGAGTCTAATCCGTACCTGTGACGCGGTATCGGATGGGATGGGCATGTTGGAACATGTTGACAATGATACGCCGCAAAAGGAAAGATATTCGCCATCTCATGCACAATATCTTGTAGGGCGAGCCTTGGGCTACCTCTTTTTCTGCATCTGCCAACTGCCATATAAAAAAAATCAAATGGATGGGCATGGATGGGTTGGCTGCGGCAGCTAACGATTTGATTTGTGGACACTAGACACTCGGCGTCGCAGATGCTTGATCGACGCGTTTCAGAAACGCACGCGATAGTGTCAGAGGCGAGCTTTACCACAGGGGTATGAGGCAAGGCATTTTGCTTCACGTGAAATTTCCTCGGTCAATTCCTTTTTCTTTTTTTTTCCCCCTTTTTTTTTCTTTTTTTTTAATTCGAGTGCCAAGGGATGCTAGGGCTCATGTCGGCTTTGTAATAGTAGTAGTCTTCATCTTTGCTCAGATTCAATGGCATCTTTACATCTACACCAACAGCCCTGCGAATCGCTAGAACGTGTGAGGGACAAGGCTGGGCATGGCAGAGAAGCGACCACTATAATGCACCTTGTTAGGCTAAATCAAAACTCCCTTTTTTTTTCTCATCTTGGCTGTTTATCCGATGCCGTAAATGATTCGTGTCCATGGCCCTGGGGCTAAACGTTGTTTGACACGGATAGCGTCGCCGCCTCCAGAAGCACATTATGCGGCCCGAATCCAGAGCTAGGGGCGGCAACATAGGCATGATGCCGCGATAACATATACATATTACTATTGCTTTGGGGGCTGCATGGACCTTTTGTTTTTATTTATTTATTTATTTATTGGTTTTTTTTTTTTNTTTTTTTTTTTTTTTTTGCTTGGAAACAAAGAACTTTTGTTCCGAGCCCAAGTCGGCGCTTGTTCTTGTGGCTTGGAGCTGCTTCTTGAGGCGGGGGCTCATTGATATCATGGTACATGTCATTCAATAAGACTTGTTTCAATCAATCATGTTCATTTTGCCCTCATTCTAAACTGGTCTTAACTGCCCAGTCAGCGTGCTGCAAGCAAGCAAGCGGCAGTAAGCGACGCAGCTTGCACTACCATGATACTGAGATTGATGCTGAGATTGATGCTGAGCTTGAAGCGGCGTGCAAGTAGCCCCGGCTGACTTTCAATCAAGTTTTAATTGAATCGCACAAAGAAAATTCTGCATCTATCACGTAGCTTCATGTATTTTGCATCATTCATCTCGCGGCAAGATACCGCGGTCCGGGTGTCGCGCCACTTGGGTCGAGTTTGTGTTGGTTTCCAAGTGATGTGTTGTAAGCCAACGGGCTAGACATTATTTCTTGAAACGGCATCCGAGTACACTATTTGTCTTAACCAGTATTCAAGTCTTTATGGTCTCTTCCGACTTGCAGCCAGGATTACATCTTTGAAAGAGGGCACGTTGAACGACTGCACACTCGTCGTCGGGTTGACAGTCCCGGGCTCTCCGGCCGAATTGCAGTTGCACCGATGCTTTTGCGTGCTTCCGTATTCTTACTTGTAGTTTCAGGCAGCAGTTTTTTACCTCTATTTCCATCTTTCCGGGCGCTTCAGTTGATGAAGGAGGTGCCTCCCGTTGGTTATGTGCGATGTTGCACATCCCGACATGTTCAGGCAGTCAATCAGCTTACCTGGTTAATCAGCTTCACCGGTTCAGAAAGTGTCTGTATCACCAGCTACCCGTATGTATTCTCTAGAGTACATAAAGTCTTGGATTTTCTAATAATCAAAATTCTTCACCATCAACTTGCCGTAAAAGTCAACCTAAGCAGACCTGCCACGCAACGTTAGCATCAAAATGCATTCGACAGAATGTGAGTGATCAAGTCCCTCTCTGGGTTTTTAACTTTCCACTAACATGATGAAATAGCTCCTGAGCTGGTCAACCCTGTTGCCGAGACTAAAAAATGTACACGATGCAAGGCAACCGTCACCATGTCTATAAGTCAGTGCTTGAAGTGTGGTGCAATTCTTCGTTGACAGCAAGCAATGTACACCTTCAGATCGGGGCCGCAGTTAAAATTCATTAGATGAGAGACTTCTTTAGTGTGTGAATATTATTCTTTGAATTACTCAAGAATGTTCTGGAAAGTGCGGTAGGGTAAAAGGCGCATTGCTGCCCTCTGCGCGCTCTCCCATCTGCAGCCACGTCAATCTCGGAAATGAGCAACCAGCAAGCACTCAAAGACTTTGAGACAGCTTTCAAAGGTTTAATCGAATTTTGATATTATTTTAAACATGTTTTTCCGGTAACGGCAGGACGAAGCACCATTTCCAAATGCACGCAGCTCATCAGATCAGACGCCTGGGTCACACAAACACTGGCTCGTGCGGAAGCAATAATCATTACCTTCAATAAATGCATGTAAACTATATAAGTACATGCAGTATACGGGGCCGGGAGTATTCTTCACATCGATAAACAAAGAAAAGGTGCCGGCGTCTCGCTCGGCTACCCTCTTTATCCGGTTTTCCTGCCGCATGCTTGCGCTACATCTGCAATGTACGGAGCAGAAGAAAAGGCATACAATATACGGTTCATGATTAGTACTTTTTCCAATGGTTTGATGCTCGACTGATGGACGCCTGAAGAATCTCGGCAGCTGTCAAGTACGCGCCGCGGACTAGATACAAAAAGTCATCACCGACCAACGGGAAATACCCTCAGATCTCACTCTTGACTATCAAAATGAATAGCCAATTCGGCTCTCTTTTGTTTCTAGCCTCTTAGAAGACTATAAGAACACAGTTCTTTCTGCTATCTAGGTAGTTGCTGCCGGCTACGTGGAGCTTTTGCAAACGAGGTCACAGAATAGTTCAAATAGAAGATTTACCAAACTCCATATAACTCTGCATTTTCAGACCGCAAGTCGACAGTCTTTTCTTTTCGACATTATTTTATATGCGCCTTGTCTTTGATCTGCACAAACACTCACACGCGCGGGGCAATTACGCCCCATTTATGCACCATTGGTTTGAGTGCTGGGAGCCTGATTGTGTATGTTACACAAGTAATCCCACTTCTCCCGTTTTAACCAAGTGCAAGACATTTTGTCCATGTAATATTCGGGACGGTGTGTCACCTGGCAGCCTACCTGGGCAACAAGTGGTTGCCTGCATTGATTCAACAATTCCACAACTTCACATTACAACAGTCAAGTTGAAGCTTACTACGTGATTTATTGCTGTATAGCACTCTTTTCTGGCCTCTTTACGACTGGCAGCTATGACGAGCCCTGTCCTAGAATCGGTGGAAAGCTTCGATGTTGCATACGAGTTTACCGCGACGACTTTCAAAAAAACATCTCGACTTCCCCATCCGCCAGAGACGCTACCGGACGGTAGAATCTTCATATGGTTTCGGTCATGGTGAGTGAGATTTCTGGATCAAACTGTAGCGACTGACGATGGACTGAACAGGAATCACGAGCGCATTACAAACGAGGCCAAGGCTTTGGAGTTTGTTGCCAAGAACACGACGATTCCTGTGCCGCGTCTGATTGAGCATGGAATACACCCAGACGGCCGCAGATATCTGATTACAGAGCGACTTGATGGCATCATGCTACACGACATGGAAGAGCAGGGCTGCTTGCGGCCGAAAGCCCAACAGCATACAGAGGACAAAGTGTGCAAGACGTGTGTTGATCAGGCTTACTCAAGCGCTCTTGCCTTCATCACAGACGTTTTCTTACCTCAACTCTCCAAGCTAAAGTCCAGAGAGAGGGGTCTAGATGGCTTTGTGATGCCACCTCGTTGGTTGTCCATTGACACACAACCCCCGTGGAAGGGCAACAAGGCGGCGTTTCAAACTCTGCCTCGCAAGACGGCCGAGTATATTTTTCAGCATGGCGACTTGGCGGCGCACAACATCATGATGGATATGGAGACGCTGCAGGTCAAGGCGGTGCTTGACTGGGAGTATGCTGGGTTTTACCCAGCTGGCATGAACAGGTGGTCCGGAACATTGGACATGGAGGCTTACCGCAACCTCTGCGTTGATTTGGGTCCTGCTATAGCAGAGTTTCTCGCGGAAGAATACCTGGAGTGCTACGAAACCTGGCCTGACAAGAAGCAGCTCGAACGTCTGGTGAGAGATGGAGAGATTCCCGACCCGGTCAAGCTAAAGAAGAAGCTTGGTTCTTGCTAAGTCGAAAACATGACTGGGATGGAGGCAGCTGGGCCAGCGGAAAACACGTGGACTACGACGGGTGAATGGGTGGCTTCAAAGGGGCTTGTATTCCCCAACGTCAGAAGAAAGAGCCTCTCCGCAAATCTATTTGCTGGGCAGTCATCAGAGTCCTTTGCGCATTGGTTGGCGCAAAGGGTCGGGAGCACCGGAGCACCTCGGCATGTGCAAAGCGCGCGGGAGCTACCGGGCCGCTTTGGCAGTCGGCAGAGCGGGCAGGGCGCGTGCAAGCAGAGTCGACGGGAGTTGAAGTTTGTAATGGCCGGAGAATCACGGATCAAGGAATCTTGAAACACAGATTCCCGTCTTGCAAGATAATGATCATGCGGCTGACGAAAAGGTCGCATGGCGCGAGGCGGAGGAAAGAGTAATGCAGAGGCGCCGGGACGGGCGCGCCAGTAATATGGCAGTCAGCTGGGCGGGGACAGGTGTGGGATTCTCACAAGCTTTGTGAGATGTGCATGTGGCAGCTCTTGGTCATGGTGAGAAGATAGCGTTCGAAGCGCAAACAAGGAATATTCTGGTAAATAGGTAGGGACAAGACTTCACGACAACAAGGTATATAGGTAGGTACCTCGGTAGGCAATGGGCTAGGGTTCGTCTATATCACGCACATAATTACTTACTCGTGTGCCCTTTTTTTCTATTCCTCCTTTCTACCCTTATCTACAACCTCATCTCGTCTTTGTAAAAAAAAAAATTCTTGGCCGTCCATCTCCAGTCTTATCGCAGACTGCGTCATTAACGAGCAGGGCCATCTTAGTCGATTACAGCGGGTCCTTAGCAGCCAACAGGGTCCCTTGGGACACAAATGACAGGCATCAAGCGCCTGCCGGACCCGCAACCAACCCCCCTGAAAGCTCTGTAATCGGACGGACAAGGCCGCTGAAAAAGAACATCCTCACCACTAAGAGGCCCGCTGAACCGCCGAAACTCCCCCCTGAGTCCCCCGAGAAGCCGCTGAACCCGCTCGAGCCTTGCAAAGCACCGTTAAAAGGGCCGTCAAAGTGGGCTTCTCTTACATTTGTTTGGCTTGCCTGTGTTCGGATTGGCTTGGCCTGCCAATTGTCCGAAAGAGAGATTTTTTTTATTCTTTCTTTTTAACGACCAATGACTGGCTCGAGCTTTTGACTCGCAAACAGCTCAAGCTCTCCCTTCCGGCCAAACTGGCTTTGCGCCTCTCTCTTCTCAACCACCATCCATCAATCCATTTCGCCAATTGCGAATGCACTCTGTGCAGTTAACCTCGGAGAATCCCATTACTCACGAATTCTTCATCTCGTCGAAACGAGCGCATTCTTTTTTGCATTGACTCGACACCTCTACCTTATCACGACTGCACAGCCCAAAGGAAAAAAATGGCCTCGTCATCGAGAGCCATGGCTGCCGTTGCCAGACCTGGTCTCCAGCTCGCCGGCTCCAACGCTCGCATCGTTGCCAGGACCTTTTCCGCCGCTGCGCGCGCTTCCTCAATTTCCTCGCGATGCGCCACCCGTCCCTCGCCCTCCATGAGACTCGCCGTCACCGGCCGCATCGCCTTTCGCAGACCCTACTCCGATGAGGCCCCCAAGCCCAGGCCTGGCAAGCTGCGCACAACCTTTCGCTGGATCTGGCGCCTCACCTACCTCTCCATCCTCGGAACCCTCGGCTATACTGCCTATGTCATCTACGACGACCGCAATCCCGGCGAGCAGTTTGTCCCCGATCCCTCCAAGAAGACCCTCGTTATCCTAGGTATGTGACATGACGCATCGTGCGGCCGACTACTCCGGTCACCGGGCCGCGACCCTCTACCCCCTCCAACTGCCATCTACTGACACTTAACTCCCAAAAAGGCACCGGCTGGGGTTCCGTCGCCCTTCTCAAGAACCTCGACACCGAAAATTACAATGTTGTTGTCGTCTCTCCCCGCAATTACTTCCTCTTCACCCCTCTACTGCCTTCGTGCACTACCGGCCTCATTGAGCACCGCTCCATCATGGAGCCTGTTCGCGCCATTCTGCGCCATAAAAAGGGTGCCGCCAACTTTTACGAAGCCGAGGCCACCAACGTCGACACGGAACGCAAAACCATCACCGTCGTTGACAAGTCCGAGGTCCAGGGCGCGACCAACACCACCGAGATCCCCTACGATATGCTCGTCGTCGGCGTTGGCGCCGAAAACGCCACTTTCGGTATCCCCGGCGTCAGAGAGCACAGCTGCTTCCTCAAGGAAATTGGCGATGCTCAGCGCATTCGCAAGAAGATCATGGACTGCGTCGAGACCGCCGCTCTCCGCGGCCAGTCCGAAGAAGAGATGAAACGCCTCATGCACATGGTCGTCGTCGGTGGCGGCCCTACCGGTGTCGAGTTTGCCGGTGAGCTGCAAGATTTCTTCGAAGAGGACATCAAGAAGCTGGTCCCAGGCATCAGCCCTCGCTTCAAGGTCACCCTGATCGAGGCGCTGCCCAACGTTTTGCCCTCCTTCTCCAAGCAGCTCATTGACTACACTGAAAACACCTTGCGCGAGGAAAAGATTGACATCATGACCAAGACCATGGTCAAAAACGTCACCGAAAACACCGTCGAGGCTGAAATCAGCAAGCCCGACGGCACCAAGGAGCTCGTCAAGATTCCCTACGGCCTCCTCGTCTGGGCTACCGGTAACGCTGTGCGCCCCGTTGTCAAGGACATGATGGCTCGCATCCCCGCCCAAAAGGACTCGCGCCGCGGTCTCGCCGTCAATGAGTACCTCGTCGTCCAGGGTGCCCGTGACGTCTGGGCCGTTGGCGACTGCGCTGTCGCCGGCTACGCCCCCACCGCCCAGGTCGCCTCCCAGGAGGGCAGCTTCCTCGCCCGTCTCTTCAACAACATGGCCAAGACGGAGAGCCTCGAGGCCCGCATCCACGACCTCAGCAGCAAGATGAACCTCAAGGCTGGCAACGCGGCCGACGACGCTCACCAGATTGAGCTCCTCGAGAAGCAGCTCCGCCGCATCAAGGACGTCAAGCCCTTTCGCTACTCTCACCAGGGCAGCCTGGCCTACATTGGCAGCGAAAAGGCCGTCGCCGACGTCAGCTGGTGGAACGGCAACCTCGCCACTGGTGGTAGCTTGACCTATCTCTTCTGGAGAAGTGCCTACCTCTCCATGTGCTTTAGCAGTAGGTTGTCTTCTACTTGCCACATTTTTCATATGCTAACCGAAACTTAGCTCGCAACCGTGTTCTGGTTATCCTCGACTGGCTCAAGTCCAAGGCCTTTGGTCGCGATATTTCTCGAGAATAAAAACTTGCCGCGCAAAATGCAGGCCCTCTAGACGGGGCCTCGGCAGTCAAGGCAGGAACACCGCCATCCGTCTGATGGGCAAAGACGGTACTCTTTGGGTGGGAAGCTGTTTCCCGGTGTTGGAGTATAATACGTGCATCCATTTTTTTCTTCGCGTCATGAGTTTTCTTTGTTCGATATCATAGAATTGGGTCTAGGCTCGTAGAGATAAAGAAAAGGACGCCATCACGCGTCCCGGTTCGGCCACCTGTTATCGGCCACGAAGCAGTTCTACTTTATTCCTTGCCCACCTTTGTAGGCGGTCGTTCTTCTGGTGTGACTGTGTGTGAATTGCTCAACTGGTACCTTGGTGCATGCTGTGGGGTTGCAAAAAGGGTGTGTCTAGTTCAACGTGGAGGCGCATACAAGAAGCAAAAAATCGAGGCAGCATTGCAGACGACGTCCCACATGCTACCAATCACGTCGTATGGACGTAACACATCCTATCACAGAAGCAGATCTACAGCAAAAAGGCCTCTACCTACCAAAGGTATGGCACACCCAAACCATGTTTGCTCTTCCGTGCCCTTCAAACTTTGTCCAAGTACAGGGTACTTTGGCCTTGAGAAGAGGCAAGTTCGGACGCAAGAGGCCGAGATATGTACAGACCCACAAAAGATTACCCAATCAATGAAGCGTCGTTATCTGACTTTTTTATTTTGAACCGAAAAATTTCCGCAGGCATGCTAGCACAGCAGAACCCCGTGGTTCGAGTCAAGTGCGGCCCATAAAAAAAAAAAAAGTTGGCTGCGGAAGGCCCGTTCAGAGGGCCAGGCTAAGAAAAATCTTTGTTAACCTTGCTGTTGCCCCTTCATACTCCCCTCAAACATCATCACCTTCTCATCACCTCCCCTTCTTCTCGTGCGGCAGAGGTGTCTTCCATCCTTTCAGATCTTGTATTCGGTGTTTCCTCTCCATCGACTCTTCGCTCTTTTCCCTCTCCATACTTTTTTTTCTGTAATACCTCGCTCGATCGCATTCCCCCAACACTCGACAACCCACCCGCAAACAAGCAGATCCAACAATGTCCAGCTACGGCGGTGATCGCGGCGGTCGCTCTGGCGGCTACAGTGGTGGTGGCGGCGGTGGCCGTGGAGGCTACGGACGTGATCGTGACGATCGCGGTGATCGCAACGGCGGCGGCGGCTACGGTGGTGGTTTCGGCGGAGGGTAAGTTCTTTGCCTTTGTTTCATCCCTTGTCCGTCTTGCAAGCCTGTTTGTTGGGCGCGAATGCGGCTGTGACGAAGTGTCTATTCAGCCTGCCCGGCGACAACACAAAGGGGGCAGCGTTTACATGCCAACCCAACAGCGCCTCCATAGACGAGACCCGATTGCACACATTTGCAGTCAGCTAACCCTTCCTTGTACAGTCGCAGCAATGGCTACTCCAACGGCGGATCCAACGGCTATGGTGGTGGTGGTGGTGGTTATGGCAGCGGTGGCTATGGCGGCAGCGGTGGTTACGGCGGCGGCGGCGGTGGTGACCGCATGTCTGCTCTCGGCTCCGGTCTGCGTAAACAGGAATGGGGTATGCATCTATACCAAATGACCCCACTACATTGTCAGATTCGCTAATTCTTCAATCAGATTTCTCTACCCTGCCCAAGTTCGAGAAGGATTTTTACAAAGTTAACAGCGATGTTGAGAACCGCTCTGATGCCGAGGTTCAGGCTTTCCGCACCAAGCACCAGATGACCATTGCTGGTAACAACGTTCCCAAGCCTGTAGAGACCTTTGACGAGGCTGGGTTTCCCCGCTACGTTATGGATGAAGTCAAGGCTCAGGGTTTCCCTGCTCCCACTGCCATTCAGTCTCAGGGCTGGCCTATGGCTCTCTCCGGTCGCGATGTTGTCGGTATTGCCGAGACTGGCTCCGGCAAGACCCTTACCTACTGTCTTCCCGCCATTGTCCATATCAATGCGCAGCCCCTCCTTGCCCCTGGCGATGGCCCCATTGTCCTGGTTCTCGCTCCCACCCGAGAACTTGCTGTTCAGATTCAGCAGGAAATCACCAAGTTTGGTCGCTCTTCCCGCATTCGCAACACCTGCGTCTACGGTGGTGTCCCCAAGGGCCCTCAAATTCGTGACCTTTCTCGCGGTGTCGAGGTCTGCATTGCCACTCCCGGCCGTCTGATTGACATGCTTGAAGCTGGAAAGACCAACCTGCGCCGTGTCACCTACCTCGTACTCGACGAGGCTGATCGCATGCTTGACATGGGTTTCGAACCCCAGATCCGCAAGATCATTGAGCAGATTCGCCCGGACCGCCAGACTCTCATGTGGTCTGCTACCTGGCCCAAGGAAGTCCGCGCAATGGCTTCCGACTTCCTTCAGGACTTTATTCAGGTCAACATTGGTTCCATGGACCTCGCTGCCAACCACAGAATTACTCAGATTGTCGAGGTTGTTAGCGACATGGAGAAGCGTGACCGCATGATCAAGCACCTTGAGAAGGTCATGGAGAACAAGGAGAACAAGATTCTCATCTTTGTGGGCACCAAGCGTGTCGCCGACGACATTACCCGATTCCTTCGCCAGGACGGATGGCCCGCCCTTTCGATCCACGGTGACAAGCAACAAAACGAGCGCGACTGGGTCCTCGACCAGTTCAAGACCAACAAGAGCCCCATCATGGTGGCCACTGACGTGGCCTCGCGTGGTATTGGTGAGTATCATACCTATCCCCCCCCCCCCTCATTTGGCGACTTTCAGCAAATCACGTGTTATACTTGACTCTTTTGTGTCTAGGGGCCATCTTTACTGCGCGCAATTGCCTGGAATGACCGTATCCACGTGGTTCTCAATGCTTGGAGTCTCGATCCGTTGTGTAGCCGCACCATTGCTATACTCGTATTCCACCCTTATACCCATTTCTCTCACCGTGGTATGAGTGTGGAGGTGGGCATCTCTTGACCCTGATCAAGCTTGTTGTCTGCCTAGGCTCCCTGATCTCCGAGGACGACCTGTGATTGCATTCGTATTCTCCAGGACTGGAACTTGCATACAAACCGCAATTGGATTGCCCCCCTCGCCCTTCGCTTTTAGCAAATCGGGATGATGCATCTGCAGACTGGCCGACGCACCTAGCCAAACCTATCTAGAGCTGTGGAAGCTGTCTGCACGACTTGACACTTTAGCGCTGGAACAACTCGCTGCTGTAACACGCCTACGTGTGTATTTTCGACTGCTAACATGTTTCTTTTCTCTGAAAAGATGTTCGTAACATTACCCATGTGCTCAACTACGACTACCCCAACAATTCGGAGGACTATATTCATCGTATTGGTCGTACCGGACGTGCCGGCGCCAACGGCACTGCCATTACGTTCTTTACCACTGACAGTAAGTTGCGAACAACTGATGACAAGGGAGGCTCCCATGTACTAACAAGTTGAAAGACCAGAAGCAGGCTCGTGAGCTTGTGAATGTTCTTCAGGAGGCGAAGCAGCAGATTGACCCTCGTCTGGCTGAGATGGCTCGCTTCGGTGGCGGCGGTGGCGGCCGTGGTTATGGCGGCTGGGGACGTGGTCGCGGCGGTGGTGGCAGAGGTGGGTTTCGCCGACGCTGGTAGAGGAATTTGGAGGACGACAATTCTGACGCCGACATTACCAGGTGGTAACAACGCCAACAACATGCCGCTACGCAGCCGTCGCTGGTGAAGAATGCGTAACGTAGCACACATCTGAGTACGACGATTTGCTCCACGACATGCACCTCTGCTCTTTCTGCTCCAATATTCCAAAGTCACTGGCACCAATACAAGGCACACTGCATCACGGTAAAGAAAAAGAGCCAACAAGGCTCACACGGCGTTTGATAAAAGGTCACGGATTGTTTTTCTACGTTTGCCATTTGTTAAGTAATTCATTAGAGTATTTGCCGGGCAAGAAGCCCGTGATTATCGATTGCATGAATGCAAAATCATTTTTATCTGCCTGTTGCCCTTCCTTGTCTTGTGCTGTCTGTCGTTGAGAGAGGTGGAATGGTGTTGACTGATTGGGTTGCTGGATGGCTTGATTTTGCTTTTTTTCCGCTGCTTAGATATTCCTGCACTTGAGTACACCATGCATGCAATCTAACAACTTTCCAACTTGGTTTTCCGGCATGATTGTGAGACTTGAATGTCTCTGAAGGAAAGTGATTGGCTGCATCCTCTCGTCCTTGCGTGCGAGGGCGAATCATGCTAATTTAACAGGGCATCGGCGACGATGCGCCATGGACTTTCCATCTACGAATACGCGCGCCTCTTTCGTCGTCGTCCTTCAATATGGCATGGCCGAGGTTTAATACGTTTTTTGGAGGAGGAGGAGGAGGGGATACGCGTCTCAGCTGCGCGTCCATGTCTGTCTGTCTGAGTCGAAATACGGGCAGTTCAACCACAAAGAGACGCGTGCCGTGTCTCTCATTCGCATCACCATCATCTGTCCCGTCACGACCAATGGTTTCAATTGATCCGTTTGTCATACGATTTCTTTCCCCCCAAGACATGTGGCTCTTGCATTTGTATCACGGGAAACGCCGTTAAACGTCGGGGCGAGCATGTTCTCTTTCCTCCACGCGCGTCTTGGCCCGCTGTTACACGACAAGGCCGTTTTCTTCTGTCCCCAACCACTACATCCTTCCTGCCTTGTCCTACACCAAAGTAAAAAGTGTTCTCCCCCCCGCCCTCCTCTCCCCTTCTTCCCGGGCTACCGGTAGGCTAGCATCGGTGACTTGCCGCTGCTATCCGACTTCCAACACAATCGGGAGACAACACCATTCAACACTACCATGGGCGCGAGGAGCACAACGCCGGTCGTTGACCTCTCAGCAGGGCAGCGCCAGCGCCACGGCCGTAGATTGAAGCGCTCTACTGATCAAGAGAAACGGCAGGCATACAAGTGGAAGAGGTTGCGAAGCTGAGCTTTCAACGGCAACGCCCCATCGTCATCCTTTTCGACATGTCGTTTGTAGTCGTCGAGCTCTGCTCGCCCTGCTTTGCCCGTTCCGTTATAGTCTCACTGAAAAAAGAAGACCAGCGGCTTTAATATCTGTAGGGCTTAGCCCACGCGTGACAACAACAGCAGACAATGCGAAAAACGAGCGCAGATGTTCCCGTCTAGGTTAGTACGCGTAATCTTTTGGTCCAAAATCTCCCCCAAGTTGTTGAGCCTTTTTCTTTTTTTTTTCCCCGTCTCTTTGCATCTTTTCTTCAACCTGGCACCGGGCCGACTAGGCCAAGGTGGTGGTGTGCTTGGCTAGCGGACTTGGTAGCGCTTCTGCACTCCGCATGTCAAAGTGCTTTTTCCAGGGATGAGGATGCAAGCGGAGGGTAAAGGGGCTCCCCTGCTGATAGGCATTGAATAAAACAAATTAAACACACAAACGAGGACAAGGGATTTGCCCACCTGGCACGGAGTTCTTTTCCTCAAAGGGAACAATGGTACAGTACACGCGAGGCGAGAGGGGCGGAGGGTTTGCCTTGGGGGGGTGCCAGCCCAGAACAATAAGAGACTTGTAATAAGAAGATTCTCCAAAAAAAAAAAAAAAAAAAAAAGAAACAGGAGTGGACGCGCCTTCTCCTCACAATGGTCACCCGTAACAAGAATGCAAAAACGAAGCCCCCAAGTACTCGTATGCGCTGGGGTGGTCTTATTAACTAACACACGGGTTGTCATGCTCTCGTCCCAAGGTTCAAAGGTGTCGTGTGAACGGCCCAGACACACCACTTTGCCGTGATTTGAAATGCTCTCCACAGAATCGGAGACCTTTGGCTGGCTGGGTTCGAATGTTCCAACTGGCCTCGTTTATTAGTTCTGTCCCGTGGGGCCGCCTGCAGCCTTCGATGTCGTGGCGTTTCCTCGACGTGTACAAGACGTTCTCTCGCTCCTGCAACATTCGGTTTCCCTTGTCCGCCTTGAATTGTCATTCGAGCCTTGGCCTTGAGCCTTGACCACTGCATTCGCTGTTCAGGTGTGCTCCACGTTCCTCTGTTTACTCTAATTAGTGGGAGAACTTGGGCCATTAGTTTGGCCCTAGATTCAGCCTGGTGGCGCAGAACTTTGAATGCAGCCCTGTCCTTTGCTTTGCGGCTAGAGGACAAGTTGCCAACTGGTGGAGCTATGTGGTTGAGCTGAAGAGGTCGCGTCGAGAGCCACGTATAGACACTCTGGCATGCATGTAATTGTGACGCCCAAGCTACAGTTTCAAGCGCCATTGAGCAACGAGGGCTGTGATTTGAACAGGCATCATGCCCTGGGACCCCGAGCAAAGTGGCTGCCGACTAGTGGTGAGGCTTTTCAGTCAAGCAAATCACGGCCAGTCAAGAGACGCGGCACGGACTGCCCAGGTTGTAACTACCACTTGTCTGTAATGGCGCCTGCTGCAAGACTGTGCCGTTCCAGCGTGTCGCCATCGCCATGCTTGTGTGCTCCGTACAGCTGCATATAATGCAGCGACAACAGCACAGCTGGCAAACGGCCATTTGGCTCCAGATGCCCGTTGCCGTTATAGTCGATAGGCCACACCTTTGGGTTGGGGCCCGCAGGAGTCTACTTGACCAAGGCACCGGCCAATAATCACGGGGTTTTCAGCACGGCTCAATTCGCAGTGGCAATTTGGCACCACACCCCTCGTTACCTATCCTGGCTGTTCCGAGATTAGTGAACGGCTGGCTCTTGTCTGGCACCGCCTTTCCGAAAATTGTCGGATAATGAAGGTATTAGGTTCCATCAAACACAGAGTGTTCGATCGAAAAGCCCGCGAAGTGAAATGATGGCGAGACCGTCGAAGCAGGATCGGTTCATGATTGGTTCCTGACCTTGTTCAACGGGACTTCTTTCGACAGGCTGCGCTGTTTCGAAATCGATGGCCTGTCAGAGTCGTCAGTTCGATCTGTATGAATTGACTCTGATTGTTCCCGACCAAGCTGCTGAGGGTGGTCAGCCAACATCGATGTGGCCCTCCGCAAGTTGCAGGCTCGTCCTGCATCCATGTACATGCCGCTGGCCAAAATGCCGATTAGTATGGCTGGGCCAGTTCTCAGTTCTGGGCAGCAGCACATGCAGACCAGGGTTCCAAATTCGTGTTCGAGAGGTGTGTCGCTTCACCTTTTCTGCAGCTTGGGGATCCGACGGCTGCCCAAACATTTCCCACCCTGCTCAAGTCATCTTCTCCTAACAAGGATGTTGCGTGTTTTGCATGTTTCTGCCCTTTATCGGGTTGCGGGCTTATGCTCTACGCGGGGGTTTGGTGGGAGAGTAGTCGCCAACGTTTCCAGTATTGTTCCTGACAAGCCTTACCATTATTAGTGTCATCTGGCTTGCTCCCAGCTGTCAGTGATCTTGGACTAGAGTCGGCAAGATACATTTATGGGATAGCTAGCAACACCGTTAATGCGCATGCGCTAAAATCCCGAACCAACTCATAGGTATAGCATGCTGATGTTACCATATGAGTTGCAGGACAAGGCTCGAAACATACAATCCAGTGTCTTTTGCGATGAACTTGGGGGGCAAAGGTAGCACACATCTGACGAGCGCGCGACCTGGCCTCATGCGGATGGCCCGTGACAATTGGAGGCGTCTCGAGCGACATACCCCGGCATGAAGATTGGTTAGTTCAAAACGAAAGTGGTCTCGACAGCTGCCGGGATGCCAGTGCAATATTGACTGATTTGCTCATGGATCTCTGCACTGCAACACAGGTGTGATGCTGAGCTGTGCACATATCCAGTGGCAGAGCCAGCGCGGGATCACTGCTAATCTAGACCGGGGCTTGGTCATTTGTGGCGGCCGGCCGCTGAAGCCAAGCGCGGTAAAGCTGCTAGAGAGTTGGATTGAACCAGCGGACAAGTTTGATCTGGGCTAGCGATGATGTGCTACTAGGATCTCCCCGCTTGAATGAGCTCGCCCCTGTCCTCAAAACGTATACGGCGTGATTGCCGTTGATTGCTGTCGAAACTCTTCAAAATAAAGTCTGGATAGCATCTAAACAAGTTGTTTGTGATCTGCCCTGGAATCATCATATCGGACATGAGCCATAAGCTGCCTTATTAACGATAAGGAAGAATGAGAGATAAAGTGATGAAGGAAAGGCAGTATCGTAAAGAGCCGAACTACCTCGGTCGCGTACTAGGGCGTGATTAAAGTTGAGGAAATCAATTCTTCGACCAGTAGCGGCAACGGCGTGGTTGCGGCGCATGTAGAAGCCTACAGCGACGGATACCTTTCATCACCTCTTTGCGCACTGAAGACGACAAGATCTGTACCTTACGGAGATGATTCATCAAGCAGCAATGCTTTCAAATAGGCGGTCCGAGGTTGGCCAAACGCTGCGGCATATAAGTGCGGTTGAACTTGACTGGGGCATTAGGGTGTGGTGTCTCTTGTGCTTCGACACTAGCTAATCGTGCCCACATCACTTGCTAATGACACGATGAAGCTGTCGATTCCGCACTTGAGCAAACGCACAAGCCATGTGTTCTTGCGCACAAGATGACGACGTCGATGCTAGGTGCTGCTCAGCCTGCAGAATGCTTTACCGTGGTAGCGGATCTTGTTATCGGAAGAGGCAACCAAGGACGCCACTGGACTCTGAGAGAACTTTAATTCTGCATGAAGTGAGTGAACTAGTCACTTCCTTGAGACTTGGATTTCATCACGCCCGCCCCATGGCCACCCGCAACCCATAGCAGCTTCTCTTTGACCTTTGAGCTGGCTTGTGTTAGAGATAGTTGCGTAGCGTACTGTATGCCTGGGAGCTTTTGATCAACGATTCAAGACTGACAGTGATTCGAGTGAGTTGTCGCTGCCATGACTATCAGGATCTCCTTGCAGTCCATGTTTCAGGTGACAGCCTGTTGGCTAATGCTTGAGCGGCGGGTCGAAGTAGAACAATTGACTTATGCGTCGAGCAAACAACACAACAACCTTGGCCTGCCGTGTCTGATGCTCTCTGTTCCAAGCCATGTGCCGATTCATCCCACCAACAACGTAAATTGAGACCAGGCTTTCGGCCCTTGTCCGGACTGGTGTTGTCACTGCCGTGTGGGGTGTGTGGACAACTGGACATAGGTTGCAGCCTCCACCTCTCAGCGCGCACGCCCCAATCCCCCTGCTGACCCCCGGTTTTTGGTTCATTTCGCTGGGCAATGTAACTGAATTTCCAAGGCTTTTCACCGTACTTCGGAAAATACAAGCATCCCGGGAGGCTTGTGCAGTACTGTTGAGAGTGGGGACGAGGCTCCATGGGGATTCCCTGCCGTCTCTACTCGACGGGTTGCATTCCAACATGATTTGGGCAGACGCCCGAGCTTTCTTTGCAGATGCCATGTGTAATTAGAATTTGTCAGCTGGTCAGTCATGTGGATGTGAGAAAAGAGGCAAGATAGCTAAGGCTTGATATGTTGATAATCATGAGCGACATGTCAGAAGCTTCGGCGGTCGAGGAATGAGTGTGCAACGCTTGGCGAGCAAAGGGAACAGTGTCAGCTAATAGTTTGCTCGCTTTACTGCCGTTTTACTGAGCTCTTCAGTAACTATGGCTACTGATGCGAGAGTGCTGAATAGTTAGTCCATCTGATTTGGTCACAGACTCACAGCAAGACAAATCTAGCAGATCTGCCGCTATTGTGTTTCGACGGCTGACATACTCAGTACACGCGAGCTGTCCTACCGAGATCTTAGCGAATGATGATCGCAAAATCCAGGCATGGGCGTGAGTCTGAGGCACTTCTGCAGAGCAGTGGAGAACACCACGTGAGAATCCCAGGCTTATGAGGTTACACAAGCTGAAGCTGAAGCCACCGCAACAGAAATGGGCTTTCTGCAAAGGATTCAAAATGCGCCGCAGTCGTAGTGGCCATGCACAATGGGCCGGTCATGCTTGGCGAGCCACACCGACGAAATTCTGCTCGAGTGAAAGCCAGCTTGATAGAGACAAGCCATGCAGATGCAGCGATCTTCCAGGAAAGTCGCCGCGCTCTTTTGCGGCTGGCATGTCAGCCCGAGTAAGGTTCCCACCTCATCTCGTTTGCAGGCCGTCGGGCACGAATGCCATCTGCTGCCATTGAACCATTTGCATTCGTCTTTTCGAAGCCAATGCTGTGCAGCCGACCGTGCTTCGTTAGTGTCAGGCTAAGCAGCTTCCCCAGGTTTTGGGTCGCACAGTGTTAGTACCTATCGAGTTAGCTATCGTATTAAGCCAGGGGAAATATGATCAGTAGCGTACGCCCGAGACCAGATCCGCAGGCAGAAGCTAGATTATAAGCGCGAATGCTATAAATAAAATGGGTGACGTCGGGTGTACCGCTTGCAGCCAAATTTGACAGAAAGACCGGAATTTCAAAAGGTCTTTCCTCGGCGGTTTATCCTGAGCCTTGGCGGAGGCAACAATTCTCATTTTTTCGTTGATAATGGTTGGCGCAAGGAGTGGCGGAGGTTGGCTGCAGGGCGGTTTCACAGACATTGAAAAGGGAAGCTCCTCAAGCCGTTGCAGATCGCCAAATCCCGGCTGGGCCATGTTTCGATGCAGATGTCGGTGAGCGACAAGATATCTGCAAATGCAGAACGGCAGGCGATTGCAGACGATGCTCGTCGAGAGCATGACAAGCATGGGTAGCAGTCAGTGCCGAGGTTCGAGAGGCTGCCAGCTGCGGTGGCGGATAGCGTAATGCAGACGAGGGCGTATATACAGGCATAACCAGAATAATTACATGAATTACATGCGAGCTGCAACAGGGCTGGAGAGGAGGGGCAGCAGACGTGTCGTTGGTGGCAGGTGAAGTGTCCTGGCGCACTCTTAATGCAGAGTGGGATATAATTACCCCGACTGCGTGGAACGGCGGCTTGCACGCCGTGTCATTGCAGTAAGATTCCCCACACATGTGTGACAGAAGTCAACATACGACATGCTTTGGACAGCTGATGCCTACTTTGTCTTCTTATCCGGGCGTTAGACGGAGGGGCTATCGAACCGCGGAGGCGTGCGCGATAGCGAGGTCAAGTAATGTGAGCGGAAGCGCAGCCGACGTGCCAAGTCCCCGGTCGGCGGGAATAGGTAGGTTGAGCAAAGGTAGCGACAGACGGACGCATGCAGACGCGAAGCGAAGAGCCCAATTCAGAATTAGGCAGGAAGCTAGCGGCGCAGGTCGAGCGAGTTGCGAGGGTGCTTCTGGAGACAGATCTGGGGCTTGTGGCCTGTGGCTCGCACTGGCACTCCAGATTTGCAGCAGAACATGCATCAGCCCTCGCGGAAGAAGTGTGACTGGAGTAGGGCCGCTGTGTGTGTGCTGGAGCCATACCTGATAACCTGGCACCCTGGGTACCTAGGCGGGAGGAGAGGACTGCTTCCAAGCACGGACTGGTGAATGGATGACAAGGTGACAGACGGTCGGGACTTGGTGGTGGAGGGCGTAATTAATGACCGCCAAGGCGGCACAGCAAGTTGCTCAATTTGCTAAAGGCACCCCTTGCATCTGAAGTGTGGAGTATTAGCCTAAGATGAAGAGCTAATCGAGAGACGATGATTGACGGATTAATCGACTGTTCAAAGCTGGATGGAAGGCTGGACGGAGGAGAGATTAAAAAGGTATGGATGACAAGTAGATGGAAGACAAGAGAGAGGACAAGAGAACGAATGAGTTTTGATTAAATAAGCTGGCCCTGCTCCGTTTGCACTTGGTAGGTAGGTACCTAGTGGGTAGACGAGGAGAGTTGTGGGCGAAAAGAAGAAAGAATGGCCACGGGTGGTGGCGAATTACGAGCTCAAAAGCCCTCAGTTGAGCGACTGATGAGGGCTGAGTGGTAAATAGAAAGAAAAACATCTATCCGTAGGTACGGATTAGTTAGGCGATTCATCCCCAAGGTAAAAAATCGCCATTTTGCCGAGTACGGATTGACACCAAGGTGTGTGTGCCTTCCTGCAAGGGCCCAGAGCACTGGAGCGTGGATTGGTAATGTGACCTCGCGACAGGGGCTCTTTGGCTTGCTAGCGGCCATCGGCTCGCACTGGCAGGTTGCGTCTGCAAGCCTCCTTTTTTCTTTTTTGATTTTCTGATTTTTGATCATTTTCCTTGTTGGGCCTGCAGCCGACGACAAGGAAAAATCTGCACGGCTCGCTGCTTGACTTTCGGCTGCTCCGACCCATCAGCTCCCGCATCCACCAGCTCGTTTTTATTACGACATGCCGTTGTGTTGCTGCAGCAGACTCTCCCTTTCCCCTCTCCATTCATGCAAGCGACAGCCTGGCCGCCGTTGACGCTTAGCAAAGTCCCATCATGGTCCAATCTACAGTCGAGTATGGCACAATGCTGACCCAAGTCATCTGCAGGGGCGCTCCCGTTAGCTTCCTGACCACTTCTGCCCGTAAAAATAGCGCCAGAACGTCTGCGATCCAAGACCCAAGTGCCCGGATCGCCGCGCCACTAGGTGGCCTCTGGCACTCTGAGAGCAACCACAGCGAGACTACCTCCGAGGACCCAGCAAGAGGCCCTAAAATGCACGCTGGGCCTACTCGCTGGTTCGTCCCAAGTGTGTCAAGTGTGTCTGCCAGCCTAGGCCAGCCTGCTCACGTCCTAGGGCCTAGAGATTCCTGCGCTGCTCGACTGCGTCTTGCCTCTTCAGACTAGGCCGATCGACTGTGCGAGACGGACGCTCTAGTGTATACCATTGTTCTGGGAGCCACTGCGATTTGACATGGCCCGTCTGTACTAGGTTGGACGAGCTAGCTAACGCCATCAAGAAGAGATAGGGCATGGTAATTGCCATAATCGTGATCTCTGACCGGTTTTCCCTTTGCGGCGAACCGACCGAATTGACCGACTTTCTGAGACGGGCAATGCGCCAGATCAATATTACCATCAACCAGCATGCTGTTGCCTGACCACGCCCCTCTGTTCGGGCGTCCAATCCACTGACCGACATGGCCCTGTCCTCCAGGCTCTTTTTCAACGCCCTTGCGTCTCGTGTGCTTGGTACACGCCCGCTAACCCATCCCAGGCCACGCTGGCCCACCAGATAGATTCTCTAAAAATGAGACAAAAAGACCGAGGCCCAAACCCTAGGCGAGGCAAAGCAGCGAGCGTGGGGTGGAGCGCGGCCGCCATTCGTGCGCAGCTTCGTACCTAACTTAGGAGGCAAGGAAAGATAGCGCGGATCACTGACCTATTCACTCTGGGGTTGCGGTTTGAGCGCCGTTGGCCTTGCCTCAAGCGCTGGGCCGTACAAGGCGTGTCGTTGTGGCCCGCCAACTAAAGCCAAAATCTATCGACTACCAGTACGCTCGTCATGGTAGCGGCTCCCGCTAGCCTAGGCTTATATAACGTCCATAGGCTTTGCTCACGACGTCATCTCTGCAACAGTCGACGACAAATTGCCGTTGGAGTGGCAAGAGCACGCGTCCATTGACCCGAGGTTTATTCCAACAAAGCCCTCAGCAACAACAGACGCAATGGCAAACTCTCCGCAGGGGCCCAAGCCCAGCCCCAGCCGGAGCTCGCGCCTGTCCTTTGCAACATTACATGAGTAAAGCAGCCAGCTGCCCACTTTTGACGGGCTTGAGTGTGGATCGGCACACTGCCTGGCCGTTCCAATAACTGGTTGTATAACAGTACAAGTCGCAGACGGCATTGGCATGTTGCCGAGGCGCCCGAGCTGATAACTTGCTGAGATTATGTCCATCTTTTCCGTCTCTCGGAAATTGGACCAACGCCGCAGATGAAGACGGCGGCAGGCATGACAAACCGCACGGACTGTGTAATACTATGCACTGTGCGTACCAGCCTGCACTATGCAGGCTCTATATTTGATTTTGAGGGTTATACGCTTTCTGCGGCCAGCGAATTGACCTAGCACAAGCCTCCGAGTAGAGGAGCAAATCATTGTGCATGTCATTGACTGCAAGCAGCTCGCAGGGTATCGCATCAATGTCATATCAACAAGAGTCCAGACCACGAAAGGGGAAGAAGGAGAAGAAGACTGCGATGCAAAGAGACAGCACAAGATGCAACTAATAAATTGCAGACCGCGGAGCACAGCTAATGTGCAGGCTATTTGAAGCAGCCCGATGCTACCGCACCGGACGAGGAGAGTTTATTAGTGCCGTCCGGGGGCATTTCAGCCCCGGGGCCATCAGGAGACTCGGCCGACACTAATCAACACAGGACAGCGCAGGGGATCCGCAGCCTGCTGAGTTGGGAGCCATGCCCGAAAGGCTGTTTCGTTCAGTATGACGGGCAGCCTACCCAGTAGAACGCCACAGAGCGGTGCACAAACCAGGCGTGCCAGCAAAGCGCTCTGGGGTTTGGGTTCGCAAGAGTGCACTCACTTCGAGACCATTATCGAGGCAGCGGGACTGCCGACTCTTGCGTTGGAAAGGTAAGCTTCAGGTACGGCAGACGAGAAACCAGGTGGGACGCGGCTGCGAACGCTCGAGTTTGGGGCTCTTTTGGGTCACTGACTGGCTTGACAAAACACAACCATGGTGGCTGCGGGCGAGACGCCGTTGTGGCCGTGAAGCTAACTGTAAGAGCAAGGGATCAAGAATGGACCACAGGACGACAAGAAGGCAAGGATGTGGAATATTTGTAAGCCGTTCCTACGAAGTACATTGGTTGCATGCATTGGTGTTACCGATGAGAGCGTGGGTTTAAAGCCGCGCCGCGGCGGTGCATGAAGGGGCTCAAGGCATGGGAGGCTACCAGGAGTGACCGAGTGAGAGACATGTGCGTTGGGCATGTGGCGCACCACCGTCCACTAGCCGACCAGCAGAGGCGTTTTATAGCGCGAGATGAAGGAGGGACTGCTTGCCTGGGGTTGGGGCTGCATGAACTGGACAGGGCAGGGGCGGTGGTGGGAGTTAACTAGATGACGATGAGGCGGAGGGATGGGACTGGAGTGCCGAGGTGTGTAGTGCGACCCTTGGACGGAGGCGGCGATGAAAGACGTCACATGGGATGAGAGGCCAGCTGTGTGGAATATACCAGCAAGCAGACCTTGTGATGCATTTCTTGGCTAAATTTACTGTGGGCAAGGCTGAAGTGAATTGACACATTAAAAAGACTGGCGAGAGTACATGTCGACTGCTGGCTACTGAGGAGTGACGTCGACGCTGATTGAATTTTGCCCAGATTGCGGAGTAGGACTCCGTAGTAGAGGTGCATGCCTAAATCAAAGAGACACTGGCAACGTGAATTACTCGCGTAAACGATGGTGATGTAAAAAGAAAAAAAAAAGGATAAATAAGGCCACCAATTAGACAATGCTTGTCGGGCTCAAGGGGGGGTCCTCTTGTTCGTTTGTCATACGTTTGAAAAACCAAGATTCAAAGAAAGGGCAGAAAAGACATTCGACTCCACTGATGGCTTGGAGCTGACGGCCATGCTCGTACCCGTCATTTCTCTCCATCGACCTGATTATTTATCATTGCATTTAACTGGGACAGAGAGAGACGCAGAGAGAAAGAGAAAAAACGAGCAAGAGAGGAGTCGTCTGGGCCTTTGTGGGGAAAGAGCCTAGTCGCACGCCCCTGTGGAAAATATCACAACATTCTGTCCCCTGGAAGCGCTGAAAAGAAAATGGAGATGATCGTTTCTCGATTGATATCATTTCCCTATTATTTGTGCGTTGTCAAACGCCGGCGCTGTGCTGCCTTCCTTGCTTCGCTTTATTCTTATCGTAAAGAAAGACGAGGTAAAATCCCGTTCCGGAGACACGCCCTCAAGCCCTCACTAGACTGTCCCCCACTCATTCTGTCCCGGCTACAATTGCTTCCGCGGCGCAGGTCTTTTGCCTTGTCTGGCAAAGATTAAATTTCAGTGTAACGGGGGTGGGTGAGGATTGGAATTAGAAGTCTTGTTTTTTTTTTTTTTTTTGCTCCCTCTAATTCTATTCAAGTTTCTGTCTTTGACTCACCTTTTTCGTTAAACGCGTCTGCTGGCCTGAACAAGTCTCTCTACACTAAGTTGACTAGCTGTCGGTTCAGCGGCAACTTGTTTTGGCCGTTCGGATAGCTCTTTTTTAGCAACCCGCTGTCGCCTACTAAAACGATTGCCCGCCAAGAATAGGTTAAAACTGAAGACGAGTCTTGCGGCCCCGAAAAAAAAAAGCCCATCACACTAAGAAAGGCATGGGGTCTAGACACTATAAATTTACTATAATTTGGCGATTTGGGGATGGGGAGGGCCAATTATTAGCTAGTTGCGCATCTTGGTGGCACTAGCGAGGGGCGGGTGAAGTAGTTTCCGGTCTGTGTTGCAGAGTTACGGCATAGAGTCACGATGTAATCGAAAGAAGAAGAGTCTAGGACTTGAGAATGTCGAGGAGAATCATGACCGAAAAGAGAAAGAAGAAGAAGAAAAAAAAAACAGACGTGTCAAATTGCACACCCCCTTCTTCGTACGATGGCCAATGGAGGGATACGGATGGAAACGAACCAAAAAGAGAAACGGGCAACGAACGGGCAGGCAAAAGTCCAACGTCCAACAGCGTATTGCATCGTCGTATAACCTTTTCTTCGCTCCCAGACATTGCCGTTTTGTGCTGAACCGCATTGCTACTGTGGCGCGCCACATTTCCACCTCCCTGGTCCTGGGTATTTTCAGCCGCCTTCGCGTTGTCGCCACCATGTTTCTCCTTTCATTCACAACTCCGGGATAATTGTCCAATGAAGTCGCTTTTTAACCCATTCTCTCTATATCTTTTTCCTCGTTCCTTTTTTCATTCTCTGCCATGCCCCATTCTCGAGTCCAGGCGCTAAGCTGGTGTTGGCATACGCCGGTTTGACTGACAGCGGCCAAAGCCCGCCACCCCCCCCTTCTTCCCTCTCTCTCTCCCATATCTTGGTGTCATTATTTTTTATGGCGCAATCTGCACGCTTAGTTATTTAGTGACCCCCCTCACCTTGGGTTTGATATTTCAGTTGATCGAGACATGTTTATGCTAGGCGCGGAAGCAACAGAAAAAAAAAAAGAACTAGGCCAAAAGCTAGTTTGTGTCCCCCCCGTCCCCCCCGAGTGAGATCAGCAACCAAGCAAGGACTGGGTCAAGATAGTGCCCTTGCTGGCCAACGCCACGCCCCCCGTTGTACCCAGTACTAGTGGAGAGGATGGCTTTCAGCACAGCCAAGTTGTTGTATAATTGCGTCGTAAGAAAAATGGAAGGAAAAAAACTTTGTTAAAGCTGATTGTATCCGAGAGCAGTGCATTGGAGTTTTGAACCCAAGTCTGGGAAGCCCTCTGGGTCTCGGACGAGGCGAGGCGAGGCGTCTGTGGGCATGGCTGGGGCGTGAATGTAGGTACCCAGGAGCCAGGTAGGCGACGGACCCAACCCTCCATCCATCTTGCCATCCAACCATGCATCCAACCACCCATGATGATGACCAGGATCACTACCAAGCCAAAAAAAAAGCCATCCACTTGCCTTGCCTTCTCCCTGTTGAAGTCTTCCCCCCGCCCCGTCCGCCCATCCATCCATTCATTCCATCCATCCAGTCCAATCCAATCCACACACACCACACACACCACACATCACCACCACCACCGCCGCCGCTCTGCAACGCACGCACGCACACACGCACGCACAAATTCCGACGCTCGCACTCGCCCTCTTCTCCGCCCTCTCTCCCACTCGGCCAGTAGTTAGTTAGCTGACCTGCCTGCTTTGCCTGCCTGTCCCTTTGCCTCTCCGCCCACCCCAGAGCACCACAACCACTACCAAACCTACCACCCAAAAAAAAAAAAACATATACCGCTTTTGCGCCACTGCTCTCCTCGGCGCGCCTGTTCAAACTCGTTCAAACGAAAAAAAAAAAAATCCCCGTCATTCGCCCTGTCTCGTCGCAGAACGTAAAAGAGAAAAAAAAAAACAAAACCACTCTTCCCAACATTGTCCAACGTTGGCACTTTTTCCCTCTCCCGCCTCTCCCGACACCCCCGCGTCGCGTCTTGTTCCCACCAAGCCAATTCGACACTACCGCTTCACCTTTTTCTACCTATCACCAACAACGCGCGCCGCCAACCCCCAAAAAGATCAGGAACGAACCTAGCCTCTTGTCTAGCTGTGTGTTTTTTTTTTGGTCTGATCTCGTTGGCCCGGCTGCTCGCCCATCTCCTTCTCACCTCTCGCACACAACACACACCCCCCTCCTTCCGGCGCTACTCGACGCACTACTACAACGCTACTTCAAACATCCCACGACGGCCTTTCCTCCCCCAGACGCACCGCATACCGTCATTCTCTGATACCTTCCTGCCTCGCGCCTTTTTTTTCCCACCCCAAAGCCCCCATCTAGACCAAGCCTATACCAGACGCGGCAAGCCTCGACCCAAAGCTAAAAACTAGCGTACCCGGACAACCACCTCGTCCTTTCTCTCGACCTTCGCCGCCTCGCTCGCCGCTTCCCAGCTCCTTTCTTGGTTCCTGGTACATGCTCGAGAGTCCAGCATTCTTCTGCACCCTGGCCTCTCGTTTCCACCGCCATCTTCATCCATCAAGCCGACTTTGCAATCTTCAAATCAACAATACACACCCTCCCACCGGCCGCTTGCTGCTAGCACCGAGCTACTACTCGCTAGTACTCCTGCTACTACTGTTCCCGCGACGCCAACACACTTTGCACTCCTCTCCTCCCTCTCTTTCCACGCCTCAACGACTTTAGCACTACTTCTTCTCTACTTCTGGTACTTTGCGCCGCATTGTGAAGATTTCCAAGGCTCTTTGTCATCAAGCCTTTTATTTATTCTCGTTTGTGCTGCTCATTACTCCCACCTCCTCTCTTCACTTCCATCCCATCTCTTTTGCATTTCAGCTATATGGACCGCACCAACGCCGACTTCCCCCAGCAGACAGGATTGCCTTCGCCGTATCCCAGCAATTTTGGTGGCGACGCTCATTCTGAAGCTTCATCCGCAGACCACGCTTCTGCCCAGTCGTACCCGCCGCCCCCCAAGGACGTCGCCTATCCCGCCTCTGCCACTCCAGCCTCCGACTACGGCGTCTATCCTCCTTCCGCCCGGTCGAACTCTGCCTACCCGGATCACGTCCAGCGTTCATACCACCCTGCCTCGTCCCCCTCTACCGGCAGCATGGCGCAACAAAACAGTCCGTCTCTGCCCCAGTCGGATGGGCGAAACCATCAATCTCCCATCGTCAATTCTGACACCCAAGTGCCTATAGATCCGTCCATTGCCCAGCCCAGTCCTACTTATCCTTATGCCCAGCACTCTCCCTATGCGCCTAACCCGGACATGGCGCATAGCTACTCTCATCCTAACTCTAACATGTATGCCCAGCCCAGGCCCGAATGGGGAGGGTACGCCGCTCAGCACGCTGCGCCGCCTCTTACCCCAGGCCATCAAGTCTATGGACAATCTCCAGCATCTGCTCCTCAGCAGCAGCGCCCCAGCCAGGTATGCTGACTCCTCGTCTCGCGGCGCAATGCGCGTTGGCGCGCGCGCGCGCGCATCTAATGCGACAGCTGCGCAATTTTAGAGACGCCAATTCGCACCCCAGGAGAGTTTTTCGCGCTGACACTTTGCTTTATTGAACAGGTTTACTCGTTCGTTCCGATTCCCGGCGCCCAACAACACAAGCGACCTCGCCGTCGCTACGAAGAAATCGAGCGCATGTATAAGTGTGGGTGGAATGGCTGCGAAAAAGCCTACGGTACTCTGAACCATCTCAATGCTCACGTTACCATGCAATCCCATGGCCAAAAGCGCACCCCAGAGGGTAAGTCCTACAAATGCTCTGCACGCGGCCGCAGCGTACTCACGGTGGCCTCACCGCGTCCCGTTTCGGCCCACAATGCGATGGCAGAATGAGCTGCGACGAGTGTTGCATTCATTACGACTGCGTTAACTCTGTTCGCTTCCTTGACTCAATGTCTTGCTTGGCTGGTCCCAGCCACCTCGGCATGTGGCCCGGTCTGGCGCGCGAGGGGGCACGCTAGCACGCAAGTCTAGCCACGCGACGCGCCGCATTCCCCATGGCCGCGAGCCACAATTGAGAAGCCCCCTCAAAGAAAAGAAGGAAAAGGGGCCATTGCTAATGACTGGCAGAGTTCAAGGAAATTCGTAAGGAGTGGAAGGCTCGCAAGAAGGAAGAAGACGCTCAGCGCAAGGCCGAGGACGAACGCCAGCGCGCCGCTGCTGCTGCGAATGGTGGTCAGGAAACCGGTCACGACGGCGCTTCTGCATCAAACTATCCTGGATCAAGACAGCCCGTTCAGCTGCCTCCGATCGGCTACCAGCCTCAGTACCCCGCGCCTCCCTCTGGTGTCAACCAGCAACCCTTGCCGGAATACGGCGCTGCTGGGCACATGTATCCTAGCTACCAGCCCCATTCGCCCTACGGCCAGCCGAACCCGAACCTATACAACCAGTGTGAGTATATGACGACGTGACTCAGATTTTGAGTTTTGTTGCCATTGAGTTTTGTGGCGGCGGCTAACTAAGCCTCTAGCCAATGGTGGTCAGCCCCCCAACCATTAGGCATTCCAATGCTATGACTACTACTAGTCGAAACAGCACCTGTACGATTCGGAATCTAATACATGACGGGTATGCATTACAACGCATCACGGCATTATTCCCTCTCATACGGTGTTTACACGACACATTCGAGCGATGCTTGTCTCCAGTTTTCTTTTATCCTTGCATCATGGACTTGGGAGACGCGGTGTCGTCTGGGGATGCGCGGAAGGCGGAGTTTGGGACGTGACACAGGTTCGGAAGGCTGGCGCTCGCCAGTTGCCTTCTGGTTCTGGGTATGGTGGCTTTCTTTTTTTTATTCTACAGGGTGGAAATCTCATTTGCAACACATGACGACGACAAAAGTTGTGTTCAACTTAATGACCAGAGTCGGATACGAGGTTTCCCGTTGCCGCAAGCACCGAAACTGTCTGACCGACACGGATGGATTGCTGCAATGATACCTTTTTGTTTATAGGGGTGGCTTTTGTGTTTTTTTCTGAGTGTTATGCTTTCTGTCTTGTTTGCGCAGCCATGGGCTGGTGGTATGGTGCTGAGGCTTTTTGCATGTTTTTTGTTCATGTTTTTGTTTTATCCTTTTGCTTTCATGATTTCATGTGCAAACCCCGCTGTGCTTTTCTTTTGGACATGCTTTAGGGGATGATTACATAAGATTTGCTTGGACTCCCGCCATTGGGCGGGCAATTCCTTGCATATGGGCGGCAAAGACTTGAAACAACAAAAACTCTATTTTAGCTTTTCTTTTTTCTTTTTCCATTTTCTTTTGTCCGTTGTCTCTCTCTCTCTCTATTATGGGCGGATCCCTTTATTCCACGTTTGGGTGCCGTGTGGCCTGGACCACGGGAAGCGGCAGGAGGTTTCTTGTCAAGCGCGAAGAGGTGCCACGCCTCACGGCGAATATCCGGAAAGGAAGGACAAGAAGGGATTATGCATGCGGGCAGGCGAGACTCCAGAAAACATTAATTCACAGCACTGTGCAGCTGGTAGCTGCAGAGGGATTTTGAAGATTTCGTTCTCTCGTTTGGGTGATGTCGAAAAACCAGGCCGGATGCAGTAGGTAGAGGTGCTGCATTCAGCTACGTTGTTGCAAAGTACACGTTTCCAAGACAAGGAGAATCGGAGAAGCGGAAAGCAGGAAAAGAGGGGGGAAAGGTAAAGTAGAGTCTTGAATACAAGCGTTTTTTGAATTTATTATTGAGGTCTGACGCGCCGCATGTCACTGTAATGTCTGTCGTAGGGGTGTCGCGAGAGGCGTCGATGGTAGTCGCTGCACCAGCGTGCGCGCTGTCATTGAAGCGCCAGGAACGAGTCTACGGCTTTGCTCTAGCACGGTCAATTTTGACGGCGCGAGCATTACCGTCCCATGTTTGACTAGTCGCAGAGTCCGAGCGAGGCGTGGATGGCCTTACTGTAACGACTAGCAGCACCCGGCGCCGGCGTTGGGCGTTGGGCAACAACGGCGCGTTCCCGCGGGGAGCGGTCTCGTCAACGGCGCCGTCTTCGGCGCCGATGAACGGGCTCGTTATAATTCTGGGGGGAGGGGGGGGGGGCGGCGCCATCTGTAAAAAGGCTTGGCTAGCGGGATCGGAAAGTCGAGGGAGGAAGGGGGGGGGGGGCGGCGAAAGACACTTGGTGGTAAGCCACTAAACCAGAAGTTGTTGATCAAGCGAGCTAGTTGGAGTAGTCAGTCCGGGTTCCCGTTTGCGGCGGGCCAAACGGATGGGTGAGATGGTCGAACCACTGCGGCGGCCAATCGACGGAGGATTTATTAGTCCACGAGTTTAAAGGACCACGGCGGTGTTGGTCATAGACTGGTAGGTAGTTCGGAAGGCTTGTCATGATGGGACGCCACTATTCGGAAATGATGGACACGAAAAGTCGCTTGCTCTTTCCTTGGGAGCCGGGAGAGGAGGGGGGGGTGGGGGGGGACTCGATCATGTCTGTACTCGGGATGGTGAGATTACAATAACGGCTATCTGCAATTCGGCATGGCTGCATCTACTCGTTTTTTTACTCCCTATCTGCTTTCTTCCTGATTATGCACAGTGTAAGCGAGCTGCAACAGCCCGAAAAAAAAGAAAGGTATTCTCTTTTGCACACGGCACATTGACAGGCAGGTTGCCTGCAGGTTACACTGACTATCAAAGAACAAAGATGGCAGGTTTCGTATTTCGTATTGTGCTGGTACTTTTTTTTTTTTAACACCTACCAGTTTGTCTAGGTGCATGTCACTACTAACCAGTGCCGGCAGCAGGCTAAGCCCTATGAAGGAGCTGCTGTGTCAAGCTGTAGAACTTATCGAGAGAAGGGGGGGGGGCGTTTTATATCGGCAAAAAGGTCGTGTTTATGATTTAGTTCCCGAGCCACCTCAGAAATGGGGGAGGGAGGGTGTGCACATGGATTAGCAAGATCGGCTATGCTTGTCTAGTCAAGCAATCAGACTAGCCAAAAAAACTAGCAGTTCAAGAAGGACACAAAAAGGGAGCTTATTAGAGACATGGGGGGGTTTTTCATTTTGGCGCCTTTTCCTTCCCCGCAACGGCGCTTTAGCTCTCTATCAGTAGACAACGCAACGGCTGGGCGATTTTGATATAGAAAGGGAACCTCGATGATGCGAGGAAAAAATAACACAACTGAGCATCGGGAAAAGGAAAATGGCGTGATCAAATGGAGCTTTGTCCGCAAGGGCGGTCAGGCCAAAAAAAAAAAAAAGCCTTTCTTGCCAGAAAAAAAAAAGAAACAACGCAACGTGGCATTGCAGCCCGTTTTTTTTTTTTTCCTTCTTTCTTAAATTCGATTTAATTAACTTGATTGTTCTCTGATCTCTCGTTACCTAGACAGGAAAAGAGCCGAGGGAACCCCCCCTCCCTCCTCGTTCGTTTTGGCCAATAACTCGCCTGGTATTATTGACAGGGAAAACGAGAAAAAGAGGAAAGAGTTACAAAGTACCCCGGAATATACTGGAACGGAGGGGGGAGGGGGGGGGGGCGTGTTATTAAAAGTAAGCCCGTTTGCTTTAGGACATTGCGCCGTTGACCTAATAGTCAGGTGTCTGTCTGCCGAGAAGAATGACATTGCTGTTTACAGCCGCCCCTTGGCGGTCTAGAACCAGCAACACTGAGGAATAAATGACATCCTGTCTGACGACGTGGCGATTACGAAACCTCAAAAGATGCACGCCGAAACTTAAAAAGAATCACACAAGGAAAAAAGTGACAATGAATGTCTCTCTCTCCCTTGCTCCCCCACAGAGCTGAACATGCGCCAATAAACTTGCTTTTCCTCCATTGTTCGTCATTGATGAAAATTCTATTTACCGACTCATGTCCCCTTGCCTAATTGCCAGCCCCCGCATTACGCTACTGTTTGGCCACGCCGCCGGGTGAGGTGAGCCGAGGCAAGTCGTTGCACCAACCATCACAGGGTCCCTCCCCAAGTGCCGGTTGTTTGCACCCGACGAGGCTGCTGGGTTTCCTTCTCCGCCGGTGTGCGGAACAGGGACAAAGGCGAGGGGGGGGGGGGGGCGTGAGCGGTGCTTTTGTTTATTGTGTGTAAAATACAATCAGGGATCCAGGGGTTTGGGATGTCTTGGCCCTTGGGGCACGCCGCACACAGAAGTCGCCCATGTCGCTTGTTCCATTGTGGCGTCAAGGGGTGTCTCTTGAATGTCCGCACAATCTCACTTGAGTCGGAAAGGAATCATACATGGAGTACGGTCAGACCGCATGATCCAAGTTTGTTGGGAAAACTGTGGGATAATCATCCCAGGCGGCTGAATTATACTTTTTTCCATCTTGCCGTATTTGTCTTGTTCCGTCTTGTGTAATAAAAGGAAAGAGATTGGAAAATGCAAAGCAACGAGGGGAGGAAAAAAAAGGAGATCCGTGCCCCCCTTGTGGCATCGAGTAGTGACAACACTCGAGCACCCGAGTCGAAATCGTCCCAGCATTGCCATAATTCCGCTCTTCTTCACCGAGGGCGGGCCATGACGAGACCCCAACTTCTCTCAGCACGAGCCCGATGCGATGTACACAATGCGAGGTCATTGCGCAGGACATGGGTTCATGTGTTTTTTTTTTCTTTTTCCTTTGCTATTGTCATGTCTCGGTGGGCCAGTCGCCCGGAACAGTTTTCGGTAAACGAGCCCTCGGGCATCGCGTATCACGACCGTCCTGCTCAATCTCCAAGGGACCGTGCATACCGTGGGGGTGAGACAATCTGGTCATTGCCATGTATCTGCCACGGGACATGCCCGGTCAAGCTTGTACAAGATCAAGACATTTGCGTATCGGGCTATGCTTGGTAGTCGTGGGCGGGTCAATACGGTAAAGACAAATCTTGCAGGCAAGCCGGACAGGCGCGCTTGCACGGCGCCAGGGCGCTTGGCAAACCCAACGGTTTGATTCAACGACGACTTCTTTTTTGCCGGTAATGGCGACGGTGTGGTCAAAGACATGAAAGGCAAAGAAAATCTTGTAGCCGTGTCTTTCTCTGTTGGTGTCTCAGGGTGATGAACCAACAGGCACATAAAAGTTGTCGGGTCCGATGCTAAGGTATTCTTGATCCGAGATGTTGACGTTGAGGGTTCGTCACCCGAGAACCGGGCTGAGAGGGCGGTGGCTATTCGGATGAAGACTTGTTAGCTGAAATTCTCAGCGTTTTGGGCTTGACAAGAATCATTCGCCGTGGGCCGAGTGTATTGGCCTCGTTGCTCGATGATGAAAATTGTAGCATGTGCTTTGATGGCGACAGCGTAAATCGACGCCTTTCTCCCCTTCGGTCTCTTGGCTCATCGCTGAAATTGACTTGATGTTGGCGCGAACCATCAGGCGGATTTCATTTTCGACGTTCCCATCGGGTGCAGTATTGTTTGATGCCTCCGTCATGGCTGCCATGGTGCACAACTGCCCGGGGCTGGATGCACATTCTGGGGGCAAGGAGAAGTCGCCGGGTGATGCAAACGGCGCAGTGCACCAGCTCATCTCCAGAATCAAATGTTCAAATCACCCAGCTCCAACTCCCACCATCTGGACCAAATTCGCCCGTTTGTCGCAGTCGGCAACGGACAAGCCCCCGCCCTATCTAAGAACTAGCAAGCCCGCCGCCACAGCCAACGTAAAACCTCCCTCCCGCACGGCTAGTGCCTCTATAGCACATCGACTTTATTCTAGTCATCCACATCATCTTCATTAGTCGCCGACCAAGAAGAAAAAAAGGAAAAAGAAGCTAACTAATTTCCCCAAGGAAAACACCTACCCGTTTGCCCGTAGTGCCGGGCCCGACATTCTGGTTCGCGCCCACGCCCCCTCCCTCGGGACGCTGCGCGCTGGCTGGCTGGCTGGCTGGCTGGCTGAGCGCAGCCAGCCAGCCTTGGCCTCACCCTCGCACAAGACTAGCCAACTTAGTCTCGGCCGAGAACGGTTTTTTTTTTCTGCGGTGCTCCGTTGGGATTTTTATTTTTTAAAGAGGGCGGCGTGGATGCAAGGCGCCCAACACTAGAGGCACTAATGTATATGCACCAGCGATCCCTTTAGTTTTGGGTCGGACAAGGGAAAAAAACGTGCAGCGAAATATGAGGGTGGGCTGGTCAGTGGTTCTGATGCAAGCTGCTGAGCTGTTGGCAGTATATTGGAGCAGGTACGGCAAAGTGTGCGTTGGTACGTCGTGGTATGGCAAGATTCATGCGTACATATCATTGCATAACATTGACATGCTACTTTACATTCCGTCGTCAATTGTATCGCGGCTGACTCTGACAGATACCCAACGAGACCCTAGTGTGGATGTTGCCGCGGCTTGGTCGCTCGAAGCGCCGTCTAGCGCCAGCGGACGATACCTGATGTTAGAAGGGCATCACTTTGACTTAGGTTTCCGCTCCCAAGATACACGTGCCAGATGAGATCCCTACCACAGTTGCAGCCCCTTGATGAACATAGACGGCAAGGACCCCAGCGCCTGGCACGTCGCCCACTCCACGCGGTGAAAATATCGAGGTCTCGGCTCTTGCCAAAAGAATACGCATCATTGATACGTTTCACAGCGTCACTTTCTACATACCAAGTACTTGCTAGTCTACCCGACTTGACAAAACACACAAGTGTCCTAGATTCTTGATCGAGCTTCATGCTGCTCCAGACAACCTGCGCCAAATTCTAAATCTTCAATCCATTAGACCAAGTGATGATATTGACTAAGGTTCTGCTTCCATATGCGAGATTATCTTGAATAACTCTGTCCCTACAGAAATCAAGCACAAGGTAATATACACCTTCGTGGGCGGGCAGACACTGTCGCACAGAGAGAGGATAAAGAGTAGCGCGCTCACCTTCGTTCTTTACATTTCGTCACCCTACAAAGCTGACACAAGATCACAGTCTAGAGGAAGTTCCATACTCCCGTATGACATCGTATCCGTGAAAATCCCTGAAACAACTCTCCCTTGTGTCCGAATCAATCCCTCTGTCGGTGGGGTCTCAGCTTATACTGACACGGACTGCATGCAATTTGGTCATAATTCACAAACAGCTGTTGGAATAGGACGAGTGGTGCCATCACTTTTCAGCTTCATCGCTGATGCGCCAATCACTGCCTAAACAGAGACAGCTGAAAAGGTCCAGACACATCTGTCTCGTAAGCATCTTCAGCAAGACATGGACAAGGGATGCACTGCGAGTCAACCGTTGACAACGTGCAGCAAGTATCTACTCCACAGTTACAAAACGACGAATCGGCACATAGTTGGTGATTCAACAGCTGGTCGCCGTGGACAACCCACGGCTGTTGAGGCAAGGTCTTTGCGTTCACACACCCAGTCTCATCAACACGCGACGTCGGCCACGTCGGCCATGTCGGCCACGTCGGCGCCATGTCTGCGCCTGACGCCCGCCACCTCTGACGGCCTCTACACTAGTAAAGTGTAAAATGTAGAATGCAAAAAGGGTGTCGCATTAGTGTACATATCGAAACAATGAGAATACAGAGTCGCCTGTCATTTCTTCAATTCGGAAAACCCATCAGTCATTTGGCCAATGCTTTGAACTCTCACGCGCCAACACTGCGAGGTGCCACAAATTAACCTCCGTCACGTACGGCAGCCCGCTTGAAAAAATTGCAAAAAGTTTGTGTGTTTTGTCGTCATCAATATTAAGAATAGAAACATAAGAGTTTTGGTCATCAACATCATTCTCAAACCATAACATTTGTCGAGAAGCTGACTTCTCCTTGCATAAGTGGCTTAATTAGCCCCATCTTTGCTCTAGAGTGATGGGGCCGAGCCGGACTATGACGGGCCCTTCGCTAAGCTCTCGAAGCTTGTTTTCTATTCTTGGAGGACGAGGTCTTTCGATTCCGCATCTCCCAGCCATCTCCCTCTTCCATCTCCTTCTCCACCCTATGCATCTCCAAAGCCAAAATTGACAGTTATAGCGGAGAGGACAACCTTCTGACCGTCTCGTCACACCTGGCCAGCTCAGAGGCCACAACGTTGTACCTTGCATAGCCTTTCACCGCAGTCTAGATCTCACTTTTTGGTCATCGCATCCATCAAATATCGCGCAATAGCAGGAATCAGCAGACCCTGTGAGTTTGTCACTAGCGACCCCCGCCCGGCGAATGGCAGCGCGACGAGCCTGATGTCGAATCGCAGAGCAAATGCAGGAGCCCACAATCAACAAAGCTTCACAAGCCGCAGGCCGTCATGCATTGGCGCAAGGCCTGAGCCAGATCAACTCTGAAAACTTTGCTCATCACGACGATATTCCAGACCGAGACTTCTCTGATGTACTGCCACCGCTCGGCTCGGCTGACGATGTCGACTCGGACCACGAGACAGAAGATGCGGCTTCCGTCGGGTTTACGGCGTCGTTTGACCAGGCAGCGCCCGCATCGGGCGTAACCTATTCGCGTGGCGGTGGTGACGTGGTCCTGATTCTCGGCCTGCCAGAGATCTTCACCGTTGGATGCGACGCGCTGTCCTTTACTGCTAAGCACTTTGGCGGCCTCGGCGATGTGCCGGCCGGGCCTCACTTTTTTTGGGCGGCGCACCCTGGTGGCATGGCCACGCGGTCCGGTTTCTGGATCGTGAGCGAGGGCGCGAACCGCGTGCACGCCGTCCGGTGGGACAGCAGCTCCGAGCTGCTGATCGACTCGCTGCCGGCTGAGATCCCCCGCGACGTCAACGCACCCCATGCTGAGCTGCTATCGTACCGCGACCCAACGGCGCGCAGCGACGGAGCCGGCGGGAGCGTGGGTGAGGTGAACGAGTCGCGAGCGGCGGAAAGTGAGCGGATCTGGGGCCAGCTGACGAGCTGCATCACCGGCGACTTGCTATCGCGCGTAACGGGCCAGCCAAAAGCAGGTGCCGCCGCCTGGCACATTAGCACGACAGACCTCGTGGAAGGCCAGGTGCTGCCGTCGGCAGAGCGCGCGATGGAGCAGCACATTTCTCACATGCGACGCGCGACGCCGGCGCGCGAGCTGCGCTTCGCGTTAGATCAGCACTCCAAGACGTACTCGGCGGAGCGTCTTGGCGCAGAGCGCACGCGTGAGGCCACCGACGCCACGTCGTACCTGCTCGCGCTGCTGGACAGCGATAGCAGCGGCAGCGACGCCGTGACGGAAGCCAGCCTCGTCGGCGAGCTGCAGATCGCGTTCCTCGCCGGCGTGCACCTCGGCAACGACGCGTGCCTGGAGCAGTGGCTGCACACGGTGCTGCGGGTGCTGCTGCGGGCCTACACGCTACCGCGGCGCCGGCCGACGCTTGCGGCCGACGCTATTCGCGCCGTCACCGCGCAGCTGGCCTATGGCGGGGACTGGCTCGACACGCCACTAATGGGGATGCTATCCGAGGCGCGCGGGCGCGAGCTGCGCTTGGCGCTCATCATCTACAAGCGGCGGCTAGAAGAAGACAGCAGCGATGGTGACGGCGACAGTGACGGGGTGGCTCGCGTAACGGCGGCGTTTTCTCGACTCGAGGCCGTCGTGGCCGGACCAGCGTTTGGCTGGGACCTGCGCGGCGAGTATCTGCGCAAGGGCAAGGTCGTCATGGAGGACGGTGAGGAGGTGGAGCTGGAGATGAAGGAGCTGCAGGCCGAGGACGAGAGAGGCGAGTGGGCGCCCGAGATTGTCGAGCTGGACGAGCATGGACGGGAAAAGGGCTTGATATCATGGAATGACTAAATGGCTGCGGTGAAAGCTGCCTTGGTGATGAAGTTTCAAGCAGATACCGTATTTAGATACGAGTTGTACGTTTATTTTTCGCCTGTATATTCACTGCTGAATTGTGCATTTGATACTTTGAATTTGTCTTTTCATTTGCCTGCCAAGTGACTACATATCTGTCTAGCAAGGCCATGCAAAATGCGCCATGGGAAAATGCCATCATTCCCGGAAACAGAGGACTCATAAAGATTCCTCGAATTCCAAAGTTGTCCTCTGCACACTACATATCCTGGAGAGAAGCAAGGCCACTCGCGACCCTGACTACCCCCCTATTGTCCCCAACCGCAACCAATTTTTAAAAACCGCGCTCCAAGTCATGATTCTTCCTTCATCTCAGTACAGGAGAAAAAGACAAGACAGAAACCAGCCAAAAGATAAGCATACACCCGTATTGCGGGGCGAAAGCCTTTATCGGTAAGACTTTTGGAAACGGGCACGGGCACCACGACCACCAAACTTCTTGGGCTCGCAGCGGCGGTTGTCGGCGACGAGGAGGGTGCGGTCAAAGGCGACGAGGGCCTGCTTGAGCAGGTTCTTGGAGTGCTCGTCGACAAACTTTTGGTAGTAGGCGACGAGGGACTTGGCAATGGCCTGACGGATGGCGTAGACCTGCGAGGTGTGACCACCGCCGGTGACGCGGACGCGAATGTCAATGTTGGCAAACTTGTCGAGGCCGACGACGAGGATGGGCTCGTAGACCTGGCGAGGACAGGTTAGCGTGGCTGCTGCGAATGGATGGCTCTCTTTTTGATTTGTGAGGGCGTGGGGTGCGCGCTGTTGAAGAGCAAGGCTTCTCCAACGGCGGTGGCCCGACGTCGCTGATTTGCGAAGGGGAGGATGGAGTTGAAGAATGGGAGAAGAGCGTTTCGTACCTTGAAGCGGAGAACCTCGGGCTGGACGAGCTGAAGAGGGCGGCCGTTGACCTTGATGAGACCCTTGCCGGCCTAGGATAATTTTGTTAGCTTTGCGATTCTCGCAACAGACATATCCCGAATGCAATGCCAGGTCGTCCGTCGATAAAACAGTCTGCCGTCACGATTTCCCGCAGCATCTCAGCACCAGTCCACCTCTTGCCAATCCACATGTTCAAGCGATATATTGCAGAGAGAAAAGAATGGCAAGAATTTTTCGGACATCGTGACGGGTAGACTCTCGATCGGGACGACGACAAGCAATGGGCAATTCGTTTGTGACGCGCTCCAGCACGAACCTTGCAGTGGGCGACGGCGGTGGCCGTCTTCTTCTTGCCGAAGCACTGGACGCTCTGTGTCGACATTTTTGCGGTTATGTGATGGTATATCTTCGCAAAGGGAGGGGGCGCAGGAGAAGAGGTGTGTGAAGGCGTCTGCAGAACGAGGCGAAGAAAACAGCGGGTTTCGTGCGGCACTGTGATGGGAATGGGCAGGCTGGTTCCGCTTCTGCGCTGAGCAAATCCAATCACTCTGCACTGTATCCGTCAAGGAGGAAAGAAAAAATTCCGCCAAAAAGGGTTTGTGCCCTTTGAGGAATGCGCTAGTCCTGATTTTGATGGACCAGCTCGCTTCCCGAACTTTTTTTGCCCCAGCGCGCTTGCAGTGAAAAAATATCCACACGTGACTGTAGAAGCCCTAAACCCTTGCAAGTGCGAAGCGGAGCACCGCCAGCGGCGCCCCCCCCCCAATCCAAGCGACCATCCAAAATTTCGCCTGCCCTCGCCAGCTTGCTGAAATCGACCAGCAATTACGCCCGGGTAAAGTATCACAGCCATCCGACAACAACAAACCGTCAAGGTACGCTCTTCTTTTTGTCTTGCGCGAGAGAGGAAACGAAGCAAGGGGCAACATGTTGAATCATTGCTTCATGCTGTTGCCTTGAACTCTCGAATCGTGTCGGTGGTGAAGACGGGAAACGAATGCTGACTTTGTATCTGCAGATGGTCGCCGCCAAGAAGCACGTCCCTATCGTGAAGAAGCGTACGTTTTGCACCCGCTGCCCCCCATTTGTGTCTCTGCCGAATCGACTTGTCTACGAATTGTCAGGGTGAAGATGTTGGATTCGTTTGGGGAACTTTCGAGGCCTGGGAGCAACCGTCGAACCGATGCAACCTTCTTCATGCCGCCGCCGAAAACCGATTTCATTTTTTCGGGGCATTGGCAAGCGAATGCCACCCTGCAATCGACAATACCAGACGAGACGAGGCAGGGCGCATGGCTTGGTTTGAGCCAAACACTAACCCGGACTTCACAGGCACTGCGCGCTTCTTCCGCCACCAGTCCGATCGCTTCATGCGTGTCGACCCCAGCTGGAGAAAGCCCAAGGGTATCGACAACCGCGTCCGTCGTCGCTTCCGTGGCAGCATTGCCATGCCCTCTGTACGTTTGCCCCCCCTCGCCTAAACACCCGCGGCGTGCGACAAGACACACGGCTCCTAACCCAGCATTTCTCCTTTGTCACAGATTGGCTACGGCTCCAACAAGAAGACGCGCTACATGATGCCCTCGGGCCACAAGTCCTTCCTGGTCAACAACGTCAAGGACCTCGAGCTGCTTATGATGCACAACCGCACATACGCTGCCGAGATTGCCTCGGCCGTCTCCTCGCGCAAGCGCATCGACATTGTTGCCCGCGCCAAGCAACTGGGCGTCAAGGTCACCAACGCCAAGGCCAAGGTTACCACCGAAGTTTAAAAAAGATGAATCTCGGTGTACCTTGTTTTCATATTGGGGGACTCTTAAAAAAAAGCATTCAAAAAACATAGTAAAAAACGATATAGAGCGAATGACATTGAAAGATTTGTCTCTTGGCTTTTTCCATGTCTTGTTCTCTCTTGTTACATGTTTCGCTTTGTTTCCCTCGACTTTTTTTTACACGAAACTTGCGCGCCTGATTCTTTGGTCCGAATCGACAAAGGAAGGGAATCGGGCTTCTTCACTTGGGGGGCAAATGAAAAAGAGTTTAGGGTGGTTCGGCTTTGGTGTTGGGAAAACATCTGAATTATACACGGGGACGGAAGGGGGGGTTCAAGGCCGTTCTTTGCATATAGAAAGGCCTGCTCCCCGGCCGGTCGCGCACAAGACCGGGACGCATTGAATGAAAACAATAACATCAAATAATGTGAACGGGACTGTTTCGCAGTGCATGTGTGCTTTGTATCATTACCGACTGAGCCTCGCGTGGTTTCAATGCATCTGGGAGAAAGAAAGAGTATCACCCTTAAATTTGTCCCAATGATCATTGCTGGGGGAGGTGGGAGGTCAAAAGAATTCCGATTGGCGACATGTAGAAAGATGATGGTCGTCAGCAAACACCATCACGATCATATCACGCATCTACGCAGCATCAGAAATATTTGAGCACAGATATATTCACGTTGAAAGAACAACATCTCTGTGCTTTGCTCACCGCGGATACCACACACTCATTCTCCCCCATGAATCGCTTGCTACAAGCAAGCAGCCTACCAACCAGCCAACCAACAACAACCAACGAACCATCACCAGCCCTGTTTATATTCCATTTTGTTTATACACAGAAATGAAGAAAAAAAAGAACCCATCATATATGCAACCTCTAACCTAACAAAAGAAATTACCAAGAAAACAAATCACGTTTATAGCGAGAGTATTTGGGTTCAATCAAGAGTCGGATTCAACAACTCGCAGAGTCTCTCTCCTCCCAACGCCAAAGTAAACCCCATTGTGAAAGTAAAGAAAAGAAGCGAATGGATGAGGACGAATCCCTCGCGTAGAGAAGATACAAAGACACTGTCCTTGAAAAACTGAAATATTTGATTGTTTTTTTGGTACATCTCAATACGTCTCCCACGTCCGTGGGCGCACCGAGGAAAATAAGTCATCAAGCGTAACAACCAGGGCCTTGGCCATATCATGCCAACAGTGCGGGGTATCGCAAGGAAAAATGAATACAGAGAGAGAGAGGTAAACGGCTACGCCAGATCTAGGCAGTGCCTCGCATGCGCTGTTTCCGCGCCAGCCAGTCTCCCAACAAATTGTCCAGCTGGGTAGTAATCTCAGCCAGTTTGGCATTCTGCTCTCTGAACAGACCGCCCATCGCCGGATGATCGGCACCAACGGGTTCCGCGTCCGACTTGTCGTAGACGACGGCGAGGAGGTCACGTATGTGGTCGCTCTCGTCGAAAAAGGCGCGCAGCTTGACGTCATCCCAGACGTCTTTGCGGCTGCTGGCGGCACTGGCGCTCTTGGGCACGAGCTCGGGCGACGGCGAGGCGTTGGGCGAACGGTCTTCCGCAGAAGACGTGTCGGGCACCAGGCCGGGCGGGTTCGAGGCGTTGCTAGGCGAGACATGGGCAGAGTCTACTGCTGAGCTAGCGCCGGTCTGTGGCGTAACCGCTCTGTCTCTTGACACGACTGGTGAGGAGGGAGATGGAGCACCACGGGACTTGGAAGCAACCGTAGCGGCGCCAGCGGCGCCAGCAGCGCCAGCAGCGCCAGCAGCGCCAGCCACGGCGGCAGTGACACCAACATCAGCAATATTGCGGGACTGATTTGACGATGCAGTCTCTTGTTGTTGCTCTTCCTTCTCGGAGCTGTCTGAGCTATCCAGCTCCATTCTCGTCTTGGCCTTCTTGGTCTTTTGTGGCTTGGGCTCGGCGCCATTGCTCGGGTTGCGATTGTGAATCATCTTGGAAAGGGCAGACGCCTTGTCGCTCAACGAGGCCGAGCGGCTGGGCGCAGACTCGGGAGATTGTTGCAGCTGGCTAGATGACACATTGTGCGTTTCCTGCGTGTCGGGATCGACGATGCGCATCGAGGCAGGCGGCACGGAGGAGACATTGTTTGTGCGCGTCTCGCTGAGATAGGACGAGAGTTCGACCGTGGACTTTTGTGTTTGTGAAGTGGCCAGCTTCCGTCCAGCCTGCGGCTGTGGCTCAAGACGAGGTTGGGGTTTTTGTAGCTTGCCGATACGCTGAGACCTGTCGGGAGAGCCAGTCTCGTCTCGGTCGTCAGCCTCCATTGTGTCCATGGAGCGCTTGCCAAAGGACTCGTCGTCGTCGTCCGACTTCTTCTTGTCCTTTCTAGAGAAGAAGCTGCGGATGGCGCTGGGCTTCTTGTCCTTGCTCTTCTTTTTGTCCTTGTCCGAGACCAGCTCCCGCTCCATCTTCTCCAGGCTAGACCGGCCCTTAGCCGAGTCTTTGCTGGCAGAGTCAGTCGAGGGTCTGGCGGCAGCAGCATCACCGTCGCGGAGCAAGTTGGGCGTGAGAGTAATCTTTTTGGTTTCCTCGTCGTTGAAAAAGGAATCCGTATTACGGACGGTGCCATTCTTTGATCGGCTGACACTTGCTGTCTCGTCGATGATCTCTTCGACAGAGCTGGTGTCATCGTCTTCATCTTGTCCGAGCTGGTCAGAGTCGTCCTTGTCGAGTTCCTTGGCCAGAGCCTTTTCACCCTTGGTGGCTTTGGTGTCGTGACCATTCTCAGTCTTAGAATCCTTGGTACGGAGTGGCTCGACACGAGCTTCTTCGGCTGCTTCTTGGCTGCCCTGCTGTGACTGGGCATACTGTCGAGCAGATTGCGGATTTGTACCAAAGAGCTCCTCGATGTCTTCTTCGTCGGTGGAGTAGTCAAAGTCGGAGTAATCAACATAGGTGGGTTCGGCAAAGGCCACCGTCTTGCGCTTGCGGCGGATAGCTTTGAAGGAAGACTTTGGTTTGACGGCTTGGTCTCCCAGCATGGTTGCGGACAGCTGCTCAAATTAGTCCGGCGCAGGGCGATGGAGCAGCAACGGCGATATGCAACTTACGTCGATATTTCTGTGCTTGTTTAGGCGAGCCAGTCGTTCTGTGGGAGTCTCAATGTGCTCGGCAGGAAGGTAACCAATACTGCTGTCCTTGACGACGCGCACAAGCCACCAGTAGCTGTTGCTGTCGTCGAGGAGAACCATGGTATCACCCTTGGTTGCATTGGCTTGACCCTCGACGGTGGCGACAAAGGTATGAAGGGCGTAGACAAACTGGAAATCAATGTCCTCTGAGTCACGTAAGCTTTTGTCCGAGCTAAAATCACTGTAATTCTGATCAAATGGGGTGACGGGGGGCGCATCCTCAGCAGGAGCGTCATCTTCTTCTTGGCTGGGGTCTGAGAGGGGTACCGGTGTTGGGTCAACAGTGGACGAGACAGTATCTTGAGGCGTATGCGCGGAATAGTCGCCGTTTTTGTAAGCTGGTGGTGTCTCGGTCAAACTACGCATAGGTTCGGCCTGGCTTTCGGTAGCCAGCGTTGACTGAGAGGATACCTAATCCAAAGTGAGGTCTTGCTGGGTTTTCCCTGGCCAAGTTTGTTGCTTGTTGCCAAGCTGAACAGTCTTGTGATCGTCGTGATTTCCGTGAGGGTTGACATGGATGGCAGGATGTCGGAGATGGGTGTCTGGCTTTGATACTATATCCTTGATGGGCATAGGGATGTTGGACCGGCGAAGAAGAAGATGGCGAGGCTGCTGAGAGAGGGAAGTCGACAACGACTGGGAAGTGAAGAACCGTGCGGCCGCTTGGCGACGGAAGCTTGAAGTAGTAGGAAGGGAAGAGACGCGGCGAGGCCAGTCGTGGACGCTTGCGCTTGCGCTCTCGGCTGGAGCTGGAGATGGATTGTACACACCGTCTTCTATCGAGGGAGAGCTCGAGATCTTGTCCATGAGGTCGTCGTCTAGGTCGTCAATGGCGTCGCCTTCGAGATCGTCGTCATCGGAGGAAGAGACATCATTGTGAGCAGCGGCAATGGCGTCCTGCTCGTGGCGGCGGTAGGCGTCCATGGCGTTGCCAAGGTCAACAGCCTGTTGATCGGGCTGTTGTTGTTTGGCGTCGGAGACGTTGGCGTCAGCAGGGTGAGATGAGGCGGCAGAAGATTGGTGGGATTGCAAAGGAACGTGGGAGGAAGGGCTGGCGGCGACGGGCGGTAAGTTGGGGCTGCGCAAAAGGTCTTGGGCGGTCTCGTGGGCGACTTCGCGCAAAGTTTCGGCCTGGTGCGGCGCTCGTTGGTGGGTATTGTCCGGGTCGAGCTGAGGATGAGACTGGTTCTGGGACGACGGGCCGTCGTGATGCTGCAGGTCGATCGTATCTGCTCGGGGGAAACAATAGCGACGAGGTCAGTCAGGGATACCGGGGCAACGTTTTGTGGCGTGTTGCAACCAAAGTTTGCTCTCTCGCTCTCTCCTTCTCAATTGCGCCGCGCTGCAACGGCTGCTTCTCTTGGGCCGTCTCGCATGTACAGTCTTTGGGCACCACGCGCGGGATACAAGTAGTAGCCTCGAGTTTTGGGTGTCCAAGCACGTCAGGCAGGCAGACTGGAATGCAGCTGGTGGCGGGAGTGGTGCAGACCTGCAGGAGATGCGGGCAGCGGGTAGAACATACAAGAGAGAGATGAGGGCGCAAGACGCAATTGGGCAAAAAGAAGCAGATGAGAGATGCGCGCAAAAGAAAAGAAAAAAAAAACAAGAAAAAGAAGTGAAAAAGAGTAATAATAGAATGGAAGAAGAAATCAGGCCCAGGCCGTAGAGGAGTCCCGGTCGTGCTTGGTGGCGGAACAGGGGGACAAGGGGGAAAACGGTCGGGGGGGGGCCGGCGAGTGAGGAAAAGCGCCAGGCGGTTGGCGATGAACGGGGAAGGAGGGAGGGGGACGCCGAAGTGACAAGGTGGTGGGTGGCCAAGGTAATCTGTAGGGTTACAACGTACCGGCTCTAATAATGGTCGGCCTAGTCATGGTAACGAAAAAGGAACACGCTCAAAAAGGGGAGGATTGGCGACGAAGTAGGTGGCCCAGGCGGCGGCGGTGCGAAGCTAAGAATTGTGACCAGCCTCCTTGTTGGTGTCGTCGGTGGGTTGACGATGAGACTCGAGACGGAGGGGAAACAAAAGTAAAAAAGGGCGACCAGAAGAAGATTCAAAAAAAGGGCCAACGGTGGAAACTAAAAAAACGGGCAAAACGACGTCGTCGAGGGATGAATCCAAGCGCATGTATCCGTATGGTGGGCGGGGAGGGAGGTCGGAGGAGGGGAGGATGGCCCCTGGAATATTTCGTGTGTACAAAGTATTACGGATAATACAGATTAGATAGATCCCTGGCTGGTGTGTTTGGAGTGTGGCCCAATGCTTTATTGTGTGGACCAGGCAATGATGTTGAAGATGGGAGAGACTAAACGACATGTTTTGCTATTGCTATTTCTGTTGCTGATGATGATGTGGACATGTCGAGCGGCGTTTGCTGCTGCTGCTGCTGCAAGTGTGAGATGTGTCAGCTTTTGATGCATGACGGCCTCTTTTCTCTCTTGCATCCATCCATCATATCCATCCATCATTGAGCACTTTTTCATCACAGCGACGGCCAATACCTCCTGACGTATCCGCAGAACTAACTATTCGTAGATCTATCAGTACGACTCTCTGCTCATCAAATGCCAACACACCAGCCCATGACGAGTCTCCCTCCCACCAGCCATCCAACAACCATGACGCTGCCAAAAGAGGCTGGTTATCGCACCAACCCTCATCCAGCTGCCCTCTCGCGGGTGGCTGGTCCTTTTTTCCCTACTTCTCCGCTCGTCCTATTCTAAACGCCCTGTCATCGTCTCCGTCACATGCTGCCAATCCAAAAGCGGCCAACCAACCAACCAACCAACCATCGTCTTCTACCCCAACAGTCATCACAGCACATCCGCCCATCACCTCTCCTGTAAACGCTCGCCGCGTAATTCATTCTTCTGTCGATAGTATCACGACTCCGCGATTGAATAGAAGCAGAAAGAAAAAAAGACACAATTCGTCGGCAAATGACTATAATTCACCCCATGTCCAGTTCCATCCGAGCCCCTGGCTAAAGTTCCAAGGAAAAAAAAAAGAAGTCTTGCTAGTCAGATCGCCTTGATACCCCACCCGCCTGGTTACAAGCTTCCACTAGCCTCAGACGTCGATCGCTCACATCACCAAGAAACGCCTCTATCCGCACTTCTCCCAACACTCATCCAAACATCCTGACATTCAGATCTACCTGTACGAAGCCAACGGCCACTTGCCGCGCCCTGTACGCCCATCCAGCAGCCTACATGCCTTGGTCCAAATCTTTGCCTCGTACGGAGTACCTGGCCCGCACAGCGCATTGTGCCACGTCCTCCCTGCCCCGCGTAATATCCCCCAATACTTTAGCCAAGAAAAAAACATTGTATAATAGTATAGAATAAAACAAAGAAGATGTCACGCAACATCTGTTCGATTCAGGCGACGCGTCGTCCCACTGCCCACACCAGGCATCCCTCACGGCCACCCCGAATCATGCTCACCACCACGACATGATCTACACACTACACTGCTTACCTCCGAACCCAATCCCGCGCCCGCGATACGCGTCTTCATCCATCTTTGCATATCCCGACATGGACGACTATCCACTTGACTCCTAACTTCGTACAGGTCCATCCATGCGCCTTCTACCAGTATACGTCCTCGCGTCCTCGGTTCCGCTCATCCCGCCCACTCTGTATTATCTCCATGCTCTTCGGATGACCAACATCATTCACAATGACAAAGCTCTCGTCAGCATAGCAAAACCATGTGCATTAAATTCATGCATCGCCTGGACTGCTATTGTTGCCATGACTGCGACTATGTAGTGCTTTCTTCTCGTTTCATAACCCATGAACAATTTTTTTGTCGTCTTTTTCTTGCAAAACTTTTCCCAACCCTTAGATTAAATCCCTATAACAAATTTGTCACAACTCGCTACTTTTCATAATAGCAAATTAATCTTGCTTTTTGTTCTCTTCTTCTCAGATCTCTGTAAGTGCGAAGGAAAAGTACACCAGCTCGTGCTGGCCAATGCTTGGTCCCAAAACAATGCTAAAAACTCAAATTTGCAAATCAAGAATGTATACACACTTTTAGTTGACAATAGACCACTTAGTGCTTGCTGATGGAAGCGCGGCGGAGACGCTCAGTGCCGTTGCCGTTATCACCGTTGATGGCGGCCATACGCTTAGACATAAAGTCGAAGAAAGCAAACTGGCTGGGCTCGGCACCAAATTCGTACACGAAACGCGACGCCAGGTAGCTACCGAAAATACTGCGCAGGTAGCTCTCGGGCACACGCTGCACAATGGTCTCGAGACCAATCTTCTCGAGGAGAAGCTTGGGCAACGCGTCTCTCAGGATACCATAGCGAATTGTCTCATTGGCCCACAGATCAGACTTCTGGAGCTGCTCGTCCAAGTCTGTAATGGCAATCGACAGTTTGTCAGACAGAATCGAGCGCGGCTCGCCAGTCTTTTCGTGCTCGCGCCAGATGGCCTCAAACTCGAGAGCAGCGTTCTCCTGAATCTTGGCCTGTACCGAGCGAACGTAGTCCTTGTAAAATTGAGGAGCCTCACCAGTCTTGGCGTCGACGCACATGTTCTCCACGAAGCCGGCATCATCAAACGAGAGCGAAGCCAGAACCTCGAGTGACGACGATGTGACGCCACCCTTGTTGGCAGAAGCATCTTTGTAGAGAATGCAGCCGGCAGCCTCCAAACGGAGCTTAGCATCCTGGGTGATGAACAAATTGGCACCCTCAACAATGTAAGGAATGACGCTCTTGCCATCCTTGATTAGGCGGTTAACCGAAATAAGATCGATGGACTCGGGACGGCCACCACAAGGGACAAAGGCATCAGTCATGCCAGTGTCACGGAGGTGATAGGTGTTGCGGAAAGAGGTACCGTTAGCAACAACCTCGCCGTTAGGTAGGGTAACGTTATTGTCCTCGCAAAGCACACGGTAGCCGTCCTTGGACACCTTGGACATGTCGTACTCGCCAATCATGGCACGCTTCTTGGCAAGACGAACAAGCTCGTCCTTGTCGAGACCATTGGGGTCGGCCAGAACACCAGAGCCGTCAACAATAGCCGTCCACTTCTCGTTACCGAGAAGGATCTCGTTGCTGCCCAGGTCACCGTCGGGACCGCCAGTCTGCATCTTGCGGACGGTAGAGGGGTCAAGGTTCAGCTTGCGGTAGATGCCCTTGACGTATTCGCGGACGGACAGGGTAGTCATGCCGTATTTGTCATGGGGAATACCACCCAGCTTCGGAGACTTGCCAGTGAAGAATGACTTCCACCACGGGGCACCGCGGGTACGGGCATGTTCGGTAGCCCAGTCGACAAGGCCGGCAGTGTTCTCATCGGGGCCCATGAAGAGGATCTCCTGCTTGCCGTACAGATCCACCACGGGATTCTTGATACCGGGTGTCTCGGCGGGAAGGAGAAGATCGAGAATAGAGTCAATGTACTTCTCAAAAGCCTCCTGAGCACGGTCCTGCTGCTTGGGGTCGAGGAGGATGACACCCTTGGAACCGCCTTCGGGGATATCCTTGTTCTTGCGCTGCTGGGTACTGGCAAGACCATAATTCTCGTCAAAGAGATTGCGGACATTGATACCGTAAGCCTCCTTGCTGCGGGACTTGACGATACGGATACCACCACGAGAAATTTCGCGGAAACGCAGGTGGAAACCGCGGGACTCGGCTCCAATGACAAGGAACATGCCGTACAGACGGCGGGGGTACTCGGCCATGGGGAGGAAAGAGGGGTCGAGACGGAAGCTGAGGGCAACCTTGGTGGGGGTAAAGTAGTTAGTCTTGAGAATGGCATTGTTGAAGACGCGGAAAGCGGTCATGACCATTTCCTCGTGCTCGTTGGCGACAGTCTTGGAGATTCTGTCCTTGAGTCTCTCATCCGAGAGGACCTCAACCTTGGGGGTGGGGGCGAGGTAATGGCGTTCATAGTCGGGGCCTACGCTGAGGTGGACATTGGCAAAGGAAGCGTAGAGGGAGCGGACCAGCTCGGGGTGGGACTGGATAATCTCATAGATGTAGTCGGGGGTAAAAGTCTCGGTACGGAGACGGCGCTTGAGCTTGGATAGGAGGGCAGCCTGGGCGCTGTCGTTGTGGTTGATGATCTCCGAGAGAGAGACGTACTCGGGGCCTAGACGGTTGAGGAAATGCTGGACAAAGACCCAGGTGGCATGGGCGTAGACAGCCTCCTGAAGGCTCAGGGCACCAGTGGCAAACAGGTTGTGGAACTTGTTCTGGGGAAGGCAGTAGAGCAGGGAAATTTCCTTGGTGATCTGATGAATGGACTCTTCCATGGGGGGGAAGTAGCCGCCGTCTGTCGAGGCAGGGCGCAGGTAGATGGACATGACGGTAATGCCGTTGGAGAACTGCTCGACGTATTTGCGGGAGGATGTGACGCCATAGTAGTGGTAGAGATCGGAGAGGGAGGAGAACATGCCACGGGCAGTACGGGTGCGGAACGCAACGACTAGACGCTTCTCAACAGAGTCCTCAATGTCAAAGATGTCAATGACGGGGCCGGTTCGAGACACGGCGAGCTGAATGATCTCCTGGTAGATTTGCTTGGTGTTCTCCGTAGCCTTTTGCCAGAATCCGGCGTCGGAAATGAGCTCAATGTTGGTCTCTTTGGGGTCAGTGTTCTCAACGCTCTGCTTGAAGTCGCACTTGTAGACAAAGTAGCAACGGAGGGTGGCCTTGGAGTTGGGGCTGGCGCCGATGGCGGCGGGGGAACGGAACGTCTCGACGCGGTACTTTGTCCTGTCCGAGTGATCGAGGTACTTGGCCTCGAGACGGACCTCATAGCGGGGGCCAGAGACGTTGGACTGGCCAGGTTCACTGGTGTCAATGTAGATGGCATGGTCCTCGGCCTCCATGTCGAGGCGAATCTCCTCGCGCTTGTCCTCACGAGAGTTGGCGGCAACCTTGGCGGCGTAGAGGGAAGTAATTTGGTTGCCAATGACCTCTGGGCTCTCAATGCGAAAGTAGACATCATCGATGCCGAGCTGCTCGTAGAACCAGCGAATCTGGTCGTCGACGAGGGCCTCGGGAATCCAGCCATTGCCGAGGATGAGGTTACGAACTAGCAAGGGAAATTCGTGTCAGCTAGGAGCCAGGTCATAATGGGCTTGAGAATACGCTCAGGATAACTTACCAGTCTTCATCTGCTCAACCTTTCCAGTAAACTCGGGGGCGACATAGCCGACGGTGGCCGAGCGAAGCTTGCGGTGGCCAGTGCCGTTGTGTGAAGACATGTGGGTGGGCTGAGGAGAGGGCAGACGGCTCGATTCTGACGAGGCGAGGTTGGCCAGGACCTTGTTGGCTGATGTTGACATTGTGACTGGTAGACTGTCGGAGGAGTTAGTTGTGTCGAGAGCGAGGCCTGGCATTGTGTGTGATGGAGGATATATTATAGGCGGAGGGAAAGGACAGTAGGTGAGGGTAGTAGATGAGAAGAGGCAAGTAGACGATGAAGGTGTAGAAGAAGACAGATTATGGGAGATGTCGTGAGGTGGAAGAGGTATGGGGAGTAGTGGGTTTTATATAAGACGCGGTGACGAGACTGCAAACAAGCGGTCGCCGACACATCGTGTAAGTGATGAGCACAGCAAGCTGTTACTCAATAGTTTCCGATGGCGGGCAAGACAAGGTGGGGGGTGAGATTAGGGTCGCCAGAGAGCAGCGAGGGCCGGGGTGAAGGTAAGAAACTGGCGTGGGCCTGCTAAGCATGGGGAAGACAGTAGGACAGGTGACCAAGGGTGTCTAACGTGGGAAAGGCTAGGATTGTCTGTTGCTCAAGCTTGATGCAGGATGCAGCGGCCAGTGGAGAAAGAGATGTAACATTGGAGGAATGAAAAAGAGGAGAGCAAGGATAGGTGAGAAGAGCGCGGGTAAAAAGGAGTGTAGAGAGAGTACCACGGTGAAGCCATCGTGAGCGAGTGTGATTGGGTGTGCGTGAGCCTGACCGCTTGGTCAGGGTGAGCTCAGCACTGGCCAGATACTGCTAGCGAGCAAAAGCTGCCAGTTGCCAGGTGCCAAGTGCCGGCCGCGTGCCAGCTGGCAAAGTGTCGTTTTCGTTTGCGCTGCCGGACAACAAAGCCCATCTGACCAGAACAGCATGCCAATCGGGATTGTGTGAAGTTTGCATTGAGTCGAGGAAATGCGAACCGAACGGCTTACCTGTGATGTAATGCTGCAAAAGTCGCAAGTCGAGAAAGAAAAAGAAGCAGTCGACAATCGAAGCTTGAAGCTAGCTATTGCAGGTTGGGAGCGCGCTGCAGGAAACAATGCGCTGTTATTAGTGCGATTCTGTTTTCTGTGTTGAGGTTGCAGTGTGAGTGGCGGGGCAGCCAGCGGTTTATGGCGGGGCAGATGCGCAAGTAAATGGCGACTCGCAGCGGAAGACGAAGCGAGAGGCGCAGAGAATGCTGGTCAAGGCAGCAGATGCTGGAAAGAATATGAAGAAGCGCAATTGAATGCGAAAAAAACTTAATTGAGAGGCGGGTGTGGTTGTGTAAGAGGGAGGAGTTATTTGGAGATGACAAGGGACGAGTTGGAGATGGTGGGCACCACTGGGCGAGCTTTTCATCAGGGCGGGAAAGAGGTAGGGGAAAAAAAAGGGTCACTGCCGGTTCCCCCGTTGCGGCGATGGCGGGTGTGACGGCTCAGGAGGGTTTGGGGAGTGCTGAAGGCCCTGTAAGATGAAGTATCTAGAAGACCTTGGCGGGCGGGTTGGCAACTCTGACTCCCCAAGCCACCCCACGAGGTTACCAGCCAGGGGCCACTGCCTGGGCGGCTCAGCGCCCAACCATGTCCCAGCCGGGTATTGTGCCAGGGCCTTTTTCTGTGTCTGGCTGGCCAGAGCAAATTTGCATTGGAGCGTGACCAACTGACACGCAGCAGCCCGCCGTGCCACACGCGAGATTCAGGTACCTCTGCACAGCCCAGCCCAGCCTGTACCTGGAAACGAGCAAAGTCCCGTACTCGGCGTGGCAACGGAATTGCGTCGAGGGTCTCGTGCTCTTTTTTTGGAACACGACGTGATGACTGCGAGACAGAATATAAGAGAAAGAAAATTGCTTACCAATTTATTAATTCGAGTAATAGAGGTGAATGAGGTGGAGTTGTCTGTACAAACGCTGGTAATACTGTGTACGAGGTGAATGTCCGCCACAGAAACGGTGTAGAGAGGCTTCAGTTGAATTGCTTCATCAATCCACATCAGCTCGAAAACTAGGCGAAGCTGTCTTTTAAGTATATACGATTAATCACTTGGTCAACCCACGCACCCCCTCGATGAAATTTTCATTCCTTGCCTTTCTGCCAGACTCGCCGTTGTTACAGCTCCGTACAGCTGGGGGAAAGCCACATTGCCCCAGACCAAAAAAACTTGGCGCATTGATACTCGGTACGTAGCGGTACTTGACAAGTGGTGCAGAGGCTTGTGGAGCCTCTTCCTGTCCCCCAAAAACGCACCACGAGGCCTGCTGAGCCTGCCAAATGCTGTGCTCGTCCGACCAACCAACCAATTGCTTGGATGCTGAGCCTCCCCCATTCCCCATTCTCTGCTCCACTGTTCCACTGTTGGGGGAGTCTGGAGGGGAGTCTGGAGGGAGTTTGGAGGGGCGCTTCCTTTTTCAAGGACCTCATCATCGTGAGGAATTTTTCCATCAGCTACCATGGGAGTACCTGGAAACAGGCTCAATTGGCGGCCGATTTTAACGATTCGAGTCTTGCAGAAATTCTCATTTTCAGATGAATATGTACAAGCCAAAATTAAACATGTACGACCACGTCGATTCGCATGGGAAGCAGATGACTCTTTTGTACGACTATATAAGTGGGCACCTTGTATACCAAGTCCACTCTCAACTGGTACCAGCTGCCAGGTAGAATCATTGCTGTGGGCGATCGTGATGCGTCGACTACCAAAAAAAAATGAAAAGACGGAAACAAATTAGTTGAAAGAAGCTAAAATAATAAAAATGTAAAAAAAAAGCGGAAAAGTTTCAAACCGCCATTATTATACCCAACCCAAGACTCGAATAAGCCCGCCACTAGCCTAGTTACAACCACCAAATCCTGTTGGGTCCAGATGACTGGTTCCTGGCCGCTCAGAGCCGCCCAGGAACCGCAGCCCCAAGGCCAGCTGATGCACCGCGGTGGACGGTGGATTTCCACGACAGCTTGCATGAGCGTAAAAAAGCTGGAGTTTTGGAGGGGTAAAAGTAGGAGGGGCTTTTTTCAAGCACCTACCGCTGGGGCAGCGTGGATTTAGCAAGACGGAAAAGAACAAGACGAAGAAGGAGAAAAAGAAAAAAGCACGCCCCAAAAAAAGATACGTAGCTACCCAGTTTGCGGAATTGGAATTCTATGCTGATCGGTTATTCGAGGCTTTTCTGTTGGACAACTTTCTCACCCTCCATGCCTTTGGTCCAGCCGCTCTCCGTCTCAAACGGTGGCCGCCTCAGTCTTTGACAAGTCATTATTCAAAACACTCACGCCATGCATCTCAGCCCACACACGCACCATGAGCCATCATACATACGCCTTATGGCGGCATCATTTGATGCTATTGCCAACATGTCCCTCTGTGGAGCCGCCCTACTCTTGGCTCTGATGCTCTTTTGATCCTCTGATGACACGCACCCACAGCCCCTTCTAGACGTATCATGTACATTGACCCCAGCTAAACAGTCATGGCTTATTATTCTCCCCTCGCGAAAAGAGAAAGAGAGTAAAAAATGGACAAATGACAAAAAAGCAGGTAGTTATTACAACAAATCTAGATGGAGCTAGGCGAGACGGCGCGGCGCTTTCGTCTACCATTTTCCGCGGAAGCCGGCAGGTAAGCTGAGTCTTGTCAAGTCTAACTTAGTTACCATGTTGAAACCCCAACAGAACAATAAGTACATGTGTGTTACAAAGCAGAAATAGCTTGCCGCTAAAACCACTTACATTGCATTTGCCTTCTGTACCCACAGCGTTGACGGTCCACCAACACAAATCAGGTTGCGCTTGCCTGGACAGGCAACTGCCTCTTGCTGTGGCGTATGACGGATGACGGGTGACGGGTATGCATGTAAATGGTGATGCTTGCGTGACGCGCAGGTTGCAGCAGCGAAATTTTCCGTCCCTTCCCTTTTTTTTTTTGTGAATCCTGAGCTAGCTAGCAGAGTTGCAGTGGTATTCCGCCGATTGTGTACGAATATGCACCCAGCGGCACCGACAGGTATAGTACATGATGTTAATGGCCCTTGACTTATGACAGGCACAGGCTCGCGGGCTCGCATTGGATGCTTGCGAAACTTGTACCCGGCTGGCCGGATTGGCAACCACTATCCTGACAGAAAAGAGATTTCAGCTCAGTCATCCCCGCGCTCATATTATATGCAGGCGTTCGATCAACCCGGCTCGATCAGCTCTCATCGAGCCAAGGCATCAGAATAGTGCATGCAGCTGGCTCACTCAGAGAGCTCTGGCGCCGCCTCTTAGACAGGAAAACCAACCACGCGAATGCAGCTCGGGAAGAAGCGGGTCGGCCGCAACTGTCGTGTCAACAAGACTTACGTACTCGGTATACTACTGAGTAACTACCGCGCATGGCCCGTACAAGACGGTTGCTTGTGCGACGTTTGGGGCTGATTGATGTTCTGCTGCAGGTGATGAAGAAGTCTGGTCGCTGCCAAGGGTATGTTTCAAAAATAGTTACGGTATTTACGGTGGTGCGCCGCTGCGCTCCGTTGGAGCACAGCCTGTCATACTGGTACATAGCCCCGATGGTGGCAGGGTGCGTGCGCTTGCCGATCGACGTCTGGGTATTACACGGCAGTCCTCAACATGGCATTTGGAGACTTTTCCGTCTTTTCTCTCCCACTGCAGCCAAGAAAGGATGCATTATTAGCATTGGCACTGACTTGGAACCCAACACAGCCGAGACATGACAGCTTGCAAGGTCCTACAAGGATTTCTAACACTATTGATGCAATATTGTGCATTGTTGGCGTTTGTGTTGTCCAGGCACCAGGTAGGCTGTGAGGGATATGTGAGACCGTTTTCGAGTCGACGAGAAGTGCCACACGGGAAACTTGCTCAGCGACAGTTAGAGACGTCGCGGAACGGTATTGCCGATCGTCAAACTACAGGGTGCGTGCTCTATGCTAGCGCCCACACATTCACAGTCGACAAGGACGTTTGAAAGTACCAACTTACCAGGTGAAGAGTACGAATACTGATGGGAATGGAAACGAAATGGAGAAGCAAAGGTCCCACAGTCCGGATGCCATCGGGCCTCCACCACGACAACGACGCCGGCTTGGTTGGCCGGAGCCTGATGGGCACGCCATTCATGCAGAGCGAGTTTCCATTACCCCCAGCTTTCTCCAAGCGGCCGTTTTATATTGTTAGAAATTTTCCTCCCCAATTAATCCAACCAGTAGCCCGGCGCTTTACTGGCGCGAGGAGGAGTCGAGAATTAACAGAGGTGCATGGAATGAATAAAAGTCCCGAATGGCGCAATGCAACGCACGCACACACAGGCTGTGCGTTTTGGATGGAGTAAAGAGGCGGCTAATCGGATTGGTTGCCCGGAGTAGCCAATTCCATGTGGTAAACGAGCCGGATTTGCCTTTTTTTTTTTTCTACGCCGGCTAAGCCGTGTTGTTATAAAGAAAAGGCGTGGCATCGGCGTAATATGGCGCAAACGTCAATGTGCATGCGACGACGTATGTACGAATAGACGACAAGTGAGCTGGCGCGCAGCCGTGAGGATCATGGCGGGCATCAAGTGACTGTTGATGCTGCCCTGTGGTTATTACCGTTTCTCTGCACCACACACACATTTTCGCTTTACCCCAGCTTGCCAGCCTGGCAACTTGGGTGGTGGGTGACCCGATGACCGCCTCCCCCGCCATGCCGAGTAATAAGGAAACCTCACGGGCCGCCTGCACGATTCAACAAGGTGCAGCTCAATTAACTGATTATTCTCGTTGTTCATGGTACCAAGTAGACGCACCTGCGCCTCGCCCGGAAAAGTGTATTCAAGCCATGGGTGAGGGTCCGTCTCCACGCTCCGCTTTCACGGAGCCCGGACGCCAAAGCTGGGGCCGCGCCGGCAACAGACATCACGAGGACGGCAGAAATAAAAAATAATAATAATAAACAAAAAAAAAACTTAAACGGTACGATTTTAGCATGGAAATCAAAAAAGCTTCTATTTTGCGAGCTGATGGACCCCTGTATCATGTTCTCTGCTTCGGGACTCCGGCCCCCCTTTTGTTCATACCTACTTATTACCCATCAACCTAGTTATGTACATCCCTACCGGCACAAGGGACCAAACAGAAAACTCAGCGAGGTCACGATGCCCTCGGCCCCGTTTTCCCCTCCACCTCCAAACCGCCCCCCTCCCCTCCCTTCTTGGGAGATGCTTGCAGTGAGGGAAAAAAATCAAAACAGGCATCAAAAATAATGCCACGGAGGTCTTTCATCTTGACGGGGATTGCGGTGAATGCTGAGTTTCTGTTAATTTATTTATTCATTCTAAAGCGCCATTTTACAGTGACACACACCCCTTCCCTTCGTCTTCTTCCACACACTGCGTAGTTGACTATTCTAACTAATTTAGTTTGTTTTTTTCTTTCTTTGCTGCAGGTAAAAAAGCGCAATGTCTCGCCAAGTTTATTCTTTTCTCCAATTTTGCGGTTGCATGAGCTTCTCGTACCGGAATAAAAACGCACAAGCCCAAAATCGGAAAAGAAAAGGCTGTACCAAAAAAAAAGTACAAAGTACCGTACGTAACCTCCGTACCTACATGCCCCAGCCGCTTCTCCAAATTCCTTTTCGTTCTCACCGTTTTTGGTATGTACGACAGCTCGTAGGGGCTGCTCGTGACTGTCATTTTCTCGCAACTCGTATTACAGATGTATTTTATAAACTTTTTCATTATTATTCAAGACTGGGGTAAACTCAACACTCGAGCATTGATATTGAGTAGAGTTTTTCCCAAGCGTTTTCGCGAGTCGTGTCTGCACTGGCCCTTCTCCAAATTCTCAAGCCATCAAAAATCAGCCTCCACCCCGCATCCGCGCGGCCCCGGGGAAGCAAAGCCCATTCTCCCTCTTTCTCCTCGGGCCTCGAACATTGTTCAGCCGCCTTTGTCAGCTGCGCGTTCGTTTTTTTTTTTTCTTTTTTTTTTCTTATTCAAAATCCTTCCATCCCGTCTTCCTTTGCTTCTCTTCTTCCCGTCTCCCAACGCTAAATTGCCAATCTTGTACCCTCGCTTACCCCCCCCTGCCGGCATGATCACGGGGTAAAAATCAAATAAAAAAACAAAAGCAGACCGGAAAGTCGTACCGAGATTCTGGTGCAGCTTGGCCAGTGCGGGCTCTGCTTTGAAACTGCCCATCTGCTCTAGACTTTGTCTCTTTCCCCACGTACTTATTTTTGTCTCGTTGTCCCCGGCTTCCTCTCCATATTTCCTGAAAACGTAGAGAGGCTCCATAAGGTAGTAGAGGCAAGCAGCATGGGCTTTGCATCACGAGGCATGACAATGGATTGATTATTCGTAGCTACTTTCCAGCTTCTCGAAATGAAGATTCATCTCGCGGAACCACATGTCCTTGGCAACCCCCCTTGAAAGCGCTAGCGAGCAGGTGTGCGGCTATTAAGCACCCAGGCGTTTGGTACAGGGACAATGTAGCGCTCATTTTACACTTCTTTTCATCCTATGAATGGTCGGAAAGAAACAGAGAAGTGCAGAACCGGACTCCGAGACAGGTGTGCTTTGCTCAAAGGTTTGTCAATTCTACGGACCCCGGTCTTGGGTGGGCCGCATGAGCATATTTCCAGTCTTGTGTACTTGACCTCTTACAGCAAAGGTACATTGGTCTTGTCAAAGTATCGGAGCCGTTTTCGCTGCCGGGTAGGCTATGAAGCTGTATATTGTTGTCGTTGTATATCCGAGAGATGACCAGTGATGCGGCCAGGTCCGGGTAACATCATACACCGGGCCAAATGGGTCAACCGTCATGATATTTCAGCCTGAAGTATACAATCATTACAAAATTACCAGTTTATTACAGGTCACCAGACCTAGTCCTGACTTTGGTGGTCAGGTTCCGCCGCCAACAGGTTACCGTCCCTCAACTGATGAGACTGGCCTCTTCGGTGATTGTCCACCATGTGTGCGGCTCCCGTGTGCATGTAAGTCCGGCACGGGTGACCTTTTCATAGTCATCTCGATGTTCAACGCGATAAGCCTGCCGTCCACTTGCCAATACTTGGCCACCTGGGGCAGGCTTCTTGTTGCAGCCCTAGCTCGTGCAGTTGGAGGTAGCTATCTTCTAGCATGTCTATCAATGCCTTCAGCCGCAGAGTCAGCCGGCTCCGCGGGCGACACCACTTTGACGTCTCGGGGCAAGAGGCACCGGGATCCTTGAACTGCGGTGTCGTAGTATCCCGCTATGTGTGTGCCTTGAAGTGGCTCACTTGGCGATAAACGGGTGCTCCCGTGGCGAAGAGCTTAGCCTGATCTGGTTTTTCAGTTTTTATGGTGAGACCGCTCGGTAGGGACCATTCTGGACACATAATGCGCAAGAGGCGCCCGAACGGCAAATGACTTGTGTTGTGGTGGACGACATTTTGGACCAAGGATGGCCGCGTTTGTAGCGATAAAACCTGTAGCTACTACGCATCACGACCGCTCTGCAACGGCGGAAACGATATGATGAAGCATTGGACTGGCACTGTAAAGCCCACCTGTACGAGCAAGCACATCCAACGGCTAAGTTTTAAGCTGCTGCCCACTGTGACTACTTTACGATGTAAAGGGCTGTGTCCCAGGGTAGGCTTACAATCGAGTATGTCGTCAGGGGTGCACGTGATAGCAGCGCAACTCTCTGACAAATCAGATGCGAGCAAGCGGAACCCGCTCCTGGCAGGAGATGGTCGAGGACCGAAATTTTTAAACTACTTCCAGGAGTCCTATCAACCATCTACCAACTGACCTTCAATTCGCCCCTTGGCATCTTCGACACGCGGTTTGTATTTTATTTCTATCATTCCAAGCATTCACTTGCCGAGAATACCTCAATTATCTGCCCGCGCGACCGCCCGAGCGATCTCCTAATCTTTTGTCGACAACTTGATTTCGACAACCATTTCTACTTAATCTATCCTAATACACAGCCGGCAACATGGTTACCCTTACCGAAGTCGAGGACGAACACTTCCAGGAGCACCCTCCGGCTCAGTACGACGATGACGAGGACTACACGGATACCGGTATGTAACAAACTTGCGGCATCGCATCGCGCATGTGCGCCTGCATGACAGCAGCTCCCGACAAGCTCCGACGACCTTTCTGCTAATGCACTACTCCAGAATCTGAAATTTCCAATGACTCCGATTTTGATGCCGAGAACGAGAGCTTTGCCGAGCGTGTGTACGCCCTCCGCGATATTGTGCCTCCCAAAACCCGTGGCTGGATCGCCGACAGCGCGAGCGCCCTCTCGAGCCGTGCCTGGAGCGTCATGTCCTTTAGCGGCAAGAGCGCCTGGGTCATCACCACTTCGATCCTCTTCCTCGGAGTCCCCTTTGCCCTTTCCTTCCACGAGGATCTGCAATACGCCGCCATGGAGCAAGAGTACAACATGCGCCAAAGCGGCGGCGACATGCTGACCGGCGGCGGCGAGGAGCAGAGCACTGCCGATAAGGTCAGCGCCGCGCTTGCCGCCGAGGGCCAGTCTGGCCAGGTCAAGCCTGCCCTGTAAAGGCAACACGCAGGCTCATCATATCGACGAGTTGTCCAACGACATACTGACAAACACACGAAAAACGAGACATTGCCAGTTTCGGATCGTGGGACGGCAATCCGGCATCATGCACCATTACGATGACATGATATACCGCGTGTAATATTAGCAAAAGGAAACAAGCCAAGGCCGCGATCATGACGGAAAACGCCTATATTCGAGTCCATGACCCGCTTCGGGACTCAAAATGGCAGATAGATTACGGCAGACTGATATATTCTGGGATGTATAGACAAAAAAGCAGTATGATAGGATTCTACGCTTTTTGGAAGGGGAACGCTTGCACATGATGTTGTCAACTTTGGGCGTTTTTACTATCTCGTAGTATTTCTTCTGGGATTGGGGTTTGCACATGTACATTACCACGGTGCCTCGCTCAGGCTTGAGATTTGTCATTGTTGTATAACTGAATATTAACTCCACTAGAAAGGCATCACGCGCTTTAATCAATTCGAGGAGCGAGTGCTGCCATTTGCCGATGCAGATTCTCGGCAGCCACCGAAGTCCCTCGGCCGCCTTTTGGTGTGAGACGAAAGGGAGAGCTGACGACAGTGTCTTGACGACAGTATCTTGATGCTTTGCCAGTTCTACCCCCTCAATGCACGCTTTACATGACTGTGATTATGATTTTGAGCCAAATCGACATATGAAAGGGCTAGACGCTTCCTACGATAACTGGCTCAGCCATACCCGTCGCGAACGAAGCAAATCGGTATTAGTGCCACTCAAATCATCCTCATCCCCAGAGACGCCATGCTACTTACCGTCGGTACCGCACGAGGCCGCTGATTGTAACTGCCGCCCCCCGCAGCGGGAGATGGGTGCGGGTGCGCCACCGGGCTGAGAGCTGGCCGTGGGGGGTTTCTTTTTTCTTTTCCCCAATACTTTTCGGCATGCTCTGTAAGAGGAGGACGGCAGTCTGTCGGGAAGTGAGACCTACAGCAGTGTATTCTTGGCTGGGACATTTTACGCGATAGATTGAGAAAAAAAAGATGACATGCCGCAGCAAAAGCGGGAAGCGCAGGGTCTAGCCATGGCCACAGTCCGCAAAATGGTCGCCATTTTGATCATGGGTCGTCGGCGTGGGAGAGAAGCTGAGCAAATCCACTCGGAGGGAGAAGAACAACTGCTTCGGGCCTGAGCTGTTGGAGATCTTAGCGACTACGTGATCCTGCAGGCGAGTTGCGATTTGCGCACATGATGTGCATGACGTGGCGGGTTGTCAATGACATTTGATTGAGTCTGTCACATCTTTGTTGTGGCTTTATTGTTCCATAGATATGCGGCTTTATAGACTGCAGTGTAACTAATTGCTAGAAGTTTTGCTTAAAAAGTCACAAGGTAGGTAGAGCTTGGTAGATCAGGCTCTACCTACCTACTTGTGGCTTACACGCAAGGGCGGCTGGCTTCGCAAACGGCGTCTCGGCCGACCCACCGCACCACCGATCAACTTTTTGTGCATGTTGTTGTTGTGTGTGGGGAAGTGGTCGGCGTCTTCAATTTTGTTGTTGCAATATCTGAGAGAAAGAAAAACAGAAAAAAAGATGCGAGGAGAGGGCATGGATTACGTTGCGCTGCCCAAAATCGAGGTAGGTTTGTTTTCTCTGGCGACGGGGAGGTTTCGAACAAAAAAAAAGCGTTCATGACTGACAAGGGCCGATTTCTTTACCCCGCGATAAGCTTCATGCCCACCTCACGGGGAGCGTCTCGCGACGCACACTCCACGATATTTGGCGACGCAAAAAAGACGCTGGCGAGACTGACCTTCAAGATCCCATGGAAGTGATGCCCGAGGGCAAACACAACTACAGTGTGCAGGCGTGCGTTGTCCTTTCCCCTCCTTCCCTCCTCCTTCCACACAAAACTCCCCAGCAACCCGCCGCCGCCGCCGCCGCCGCCGCTGACCTTGTACGTCCCATCCCCCCAGCTTCTTCCCGTTGTTTAGCAGCTACATCTACAACCTCCTCACCGACGCCGCGTCCATTACCGAGGCCACCACGGCCGTGCTGCACGACTTTTGCGCCGACGGCGTCGTCTACGCAGAGCTACGCACCACGCCGCGCGCCACGCCGTCGCTCACCCCGGAAGCCTACGTGCGCACCATCCTCGCCGCCATTGCCGCCTTCAACCTTGCGCCCCCCCACCCGCACCGAATGCGCACGCGTCTCATCCTCTCCGTGGACCGCCGCCACGACGCCGCGACCGCGCTGTCGATCACGCGACTCGCCGCCGCGCTGCGCCCGCTCGGCGTCGTCGGCGTCGACCTCTGCGGGGACCCGCAGGCCAAGCCCGACGGCGGAGTGCGCGTCTTCTCCCCGGCGTTTGAGGGCGCGCGGGACGCGGGGCTCGGCGTCACGGTGCACTTTGCCGAGGCGCGCGCGGCGGCGTCGCGCGAGGAGCTCGACGTGCTGCTCGGGTGGCGGCCGCGCCGCCTCGGCCATGTCATTTGGGAGGACGACGAGGCGAAGCGCGAGATTGTCCGGCGCGGGCTCTGTCTGGAGCTGTGCCTGTCGTGCAATGTGTTGGCGGAGATGGTGGAGGGGGGGTTTGCTGGACACCACTTTGGGTACTGGCGAGGCGTGGACGGGCCCTCGATTTCACTTGCGGTATGTTGCTTTGTGCTTTTCGGGATCGGAGAAGAAAAAAATGGTATGGGTGTCCAAAAAAAAAAAAAAAAAAACTAACCGCGTGGATTTTGGATAGACTGATGATGTAGGCGTGTTTGGAAGCCCGCTGTCTAAAGAGTACGAGATTGCGGCGCGGCACTTCAATCTAGACAGGGAGGCGATATGCAGTCTGGCTCGCGAGGCCATTGACTCGACGTTTGGCAGTGACGAGGATAAAGAGTGGCTTCGATCAGTCATGTGGACGTCGTAAAAACGGATGGAGCCCAAAAGTCAAGATTCTCATCATCACAGTGTATATTTATCATGACTGTTTCTTGAAAGCGCTTTGTAAAAAGACGTAGACCTACATGCTATCGAATACCGCGGTAAAGATGTGCTGAGCGGAATGGTTCTTTTGACTGATGCAGCTTGCCCGATGCAATCTTGACAATTTCATTCAAGCAAGCCGCAAGTTTGTTGTAGGTATAATGTAAGAGAAACAAAGGGAGAGATTTTCAAAGCTTATATATATAGCCACAGTGCGCAATGGCACAATTGCACTGAAGGAACCCAAGCAAAATAAACGCCAACTCCTGCATGCGCAGTAAAAAAATTCTCACGAATCACCACCATTTCCTGGCCCAGCGTTCATACATCTCATGCCTGATACCACAAGTCAATGCAGACTTGTGGCAAGCTTTTCGAACCCTTTCTGGGTTACTGCACGCCTTGCGGTGGTGTCTCGAGGTCGACATCGTTGACCTTGCTGCGCTCCATCTCGCTCTTGAGGGCGAGGTCGCCGAAAAAGTTGGCGGCACGCTCACTCTCGGCACGCGTCTGGACGGTCTCGTCGCGGCGGTGGTCGAGCTCCTTGACGCTCTGCTCGAGACGCACGCGCAGGTTGTCAGCTGGGTAGCGGAGGACCTTGCGGACTGACGAGGCAATGCGGGCCGAGTTGCCGTGGACATAGTCCATGTCGGCCAGCTGCTGCGTAATCTTGGCCGCGAGGCGAGGAGGCAGGGACTTGGGAATCTGCTGGAGAACGTAGGCAGACGCGGCGACGGCGGCAATGACGATACCGGGCAGAATCAGCTGGCGCAGGTTGTCGTTGCTCAGGACCTTGCTTGCTGTGAGAGCCTGATCCATCCAGTTGCCCATACCCATCATGCGTGGCACCACGGCACCCGCGACTGTCAAGGCCATACTGGTGCTGGCAAGTTTCTCTTGCTTATGCACAATTGTGGACCAATCGAAAAAGTCCCAAACCTCGGTAGAAATGTGAACGTTGCGCGCAAGAGCATCACGCTTGCGACGAAACATGACATCGGGCTTGAAGTGCAAATTTTGGAATTCGTCCCCAATGTGCAGTAAGCCCAGTTGCTTGATGGTATTGACACCACGCATTGTCCTCTGTCTGGCGCGGTCCTCGCAAATGTGGACAGCTTCCGAGATCTGCGACAACATGGCCTCCTTCAGGTCGTCGGCGTAGGAAAAGGCACCAAACAGCCCTGGATATGCAATGTCGTAATTGGCATTGCCAGACTCTGTAATGGCCGTGGTAAGTTGAGAGCGTGTATCATCGTAGACTTCCTTGCATGTGATTTCGATACTGGTGTTGACCTGGTCGTCAACCTCGGTTCTTGCTTTCTTGCTTGATTCGAGCTGGGGTTCCAGTTCTCTGAGCTCACGGGTAACACGGTCAATCTCGGACTGGGCGACGTCTCGGTTAACACTGGCAAGAGTATTGACATCGTTGAGAATGTTGACGAGATATGTCTTGGCGGGAGCAAGCTTGGACCTCGCCCGCTTCTCTAGAACAAATCTGCGGAGAGACTGCTCCAGAGCCTCAAAGTCCCGAATTTTGTCCATGTCCTTGCCTTTACCCTTGCCGCCGTCGTCTGGGTCATCACCACCGCCGCCACCGCTGGAGCTTCCGCTGCCGCCTGGGCCTCCTGGAGGCGACGGGCCAACCGGGATGGCATTGCTGGACACGAAGTGGACTAGCTCATCAGACTCCTTTCTCGTGCGCGGGCTGAGCTTGCCAACTCCATCCAAAATCATTTTTTGGCAGCGCTCTTTGTCTCGTATGTTGTCGAAGCCGTTGACGACCATGAAAATATAGGCCTTTTCAGCGGCAGCTGTTGTAATGAAGTCTACCGCGGACTGTGTGAAGTGGTTGGCGGCCGAAACAACAAAGACTACCACGTCGATTTCTTCTTGTCTGCTGAAGATGGCAGTGGTCTTTGTGTTGTCTGAGTTGAGACCTGGCGCGTCGATCAAAGCGATATCGACGACACCATTGTTGAGCAAAGATTCATCAATCGCTCTGCTGTCCTTGACAAAGATCTTGCATTGTGTATATGTCTCATTATCGACGACAATCTTTTCGAGGTCCATCAGGGTGAAAACGTCATAAGTGCTCTCGTCGTTTCGGTTGTAAGTGGCGTTCTTGTGAACGGCATGGACTTCCTCCAAGCCAGCATTTTCCCTTGCATCGAGAACTTCGCAAAAGATGGCGGTGCACGGCTGCTGGTCTTCAGGTAACAGCTTTCGACGAAGAAGGGCGTTGCAGAAAGTTGATTTGCCGGCGTTCAAGTCTCCAGTGATGAGCACTTTACTTGTTGTATCTTCAATGCGTTCTCGGAGAGATATCAAATGTTTGATGCTGGAGCTAATCTTGCCATCGAGCAGAGCAGCAATCGAATGCTTCTCCAGAGAGTGGACTAGCTCGGTGTGGTTCAACGACCCGAGTTTTAGATCGAGTTTGAGGATGGAGAATTCTTGTGCGATTTGTGGCGACACAAGTCGGGGTTCGGGTACTGCTCTTCGCTCGGCGACGTTACTAGACTCGGCGATGTGGTCTTGCAAAGACGTCATGGCACGTCTGAGCATTGGTGGCTGGGCTTGCATGGAAGAAGTTGAGCTGGCCGCATCGGGGGCCATGGTGCTGATGCGCTGCAGGCCTGGTCGAGTGGCATTGGCTTCGAGGTCGGAGCGTTGTACGGAGGGATAGTGGGCAGGCCATGAAGTGTTGATTTCTTGCAGGCTATTCAATAGCTCTAGAACCTTGTTTAGGGAGCGGCCGAGGGCAGTGCGCTGGCGATTGTACCAGATCTGATGGACGACTCCGGACTGCCGCTCGTGCTGCATTGGCGCATCCCAGTTTCCACCGGCCATGGCGGCCTGCTCATCTCCGGCAATGCTTCCACCATATCCAGAGTCGACGTCTATCAGATGCTGCAGGCGTGCCGCGTGTTCCGAAGCGGCACCGTTGCCGACCGTCATGAACTTTGTTTCGTTTGGATGGCGAGCGGTGTTGTTGGTGTCGGGTTGAGTGTCCTGGGACGCAGGGGCTTTGCCCTTACCGTTGGCGTACTCCTGGCTCATAGCGATTTGAGCTTGGTTTGTACCATTTCGATAAAGAAATTCAAGCAAAGGGTGTTGGATGTCGTGACGTTGAAATGGGAGAGTCAGGCCGATTGCCCCCGGCGGTGGCGTGACGAAATTTGGGAGGCGAACTGCCCTCGAGGAGTGAGCCGGTGATTGGCTGGCGCTGGAGCGGATGCTTGGGCTCCACCAGAAGCTGTCACTCCCAGACTTCAGTACCTAGACACGTGCCAGAAGTAGTGTCGTAGCTATATCATAAAACTGAGGCGCTTTTATGGCTCCTGAATAGTTTTATTGGTGTTATAAAAAGTGATCATAAAGGTCACGGTCTGCACCTGCATTGAAAGAGATACGTTCGAGTTCGAGGGTATCGCCCACCACTTGGCGTGTGCGTGAGTAGCAAGCCAAATAATTGGTGGCATCAACCAATAAGTAGCGCCGGATCAGACGAGTTGTAGCTGAACACGAGCCACCAACTTCACAGCTGTAACAAAAAGAAAAGGGCATAGAAAAAATTGCTGGTTATCATACAGCTTTTACGTGTATTTCATTACCGAATTAAATGCGAAGATATGTAGTGTCCAGCTGCAAGTTCTCGTCCTGCCAGAACCGCGGCGCGGGTACATGTGGAACCAGCCAAAGGGCGCCACCAAAGCAACCGTTCGACGCCGCTGGCTGGCCGAGCATGTGGTTACGTAGTTGCGCAGGCAGACAAGTTGTATCCCACCATCCATCCTGCTCAGCATCACCCACGTCCAGCTATCCCGCCTCGACATTGAAGCTCCGACCCGCGAATTTTCGCCAGATCGAGGACTACACGTTGCACATCTTACACACGACGGAGCTTCTGACCAGCTCACGAGATGAATGTGAGCGCCGATGCACCTCACCGCGCAGGTAACTGGCAGCTAACCGTCAAAAGATGCTCGAGTGGGTGTTTGGCAAGCGCATGACGCCGGCCGAGCGCCTGCGCAAGAACCAGCGCATGCTTGACAAGGCCATTCGCGAGCTCGACCAGACTCGCGTCAAGCTGGAGAAACAAGAAAAGACGCTCATCCAGCAGATCAAGACGAGCGCCAAGAACGGCCAAATGGGTGCCTGCAAGATTCAGGCCAAGGATCTGGTTCGCACGAGGAGGTACATTGAAAAGTTCTACGGCATGCGCAGCCAGCTGCAACAGATTTCGTTGCGTCTCCAGGTACGCCAATGTCAACCCGCCCCCTCCCCCGCGCCGGGCCAAGTCTGCCTGCTAAACCCTACCCCAGACGTACCGAACCAATGAACAAATGATGCAAGCCATGAAGGGCGCTACAATGGCGCTCGGAAGCATGAACAAGTCCATGAACCTGCCACAGCTGCAACGCATCGCCATGGAATTCGAACGAGAAAATGACATAATGGAGCAGAGACAAGAGATGATGGACGACGCCGTCGACGACGCCATGGACACTGGCGTGGAAGAGGAAGGCGACGAGGTTGTCGAGCAAGTACTGGAGGATATTGGAATTGAGTTTAATCAAGCAGTATGTGCCACCGTCCCATATACAGACTGGATGCTAATAACCCTCGACACAGCTCGGAGAGACACCCACGACTATTGGAAACCCTGCCCAGCCCGAGGGTAAGATTGCCCAGGCAGTCGGTGGCGGAGGAGGAGGCGACATTGATCCTGTTGACAACGACTTGGAAGCAAGACTAGACAATCTGCGAAAGTAATGTTGGATCGTGAACGAATGAAATCGAGGCCACGACAAGATATCCGGTGCCTCCTCCTCGGAATGCACATCTACTTATTTGACACTTCTCATCTGCTTACATTGATTTATGGCGAGCCACTTAATATATACAGCTTTTTTCAGCTGCCACCATTTCAGTTTGTGCCAGCTCGAGTCGCCCACATCATAGCCCCGCGGAGCTCGTACTGCGTGACGGCCAACTGTGACGCTCTGAGCTTTGTGAAGCCGCCGCGCCAACAATCAATGGGAACTCCAGCAAGGGTCACAAGATTACTGGCAGCGTGTCGTAGCTTGTAGAGCAGCCTCGGCCAGGAAAGCTTTCGACAAAGGCTTCGAGTTACTAAATCTTGAGCAGCAATCTCGTGCAATGTATCAACGAGAAAGAACAGCGGCATCAGTATATCGTTCCTAACAGAGGTAACAGATATCAAGTGCGCTGATTATATAGCCGTTTACGGCGAATGACATTGTCAAAGTACGTGCCAGTCATGAGCAGGCAACGGCAAGGGGCGCTTGAAACGGCGTCCCGGACGCGCGAGAGGAGAGTGTCATGCGACGCCGGTTTATGCGAACCATGCTCGACACTGCGAGACTACGGTATTGTTAAAAGGCAACCGCAGACCCCTTGTATTCGCGCCCCTTTGAGCGGCCGACCGTGAATGGGTCGCTGCTGCGCGCTACTGCATGGTTACGAGGCGTCTGCTAGGCAGACGTTGGCTTCCTATTTCCCCGCTTGGTCGCCCGGTTACCGTTTGCGAACTGCATAGATGTTGCTCGGGGTCTTGACTACGATCGAGGGTCCAATCTAAATGTATATCAAGGCGCAACTGGGCCCTTTTTGAGAAGGGGGGAGTGGCATCGCTCCTCGTGCCCTGCTCCGATTAACACACACGCCGCACCATGGTCGAACTCGCACTGCCGCGCGGCGCGCACACAATCCTCGATCTTGATATCAACGGCCTTTACATCCTTCTCTCGGAGCAGGGCCTCGCGTACCGCTGGCACTGGGGCCTGTACCTTCACAAGGAGAAGGAGCGCGGCTACGCGCTGCACATTACTTGGCCGAGCGACGCCGTGCTGGCGGTACGAGGATCGCGAGGTGCGCAACATCATATTCTCCGTCTCCATCACCCTCGCACTGAAAATTGCCGTCGTTACGCCCGATATGGACGATGCGCTCCGCGGCCGCATCGCCCAGGTGCCCGTGGACGACGCTGCCGACGCCAACGCCGCCGCTGCCAGGGAGCGCTGGGGGCCGCTGACTTGCCGCACCTGGCTGCTGCGCACCCTGTCGGAGCTCCATGACGAGGGCTATATCAGCATTAAGCCGGCGGCGACGGTCGAGGAGGTGGAGGAGGAGGCGCTGAGTTTGGCGGGGTCCAACGCGGCCGACGTGCAGGGCGGCAAGCAGCTGGGTGCGAAGGACAAGGTCTACCGCAGCGTCTATTCTGTGGCGTAGTGATATTATTGCCGCTGTGCCAACTGCGATGGCTGTTGTTGCTGTGCTGGCAGTCGTACGGACGTGTAGACAAGTGTTATGATATATAAAGGGATATAGCGCTCTTGGCGGTGTGGCGCGTCCACTGTTTGAACGTGTAAATCAGAGATATCCACAGGCGCTTAAACGAAAGAATTCCCATCTATTGTCAAGGTTCTATCAGAGCATGAAACCTAGCCAGTGGCCAATTTGTGGGCGGAAGCGCCACCCGCTCATGTTCGAGTTCGTCCGGCCCTCCGAGGGGACAACCTTGCCAAAGGTACTTTTCCACTTCCAGTTCATGATCATATTTGTGACCCCAAATTTTGCGGTACATGTCTATTTCGTCTTTGTTCTTCGTGGTCCGCATGGCTTTGGTAAAGTCCCAATACTCGGGCATGAACCCGGAGCTTTCCCAGTCCACTATCCCCGTCAAACGACCGTTATGCACTAATATGTTGCATGTATGAAGATCCGAATGCGTGAATACCGACCTGTGCTTCGTTTCAAATGCAGAAGGGATGGCGTCCTCCACGTACGAGTCTCGGCTGAGGTGCCTGGAGAAAGCTTCCTCGGTATTAAACGGGCCGCATCCATTCGCCATGGCACAGCGCCAGTCGTAAATGCGCCCGCCCCCAGCACCGCATATGAGCCGGCCGGTGTTGTTCGGTATATCGTTAATCTGTTTTATCACCGCCGCCAAATCTCGAACAAATTCGCGACGCTGGGGATACGACATGCGAAAGATGGTTGCCATTGTGACTGTACCAGGAAGTTTTGTCGAAATCATCCATTTAACATTGTCCAGATCTTGGAACTTGTCAATAAGCAAAGGAGCGGGAACATCCGGGGCGTATTTTTCCAATAGAGCAAGCGCAGCAGGCTCATTGTCGTCGCTTCGATCGCACCGCTTCGCGAAAAGGCCCAGCGGAAGCTCGTAGACACTCATGGACCCATACATGGCAGCAGATCGGAACAAATATTGGTAGCCTTTTGCACGGATGAAGAATGGGACAAGGTGCCACAGTCTGCGAAAGAGAAGTTGAAATGGTCTACTCCAGAAGTCTGGCCAATGCGTGTTAGTTTGGGTAGTTTTGTCGTTCGCGGAAAACACTTACTCGATGGGTCTGACTCAGATAAAATCGCACCATTGGTCTTTACAAACTGCTCGGTGAAAAAGTTGAGCAAGGCCTGGCCGAGCTTCACCTGTATTTCAAGCAGTTCAGGGTGTGGTAGTGGTAGAGTCTCAGGGTTGTGCGTCTTCAAGTGAAGACTGCTTCTCTTCCGCTCGTTGCGAAGCGACTGGCCATTTGCGAGAAATGTGTCGCCGTAATATGCTCTAAAATGAGATACTGGGCACAGTCAGTCATCTGCTCAACTGAGTCCTGACAAGTACTCACTTTTACCGAGGATGCGGTGCTGGATACTGTCGGTTTGTTGTCTTGAGTCCAGTACATCTTGGGTGGCATAATTTGAACATGCCCGTTTCGCATTGAATAGCCCAAACTAGGCGAGAGGAGCAGAACATTGTACAGGGCCATGCTATCTGAGGCAGGTGAGATTAATTTCTTGAGGGTCTGCACCTTTGCTGGGGTTAGGTAGGCGGTGAGCACAGCAAATAGCCTTGGGTTCCCATTATTCTCCCAGAGAGCCTTGAGTGCTGGTGAAATGACATGACTAGGTTCTACATGAATGTGTTTGTAGTCTGCAGGCGTCACGCAGCAGTGTCCATTGTCGCGTAAGTTGAGAAGTTGCTTAACCGAGTCTGTGACTGGTGCAGGCTGAGCAACTACAGACAATCTGATTAGTGGTTAAAATTCAGTATCGATATTTCCGGCAGGTTGTCTTCTTTCCCCTCTTCTTGATATTATCCCGTACCTAGCTGAAGTAATTCGTGCCAGTCACGCTTCAGGGTCAGGAGCGCTTCATCCACGGACACGCCGTGGTCGCGTCCATTGACAGCCCGCAGGACCTCAGCAGCGGCGAGTGTTGGGTCAAGCGCGCCCTGGACAAAGTCGTCGGCGAGAATCTCATGCTCCAAGGGGGTGAAATCGGCGTCATGGATGATGCGGATGGCTTCGGCTACGGGATCGGCCATATTAGGCTCAGTGGAGGCCACTCTGGGGTAGGCAGACCGCAGAGTCCAGATGGACAGAAGCCAACGCGCAGCGGTGCACCAGCTTGGTTTGCTCTGGCCGACAGTACCCGCCGAATATAGTTAGTCGCATACGTGGGGCGGCGTTGGGTAGCTGATGGAAGTAAGAGGCTTGGAGGCCACCGAGGCGTATCGCGGGATTGTGGTGGTGAATGAGTATCACAGCTAATCTGTAGCCGGAGGCTAATTGGTTGCTGGCGTGGGGACGCTCCAAGTTGTCGCACGGGCGGGGCGCGATGACGAGGCAAAGGATGCGTTCTCGCAGGCTCGCACAGCAACAAGCAAGCCGGAGATAATCAATTCAAAGAAGAAAAAAAGCATATATGAGTAGACAAAGGGAGCTGATGAGCAAGTGCCGGGAATAATTAAACATGTACCCAAGGTGCTAATTTACTAGGGTGGGTGAGCGCTGCAACATGGCTCCTTAGGAAGCTAATTATAGCTCCACGCGCACTGTATTAGGTATAGATGCTAGGTACATCTGCCTTGGATGTTTGAAGCAATCATCCCGTTGCCAATGAATTGTTGCCTGAAAACAGCTATGGACACTGCGCAATCATCACATATATTTGCTAATTGATGTATATATGGTATACTCATGGCTTTTGATTCTATATGATTCTCAGCATCAGCCGTATGCCAGCCACACACAAGCCACAGCACCCTCCCCTCTCCGCTTGCACTAAAAAAAGGGCTTCCCCGCCATAAGACAAGGCTCGAGGCTCTGCGCCAAGTCGTCACCTTAAGCCGTGTCCCACAAAGTCCTAAGCAGGTACCTTAGGTGCCTGCCCGCCTGCCCGCCTAGGTACTCTTGCCGCTGCTGACAGTACGGGCGTCAGGACAAACGCTCCCTACATTGCCTCTTTTTACATCTACAAGCCCTCTGTGCTTCCCCTTTGGCCCATCATTCATACCTCGAAAAGAAGGCCTGCTTTCCATACAACCTGTTCTGACCTTTTGTTGAAACATCACCATTGCTAGTACAAGGTACGTGCGCACCCGCCCGCCTCGCGCGGTCACACCCACGCAGTCTGTTCCAGGTCCCTTGCCAACTCCTCATCCCCGTGCTATCCGAGCATAGCGACTCGCCGGTCCATGACTTTGGTTTCTTTCTCTTCCCTTTCTCGCCATCAGTCACATTGTTTTCCATCATTGCGCTGTTGGCTATCCCTCGCGCAACCTCTAATCCAACTCCGCGACATCTCACCCCGGGCATCATTGCCTAAACAACCCCACCAAGCCCGGCCGCATCTCTCCACCCCTCAGCGCTCCCAACTCTCGCCTCAACTGAACAGCCCGCTCACCATCCATTGCCAGTACTTCGTCACCACACAATACCTGCGACTTACTCGAATCCAACTCGAGCATTTTTTCCTCCACCTGAATCTCTTCGCCGCCGCCCCATCTACCCTCATTCCCGGATTGCGCCGCTATCGTCTCGCTTTCCGGTTGACATCCGAAGCCCAACGACTCCATCGATCGGATCCTCTGCAACGAGACCGAACGAACCCGAATCAACCGTCTCCCATCATACGAGCTTTCCACAAAACTGGCAGGCTCTAAACGTCGCAGCTTCTCCTCGCAGGGAGGAAGCCTGCTCAATAGAATGTTTGGAGGCTCCAACTCCAACTCGCTAAATTCCAGCATCGATCCCGACACCGCCTCTGACCGCAAGCCTCCTTCCCCGGAAGCCGCCACCTCCCAGCCCATTGCCGTAGCTGCCATCAAGACTACTGATCAGGCAGCCAGTGGTGAGAAGCGCCACACCAATGGGAGCCCGCCCACCAGGCAGGATAACGGCGGTTCCACAGACAAGAAACGCCGAAGCAGCAGCGTAAGCAGCAAGGCCAGCAGTCTCCTTGCTTCTGCCAGGAGCTCCTTTGGCTTCTCTCCCAGCTCACGCCACAGCCCCGACATGGCCTCTCCCATTCAGAAACTCGGCAAGCAGGACCCGGCCCTCGCTGTCCCTCAGGGCCACCAGAATAACTCGGCCGGCGATTCTGTGCCCGGTCCCAAGTCGACCTTTCGCGTCGGTGTCTGGGAAGACCGTAATAGAAAATGTCGCCGTACCATGGAAGATACTCACGCTTTTCTCTACAACTTTCTCGACTCCCATGCTGTTGATGGCAGTATCAGTTCCAAGTCTGACAAGTCCTCCGCCGACTCGTCCAGTACAGAAGTCGCAGAATCCGACAATGGGTACTTTGCCATCTTTGACGGCCACGCCGGCACCTTTGCCGCCGACTGGTGCGGCAAGAAACTTCACATTGTTCTCCAAGACATTGTCAAGAAGAATCCCAATACGCCTCTGCCAGAGCTCCTCGATCAGACATTTACAAGTTGCGACGCCCAGCTAGAAAAGCTTCCACTTAAAAACAGCGGGTGTACTGCTGCTATTGCCGTATTGCGCTGGGAGAAGCGCTCTGCCAGTGACCGCTATAATGTTGCCGTTCCCACCATTGCCATGCCCGCCGCCAAGAATGGCAAGCTGTCCGAAGCCAACTGCGATTTGGACAAGACCAACTCGGCCGACAAAGAAGGACCCACGTCAGTGCCGTCGAAATCGCAACCGAACAAACAGCGTGTTTTATATACTGCCAACGTCGGCGATGCCCGCATTATTCTATGTCGTAACGGCAAGGCGCTCCGTTTGTCATACGACCACAAGGGCAGCGACGAGAATGAAGGGAAGCGCATCGCCAATGCAGGTGGTTTGATCTTGAACAATCGAGTCAATGGAGTCTTGGCCGTCACTCGTGCCCTTGGCGATGCCTACATGAAGGATCTCGTCACCGGCCATCCTTATACCACTGAGACGGTCATCCAACCTGAGCTCGACGAATTCATCATCATTGCTTGCGACGGAGTAAGTCCACCCTTCTCACCTGACCAATTAGCCACTAACGGTATCAGCTCTGGGATGTCTGCGGCGATCAAGAAGCCGTCGACCTCGTCCGCAACTTGCAGGACCCTACGGCTGCATCGAAGCTCCTCGTTGAGCACGCTCTAAGTCGTCTCAGTACCGACAATCTCTCTTGCATGGTCGTCCGCCTTGATAAGGATGCCATGCAGCATGCCAGCAAGGGCGACACCGGCGCCGAAATGATCAACAGTAAGACCACCGAGGCCGACAAGATTGTGGCTGAAACGAAGCAAAAGATTGTCGACGGCTCAACCGCCCCCATTGGCGTCTCGGCCACCAATAGCGGCCGTGGCTACGACGCCACCGGTGGGCCTGATGACGATTTCGTGCCCACGGCCCTGCATGAGCTGGTCGTTGAAGAGGAAGTAGCTGTTATTGATGAAGAAGACGCCGAGGTAACGCGCGCCGGGGAGGATACGCCCGTGCAAGAAAAGCCCGCAAAGGGCGGCACTGTACTCTAGCATTCACATCAATAGCCACCATGCCTGTATTGTCCAACTTACTCGTTTCCATGGCTATTGTTTAGATAATGGCGAGTTATATGGCAAACGTTACGATCGTTTACAAGAACGGCAGCTGTAATGCGGTGGCTTTTCTGTCGGGCACAATATGCGTCTTAGAATGGCATGAACCTGTCATGGGACTCGGAATATTTATTTTATCTCTCGTTTCGTATTTTGGATCTTCTATTCTAGTCTTCTTGTGTACACGTACACTCACGATGCATACTCCTGTGACTACCTGTTTATGGCTCTACGGCACGCGCCGGGTCCATCACCTGGGTTTGACGAATCAACTCGAATATTACCCATCTGCGGCTCGTCATTGGGTAACCATGTACGGCTCGGCTACGGCAAAACCCATTTCCCTTTTCATTATGTTTTGAGTATTCGACACTGTGTTTCTGCTTGTCGTGTATGAATCGCTGCGCGTTGAAGGATCGACGTTCCAACATGCACCATAAAAAACATAGTGTGAGACAGAACAATGCGTTGCTTCACAACCATTGTTCTTTTCGTGCTTTCATCTCTTAATCGCTGGCAAAGTTCGCTTTTTGGACTGTGAATTGTATTCGACTTTTGATTGTACAGCATAGATGGGACAGTATAGCTGACCCGGATTTCTTTTTTCTTTTCGGGATTTACAATTTTTTTTCCACAGACAGGAGCAGGGAGGTTTAGGCAAGGGCCTCACACGCATCCTGGGGACTGGTCCGGCTCAAGTATTGCAGAATCATCCACCTAGAATGACATTTGGTAAGCTAGATGATCAAGGATTCACATGTAACCCATCACCCTTTGCAGTCGTGTAAGTGCACTCGTAATGTTACGGCTCCACTCTTCCTGCATGATACTCAACAATGATCGGAGCAAGATGCACTATCCTAATGCCGCCTGCCGTCGTAGAGAAGGAGTCATGTCAAATGGAGTCATGTCGGAGAATTTTGAGAGACAGCTCGCCCGGAATCTACGGCACACGCGGGCGTACCCGTGGCCAAGGCCCAAGGGTAACGGGTGCCATCAAGGTGCCGGCCGGGGCACGTCCGCGTGGGTGGATGCTGGCTCCCACCGGAAGTCGGTAACGATTCAAGTTGACGGCCATGGTGATTTTTGTATTGAGTAATTCGAGGAACAAAAGCCGGAGCATATTTGAATGATGTTGGAACATTTGAAAGGGATTATTATGTACTGAGGCTAGTAATGACTTGGATCTTGTGGACAGCCCAATTTTATCTAGCAATAAACGGCCTCAAAATCAATTTGCACGCCATTATCGAAGAGGCAGGCCATTTGTTCAGAAAATTGCTCAGAAAACACATGACCCGAGAAACAGCAGCAGCGACGTAGTGGAGGTGTTCTCAAGGACATCGTGTCGTGCGTTTACGAGGAAGGCTTGTTGAGTCCGCACTGTAATTATGTGAGTCTACTCCGTATCTAGAAAGGGTGACGAAGTCGACGCCATGGTACCCAGCAGAGCGAGACGCGTTGAGGTCCATGATATTTCGAACAATTAGAATTTGGTTTTGTACATAGATCACCGTGGGCCCTGTAAATTGGCAGGGGCTTGCCCCAGCTCGGGGCGCCACGGGAGTGAAGAGGCGCCCGGGAAAGCAAGTATTATCGCTCACAGGCCGGTCACTCGTGTCAGTTAGCAGAGCAGGTTGCGTTGCAAGCTATGATAGTCGTCGGATTTGATGTTCCAAGTCGTGATACATAGTATAGGACACGGGATTGCTTTGGATGTATTGCTGAAGGTGCGACAAGGCACGGTGGAGTTATATTGAACATGGCCGGGTACCTGAATCAAGTCGTAAAGAAGGGAGCGGGTTGATGTGGGACATGTGTAAGTAGTAGTGGATGCAGGGAGAACATTATGATGGGAGCAGTTGAAATTGGATGATGGCAATGGTACAGTTGAAGCTTGATGATGGCAATGGTGATGGCAATGGTGATGGTGATGTAATCATGGTGATGACCGGACAAGTTACAAAGCCGGCAGCTGTTTGCAAGACTCGATTTGACAAAGTGGATACCTAGAGGTACGAGGGAGTAAAAGAGGGGCTCTCCACTGGCACGGGCCGGGGAATTTCAAGACTGAACTCACTGGAGAGCACTGGAAAGCCGCTAGAAAAGGCACGCCTTGAACGTTGTCTGGCTGGCCCTTTCGCCCAGCCGAGTGCTCAGGCCCAGGGCACGTCCCCTTGTAATGACGAAATGCTGGCTGAGCTGTCAAGAGGAAGGCAGATGATGGGATAATAACGAACAGATGGATTTTATGCGGGTTGGAAAGAGTGAGAGAGGGCCAAGTCTACCAATAAGCGAGGTGGCCAGCCATATTTCTCAGAAACTCTATTTATTAAGTTGAAGCGCGACAGCTGAAATTGGTGATGCGACGTCCCAATCTGCCTCTATATTGTTTGTTACTTCTTGCCCGATTGAATTTGAAGTCTAGATAGTAGGCAATGCCTATGCATGTTCGGAAAAAGCTTTTGCCTTGCGAACGTGTTTCAGCATTCGACAAACTCCTGGCCATCGAAGCTTCAAGTCGAGACCCAGGTACCAGGTACCCATTAATCTGGGGAATCGTTCTCGGATTTTTTCGAACAATGCGACAATCTACCCTGCCTTGGTATTTGAAATACCTTTCGCCTATCCTGTCTGTTTAGCTAATCGGTTGGAACGCGGCAGCAAGCTCTAAATACATAGTCTCCTACAACCAACGCCTGGTTGGTGCTTGGCCGCCGTTGATACTTAATAGTCATAGCTTCTATTACAGGCTATAGCAAAAGTGGATCCATCAACTTTCTCGTCTCCCGTCCTGTCTTGCCCCTGAATCTCAAAAGCCAACCGCCTTGAGTCGTCTAATCGATTCCCATTGGCAAGGTACACGTGTACAAGGAATGTAGATGAAAGCTGGTTTGAGTTTATTTTTTTTTCCTCTTCCTTCTTTTCTTCTGCTCCTGTGCGTCGGCCGAAACAACCATCCTCTCGCCCTCTCTTTGTCTAACCCCGGCTCTTTGCTACCTTTTCTCGTCGTCCTTTCTTTTTTTTCACCCTCACAGAGTCACCAATTCCTTACGAGCTTCTTTTCTTATTTCACCCCTCCACCACTTCCTTAACACATTGTTTCTTTTCTTCATTCCCCTTCTTCGCGGACCTGCTTAGACCAGCCACGCCCACCTTTTATTTGCAGCTCTGCGCCGCCAGCCGCCTCTTCGAACATCTCCACCAGGCCAACTCGCGCTACCGAAACGCACGCACTGTCTCTTTGACCTTTTTCTTTTGCCTTTGCCCTTAACCGCTACCTTTCTTGCCATTTGAACTTAACCTTGGGTCCTATCTTACGTCGTCGCCTCTCTCGTCTCTCTCTCTCGTCTCGACCCAGGCGCCATCTTGGCCCCAATCACCACCCTCATACACCACCACACCCGACAACCCCTCCACGAGCCCCTTCTTTTCCTCCTTGTCGCGCGCCAATCTGTTTCATTCTCTGCTCGCAGCTGGTTCTTGGGCATTCTTCTTTGCTCTCTGCTTTCATGACTGCCTCTCGCTGCCTCCTCTCGGCCCAGTCACTCGATTCTTCAATTTCCGTCTCTCGTCTGGACGGCCGACCCCTTCGATATCTGACCGGCCGACCCAACCGCTACGCCATTCGAGTGCTCCCAACTTTCGATTCACGACCGCACTGGTCAGCCTCATCCGAATAGACGGTTTTATGAGAAGCGACACACGTCTATATATCACACAGCCATGTCGCTCAACGGCCTAGACAATTCCGAGGTCTTGGACGCATTCCAGGCTGCCGGTGCCGAACCTGGAGGCTGGTGCGTCTCCCCATGCCCGCCTTTCCCCAATTCAACAACTGCCTCAGCTAACCAGAGCAATCCCTCAGGTTTCTGCTCAAATACACCAGCCGTGACCAAGTTGAACTCCTCAGCACTGGTGTAGGTGGGATTGTTGAGCTCCGTACTAGCATCGAGGAATACGACGACGAGAGCCCATTGTACGGATACATCAAATATCGCCGTCGCAATGTCGTCCTCAAATACCTTCCTGAAGATTCTTCTCGCTTGATTCAAGGTTCGTGCAAGATGCATCGCTCACATCTGCCCCTACTTAATGTGTGTAACTAACACATCCCAGCTCGCGTGGCCGTGCACTTCAACTTTGTCTGCGAGCGATTCTCACCATACCATACCATTTTTGAATTTGACTCTGCCACCGCCCTCACTGATACTAAGCTCTCCGCCGCCTGTTCTCTACATACCGCCTCAGGCTCGACTGCCTCCTCCACTAGCTCTCGTAAGAAGCGTCTAGTCGAAATTGCCGAGGAGGATGAAGACGACCAACCTGCTTCCAAGCGCAAGTCCGTCACCGCCGATGCCCTCCCGCCCAAGACGCCCATCGAACCAAGTTGGAACCTGGATCCCGTTACCCTAAACGCCGACTTGGCTTCCTCACCCGAGCAAAGCAAATTCTCCGCCCAAGATACCACCGAGCCTCCTACTTTTATCGGTGTCGATGGGCGTCCCTCCACCTCGGATTCTCACGACCGCAGCCTATCTAGCTCGTCATCATATCCCCATGGCAAACCCAAGGTCAAGCTTGGCCCCCGACCTTCTCTTGACGTTAACGTCCGTCCTCAGACTGCTGGCAATTTTAGACCTGTATCCGCTATTCCCGCAGGGTATAAGCTTTTCGGCAAGGGCGGCAAGAGAACCAAAAGCCGCGAGAGCAACAACCTCGTCTCTCCACAGGAAGAAATTGCTAGCATGGATTTCGGTGTTGCCGAGGGTGACGATGCATCCAAGGAAAACACCGATCCTGCCTTGACCTCTTCCGAGACCGCCCTCAAGCCCACAAAGAAAATTTCACCCGAAAAGGCACGACTCAAAAAGGCGATGCAGCTGCGCGAGAAGAAGCGATTGGCTGCTGAAAAGGCTGCTCAGGAACAAGGCGACAATGTCGCCCCCGACGTCGTTGAAGCTGAAGCGGAACCTGCTGAACATGTCCACGTTGATAATGTCGAATCAATTAAATCTGCGGCCGATCATGGCCATGGCCCCGTCGAAACTCTCGCCAGCGAAACCACCGATGTTTTTGTCGATGCCCACTCTAACACCTCTCTCGCCGACCAGGCCTCCGAGGCCACTGCCACAGACTCCCATCCACCAAGCCCGGCCTTGGGCGACTCGGAGACGGCTCACTCAACAAGAGCTTCGTCCATTTCCGAAAACACCGAAGAGACGATTCAGGAAAAAGAAGAAGCTGGTGAAACGACCCCGCAGCAGAAAGAAGCTGACGCACTGGCCGAGGTTGCTGCTCTACCTGAAAAGGACCTGACGCATATGACGACGCAAGATCACATCAAGGCTACTGAGGTTGCCCTCTTTGGCTCTTCGAGTCTAGATGCTGACGCTACCGAGGAACCCGTCGCCATTCCGATATCCAGATTTTCGACCAATAATTCTGCTTCCTTGCCAGTCGAAGAGCCTGCGGAACCATCCACTGACAAGGACAAGGAGGGGGCCAAGGAAGAAGAGCAGCACGCCGGTGAGCCGGTAGGCCAGGCTGTTCCCCCTCAAGTGTCTGCTCAGGACCTTCTCGCCGCCACTCGTGCAGCTGCGGAGCCATGTATCGAGACTTCTACTGCAGAGCCCATTCAGAGCCCCCTCTCTACTGATGCGCTCGCCACATTTGGTGAGACTGTATCGCTTGATGCCAAATCCGAGATTAAAGAAAGTACTACGGAGGCGAAGGCGCAGGAAAGCAGCATCGCTCTGTCCGAGAAGGAGGCCGCTGAGCCTGAGGAGAAGACTGCCGAGTCCAAGAAGGAGACCGCCGAGTCCAAGAAGGAGACCAACGAGTCCAAGAAGGAGACCAACGAGTCCAAGAAGGAGACCAACGAGATTGAAAAGGAGAAGCGCAAGGGACTGGTCGAACCCATTCAGACAACTGGAATCGACAAGCAGGTCAACCAGAACCGAACGTCTACTGCCACTGCCGTGCTTGAGGTGGCTGACGCCAAGTCAACCATGATCGCGACGCCAGTCACCCCTGTCACGCCCGAAGGTGGCCTCGCGACACTGCCTCTCTCCACCAAAACGACGCCGCAGCCGTTTGCTGCCAGAACCGTCTCTAACCCTGTCCGTAGTAGTTTGATGCCGCCCCCCGATGCTAGCCAGTCTTCAGCTCGCTCTATGAGCTCTGGAGCCGCCTATCTACACAAAATCACCCAGCAGCAGCAGACCAACACAAACCTCGCATCCAAATCCAATGTTGGTTCCAGCATCTCGCAGCGTATCAAAGCTCTCGAGATGCTTTCTGCCAGCAGTGGTACTGAGACGCGTCCCGTCAGCCGTGAGCGCCCCCAGTCGACCTTCTTTTCCGTCAAGAAGAGTGAGCCTCTGCGTGCCCCGTCGGTGATTGAGCGTGCGTCTTCTCTACGGATGGCGACCCCTCCCTCCCGCGACGGCTCGGATTCCTCGCCCGAGACCGGCCGACCACAGCGTGGGCGCTCTGGATCCATTTCCAACAGGTTGTCCATGTTCCAGCCCTCGCCCGACTCATCTCGTGGCGCGCCAGAATCCATCTCGGTAACAGCCAAAATCGTACGCGACCCCGAACAACACATGAAAGAACCCCCCAGAGACGCATCCGGCTTCAACCCACTGGATCTTAAGCAATCACCTCTATTTGTTAGCCACCAGAAGCCTACACAGGATATCAGCACCGCCAGTATCGACACATCAATTGATTCATTCAAGGATGATGCACGCCGTGCTTCTGTCAATATCGTTCGTGGCCTGATGAAGGACAAGCAGACAACCTCGGCAGACTCTGTTTCTGCTCGCTCTCCGCCTCCTGCCAACGGATCTTTCTCACCTCGCATGTCGTTTAGCAGTCGTCGATCAACTGGCAAGGAAAGTGAAGAAGCTCAATCTTCTGACCAAAACGATCATTCGGCCAGCGAGGACAAATCCACTGACAACAAACTGTCTCGCGCCAGCCGCTTCATGCGTCGTCTCTCCAACCTCTCTGGCACCCGCAGCAAGACGAACCTCACTCCCACCCTCAAGTCGCCACTTGCGCACAACGAGGACCAGCGCGCCGAGGCGTTCCGCCCCTCCACGACCGGCACCTCACCTTGGATTGTCACGTATCTCGGGGACGTGAACGTGCAATTTCCCGACAACCTGCTGTGGAAGCGTCGTAATATATGCATTGACTCGCAGGGCTTCCTCGTGCTCAGCGCTTTACCCGCGCCTAGCAGCCGCGCCGCCCAAGGCACCAAGCGCTACCACCTGAGCGAGTTCCGCCCGCCGTACTGCCCGGACGTAGAGGTCCAGGAGCTCCCCAACAGTGTCGTCCTCGACTTTATTGAGGGCACTAGCCTGCAGCTTGCCTGTGAAGATCGCGCCGGTCAGGTCAGCGTTCTCAACGATCTGTCCGATGCCCACTCCAAGCATGCCGCGCAGTTTGGCCAATAGGTGGACATGTAAAGCCACTGGCGAGTACAATGCCGTGATCATATACGCATTCACCATCTTTCTTCTAGTACTTTTTATTTCCCATTTGTCGATATACCCTCTTCTTCCCTATTCTATTCTTTTTCTCCCATTTGCATGCCGTGGGCACTGATAGCTAGCGGATTTTGCATTTTCTTCTTCTGATTTTGGATATAATATACATGCATATACATCATGCCATTATACATCTTTATACGCCTATCATGAGGGGAAGTTTCTTCCTCGTTTCTTCTTCTTTTTGTCACCATCATGGCACTTACTTGTTGCTGCTGGGGAGCGTCACTCACTCACTGCCTTGCTTTTTTTGTTAGAGTCTTTTCTATGGGTTACCTGTGTTACCATTGTTTCTCTTCTAATATTGGCATTTGCTTCGTGGTTAGAATGTACACACAAGGTTGGGGCAGAAATGATGTGCTGTTTGCCTTGTAGGGTGAATCGGAACTCGCCAGAGACATTGTCTTGCGCAAAAACAACAATAGGCGAATTAAAACAAAAACATTACACTTGACCTCTTCCTCCTAGACATTTGCAGTTATCCGGCCATGTACGGAGTATGTGTGAGTATGATTTGAGACAAGGTGGAAATGGTGAGAAGCTGATTTTTTCCTATGCAGCTAGCTAGGTTCGTTAAGCAACATTCATATTTGACCAGAATTTTCTTTTATGCTCCATGCGCTTTCGAAAAGCGAAAAGCGAGAAATGAATAAAAAAATTGAAAAGACAATTGCCGCCACTGAAAAAAAAACAAAAAACTCCTGTCGTTGCGCATTCTTTGTCTTCCGATACTGCTTTGAGAGAAAAACAGCCAACTCAACCCATCGCTTGAATCAAACAAAACAAAAAAGTCACTGAACCGTCCACAACACAATCGTTGACATGTCATCTTGTCACGACAAGAAAACAGAGTACAAACAAGCAAGCAGAAAACGTGGACCCGGTGGAAACGACACTTGGTAGTCAGAGTAATCGAAACACCCGTCATCCTACAGGGGTTGGGTACCTCCGCTGGGCGCAGAGCCGCCGGGTTCCAAGGCGGAAAATTGCACGGGGTCCATGGCCATGTACTCGAGCAGATCCAATCCGCCAACGTTGACGCCCTCGGCCGTCATGGACACGCCACCGTCGCCCATGTTCTGGAAAAACGCCGGGCCGGCGGGCAGATACCACATCTCGTTGCCGGGGTTGTTCCACTCCTCGAACAGCGTCACGTCCATGCCGCCGACGGTGCCGCCGCTATTATCCAGGGCCGCGGGCGTAGCGGGGCCCGCGGAGACGGGAGGGTGGTAGTGGAAGCTGCCGTTGCCGAGGTCAAACGGAGTCGCAGAGATGTTACCTTCCATGGTAGGGGACAGAGCGCGGCGCTGGCCATTAAGTCCGTCGCGCAGCTTCTGAGCGTGTCCGGACCAGCCGCTCTCGGCTTGCGCACCGTGGGCGCCTGAGTCGGGCACTGGGCTCTGCTCCCTACCAGAGAGCGGACCCGTGGGCGCCTGAATGAATCGGTTTCGGAGACGGCTGGTCAGCGTCTCGAGCAGGTCGGCGAATCGAAGTCCAAGATGGACGTCATCGACCACGCAGTTGCGGAGCGCCTCTACAGTTGAATCCATGAGATCGATGCTCATACGCACATCGGCTCGCGGAGCACCGAGAGCAAATGTCTTCAGCAGGAACATTGCTCCACTAATGATGCGGAAATATGTGCGTACAGGTGCGTGCTTGAGGTAACCACCTGGCAGGAGACCGTCGACTACGGTATGCAGCAGCTTGCGGCAGCCATCGACAACCTCGCGTACGTATTCTTGATCTTGGGCAGTGAAACCGCCCAGTTGGCCAATCGGGAGCTTGCCGTACGTCATGAGTGTCGCAGGAGACAGTGTTGGCTGAGCTCCTTGGCCGTTGGAGTTGTTGGATACCGTCTGGGTAGCATTGTTGGTGCAACGTTCCACTACAGCCTGTAGAGAGAGGGAGTTGACGTAGATGCGCACATACTCGTACTCAATGGTCAGTATGTAACGAATATACTGAGGCAGGCGAAAGAGCTCAAATTCGCGATACCAGTCCTTGAGCATGGGGCCGTACTCCCCGAGTAACTGAACATATTTGCCACTCTGGATAATGTCGGTGGTGTGCTGACGAGACTTGAAAAACTTTTCGTTGCCGATATACATGGCGTTGCTGATGCCGGCCCAGCAGTGAATGATTTGGTCGTCGAGCTCCAGGTCGGGCACGTAGTTGAAGGTGTTGGAGAGTGAGTAGCTGGTGGACGGGGTATTGCCATCGGTTGTCATGGGTCGCTTGCGAGCAACAGCTGGGTCAGAGCGACGGAGGTGCTCGGGGGCCATGCTGGTCCAGCCAAGCCGGCCCGCCAGCTGAGAGGTGTATATAAGGAGGAGACGCTTGATACGATTGGCACGCATGCGATAGGCTTCGTCACGATATTCCGGGCGGGTAATGGCGTCGTCCTTGAGCATAGCGTCAATGTCATCGAAAACACCGAGCTCATAAGCGAGACCCATGGCTGTGCTGAGCAGCATCCAGCACATGCGATCACTTCGCCAGGCTGGCTCGAGCCAGCTCTCGATTCGCTTTCCACCAAAGTTACCACCAGTCGGGCGAGCCATCTCGTCTTCTGTGGCCATTAGGGGCGAGGACTCTGCCATGGGAATGACGAGCTCGTCTGTGGCCTCTTGCGGAGGAAAGTGTAACGCGCGGGGATGCCACTCGGTGAGGATAAGCAACGACTCAATGGTGCCGAGAGTTCGCAGGCTGCCTTTGCGCAGACCTCGCCAGGGAGCGGTACTACTTGTCTCCTCACTCAGCATGGCAGTCGTAGCAGAGCCGCCGGAGCCGCAGAAACCGCCGCCAAAGGCCTCTTGACCCCACAGACAGCGTTCTATCATCCCTCGAAGATATGTCCAGAGCTGCTCGGGGATGGCGTGTGAACGACATTGCCCGCCGGTGCCGGGAATCTGGCGATATCTAGAGGCAATGGTGAGGAGAGTGACGGTAAGGATGGGTTCTTCCGTAAGGAGGGTGAAGTGCGAGGCGGGGTTGCTAAATGTGGGCGGTGAGATGGGCGTGAGAGGAGAAAGATATTTGTAATAGCTGGTCAAGTTAGCATGTGAAGTGGATGATGCAGCTGCAGGAGAATGAGGCATACTAGTCAATATATTCGATTGCTTCTTGTGCAGTGAACCAGCCGGCGCGAACGAAGCGGAATCTGGACCACGCCTTGATGGCATCGGCATATGCGGGGTGAGAGGCCAGGTCGGAGGTGTGGTGCTCGACTTGGGCAGGACGGGCCGAGGCGGACGGTTGGCGAGGAAGTTCGCGAATGGAAGAGTGACGTCTATTATGAAGACCAATAGGATTCGTATGGGATGTAGAGGCGGCAGATGTGGGCGCTGCAGCAGCAGAGGCAGAAACGATGCTGCTAGCGCGTTGGTGATTGGAAGCCGGGCTACTGAGAGGACATGGAGTTAGCGATGCTGTTTTAAAGAAGTGTAGGTGTAGGAGAAGAGGCTACAGACCCATCCGTGGCGGCCTTGTAGAGGAGGTCGAGCGCATCGTGGGGGCCGTACACAGTCTGGCGCATGACGGACTGGGCTTCGAGATTCTCGAGAGTCTGATTGCCCTCATCCTCGGAGTAGTCGCCGGTCCTCTTATCGCGGCGACCGCCATCGGGTCGGCGCAGAGGCTGGCTTCGCCAGTTGGTGCTGCCCTGAGCAGCAGGCGAATCGGCATATGTTATGCGCTCAATGCGTGCGGGGCTTGTGCTGGTCGCTTGGAGCTTGCGGCGACCGTTTCTGATTATGTAGTCTTCGAGATCGCTGCCGTCGTCCTCAGTTTTGCGCTTGCGGCGCGTGGCGGAGAAGAAGCACTCTTTGGACTCGCGACGGCAGCGGACACAGGGAGGATCGTGCGGGTTGTCGACGCTCCCGAGATCGCATCTTACTTTACGGCGACGACAGGGAATGCAGGCTTGATAGACGCGCTTGTGCTGCGCGTTGGCACCAGCGGCGCCAGCCTGGCCCGCATTGTCGTCCTGCGGAGTGTCGTTGGCGGCTGACGACGTGCCTTTTTGAGAATCCGGGCCGGACTGGTTGCCGGGGGTCGAATTGACAGCCGGACTGGCGGCGGCGGCAGTGTTGGTGTATTGGGCCATGGCGACGTGTTGAGCCGAGGGCAGGCGGGCAGAACGGAGTAAGCCTGCCTGCGCAGCCAACGGCGGCGGGCGCGAGGGAAGGGAAGAAGAGAAGCAAAAAAAGAAGGGGAAAAAATAAGTGCTAGCACTTAGCAGCTGCGACGAATCGGCCAGGAACGGAAGGAACAAAGTTGCAGAAGAGGAAACGCCAGCATGCGCGCGTATGCCGTGGTGAAGCGTTCACAGAGGTTGATTGGGGAGACGGAGTTGCGGCGGGGTGTAGTGGTTTTTTGTTCGCCTTGTCTCGGTATAAGGGGAAAAAAAAGGGCTTGGTGGTGCTTGGGTATGGAACAGGAAAAATTATATGGTCCCTCGAGCACGTCCAGATCGGATGGGTGTGGCTCCTCCGGGGGAAATTAATGGCGGCCCCCGCGCTGGCTGCCACGAGTAACTACTAGGTAAGTACAGATTACTGAAGCCACAACGGTAGGCCAGCATTGATGATGCTAATTGAGGATGTGAAGGAAGTTGGCAAGGGTAGGCCAGAGAACGGAACGAGGGCGGGAAAGCAATACCTAAGCGATTGGTGGCCAAACCGGTACGCGGCAAGGGGGTGTGCGTCTAGGCAGTTGGCAGGTACCTGTCTGTAGCCTGTAGGAGGCTTGCAGGCACGCAGTTATATAATATGGAATTCATTAGAGAGAGGGCTTCACGATGTTAGGTAGTCTGGCCTGCCCCAACCTTTTTTTCCTGCTGTTTTTTTGGCCGCCTCTGCGCTGCGAACCACTGTCTGGGAAAGGTCCACGCTAAGCACGGCGGGGAACCTCTCTCGAGTCTATTTGTACAGCGAACCCCAGCCCATGCATTACTGCTCGCCACATCCACATCTTCTTCATGCAGCCAACGACAGCCCTAGTGTCCTCTACCTAGATTGATTGACATTGCCATGTCTTTTCTTTTTCTTGTTTTCCGTAGGGCTCTTGATGAACACGCGCCGCTCGCAATAATCGTCGCTCGCTTTCGCTCATATTATACAGTATCGCTGGCTATGGTGTTCCTATCCGTCCCTGCCCTCCTATGCCAAAGCTCGCAGCTGGCAACTGGCAAGTTAAGCCCATGCACTTTTGTTCTTGACGGCCCTCTGTTTGTCCAATGTTTGCTACTTCCCGCTGCTGCTACTCCGTGCCTTCCGCGCCTCTTTAGTCATGGCCATTACTCCGGACTTGCCAGCCACATTTGCCAGCCAAAGTTTCGCTCTCGCTAAACATAAGAGTCGTCTACATTACCCTGAGTGCCATCACATATAATCATGACATGACATGCACCAGCTGCAGAGAATGGATCACTTGTGCTTTGCAATCCCTCTTTCCCTCCGAAGGACTCCGAAGGAGCTTGATCACTGCCCCCGCTGCCCTGTCAGCTAATATTCCCCTTATCCTGTTGTCTTCATAACTATTAACTGGCCTCAGCGTCCAGATCTTCGTCTCAGCACACATGCCCCATCTCCTCCACTTGGCCCGTGCCCGAGTGAGGTGGGAAAAAAAAAAAAGGGAAAAAGCAGCTGCAGCAACTTGTGGCTTTCCCATTACCCAATCGAACCCCCTACCAGCCAATCACTGTCCGCACCGCTCATCCGCCATCCGCCCCCAAAGCATGGTCACGTTGACTTTTGACCCTCTCTCGAAGATTTTTTTTTTCTCATCAGTCCCATGAACCCACTCGGAGCGATTACTCGTCAATCAACATGGTTTCTGTTATAATTCAAGCTCCGTTATTATGAAGTTGCTATCAATAGTAGTGCTTTGCCCGACATCCAGCCACTTAGACCACGCTCCTCTCACGCGCGCCTGGCCCGATCCCTCCACCACGGCACATGTGGCCTAATAATCGCAGTATCCGCGTCACAGTGGACTCTCAAAAAAGGAGGCTACAGCTGCCGCCAACGTCTACTTGGGATGTCAGGATCCATGAAGAGAAAGAGAGACCGAGAACGAGCCGTCAACGAGTCGTCAACGCAAATGAACGAGCCCGTATGTACTCGTGTCTCGTAAACGCAGAGATGTGGCGTCTGGCTACCACATCTCGCAGCCTTTCGTCCGTACTGAGGCGTTCCAGCCTCGCCACCCTGCAGAAAACGTTCCTGCTTCTCGCGTTTCCATTGAACCTTTCTTTGGATACTTTATCCAAACACAATGTGGTTCTGCATGCGGCCTCTTTGCCTGCATTGTGCGTGTGGTGGTGGTGGTGGTCGCGGCGACGTGAATGGGTCGCTTGTAAAAGCACATAGTCGGCCGGGGAAAATAAAGTCCCCTCCCCTGACCGGTATTTACTCACCTTGCCTTGCCCATCGCAGCTCAGTGTGGATACGGCATCTCGATTTCGTGCTGGCGACCCAAATTGGCAACCGCCGCATGCCCGCATGCCCGTATGCCTATTATGCATGGTGTGCCGCCAGCGACGAGCTCTGCACGGATCACGTATTATGAGCATCTGTCATGCATAGAACGGGGATTCGGCAACTTTGAACACGGCACGTCGTCTCCCAATCGCTCGCGGCGAGCTCTGGCCGACCTATGTATGCCACGACGGTATTATACCCTATCCGTTGGATCTTGTTCAACAAAGCAATTCGAGCTCTTTCCCTAAATAGAACAGTACACCTTGAAGAAGATGAAGGAGAATAACGGTAGTTTCCATTACGCTTCTGCCCGGGATTGACGGACGGGCGAGTGGGCAACCCAGCTTATCGGGGCCGCAGAGTCTGTCCGGGGGGAATCTCGCAGCTGCTCTCGGTCAAGATTGGCATCTTCACGGTGAAGGTGACCGGAAGATGCTCGCCGAAGCGGGTACGGGAAAATGGAACTGCCATGAAGTGTTTGTCCATTTACGTCTTAATATCAGGCGCGTCAGCCTTGTCCCCCACGCGGAATTCCGTCTTTCTGCTTCCCTACCACTTGGGCCTACCGAGCTCGCTTGGAAGAATGGGGTGGATAAAGGTTCGGAGAGTTGAGCGTTCACCGTATTTCACTGATCCAAAGTGTGCTGCGCTGCAGACCCCAGCTTCACACCCCAACTCATACCCCATCTGGACGACCATTCCCGACCAGTAGTCGAAACAGCAAGCTCCGATTCCAGCCTTGTCCTCATGTAATTTCTCTTTCCAATTGCCTTTATCACTCTCAGTAAATCGATAAGAACATCGCAGCTCAATCCATGTCTCTCCTCTCCGCCCCAGCCACGGGCAGCCCATTGCGCCGTACCTAGCTATTGTCTTTGGTAAAATGCGCCACGCGCCATGCAATCGATACGCGTATTTGACCGGTACATTAACGCTGCAGATCTTCTTCTTATTCCATCATGTATGCGGTCCAGAATCTGTGTTCATTGTTTGAAGAAGGTAATGGATGCACAATCGGCGATTACTCCCACTGCTATCCTCCCAAGTTTTCATACCAGCGATTTGACAGTAGAAAACCCCAACATCAGAGATTCAAGGTTATCAGGTATTCGACCATTATAGATCTGATAATCAAAGATCCGACAATTTCGACGACGCAAAAGCTGATCCCTAGACAGTCTTACGCTGGGGGCAGCCACTGCCCTGTGAGGGAATATTATCTGCAGATTGATACTCCGTGCATATGCATGTCGCGGCACGACATCCTCAATTGCGCAGCATACATCAAGGTAGACCATCAATTTCATTAATGTGCTCCTGTCCGGATAAACGACTAAACAAGTACCAATAGTCCGCGGCAATTCTGTTAAAAACACTCCTCCCACGCAAAAAGTCCATACATACATGCTTTTAAGGCTCCACATGTGCTCTGCATCCCTCCCAAATTATTTGGCACAAAGCTTGTGAGGTTCAGGATATCACAAATCCCCTGCCGACGAAATCATGTCACGGTGTTCACTTCGCGTTCATTCCTCTCGAGAGTCAAGTCTGTGAAAGAGGTCAAATCTGGCGGTCTGCTACAACATGCCATCCTTCCTTCTTCCATTGCCGTTTGTGTGGTGTATCAAGAGGACCCTCGCAAGGCCAGGTTTGTGAATTGTCTTCTTCCAGGGCTGGCGGTCCATCCCCGCCTGTATCGGTAAGCCATCCGTATGTGGGCTGGATACATCTGGGTCCACGCGAGCTGCTTAGGCAACCATGCCCTTCTTAGACTGTGGCCCGGTTAGTACTAAGGATACGGTATCAGCCAGCGACAATACACACGAGATGGTCCCACAGCTTCGTGGTCAGAAGGTCAGGCATCGTATACAGATCTATCGAGAATTCGCCGGCTTCATTCAGGTCATCCACTATTAGCACACACACATATATCAACCAAAGGCCAACAAGCGAGACAAAAGAGCAGCGCAGCGGAGACTCACCGTCGACATCACTTCTTATATAAGTATTAGGCCCCTTGTTCTCATTGATGAGCTGAATGACGCGCAGTAGGTCCTCCTCTTCAAGCTTCTCGAGAGCCTCGGCAATCTTTTCATAGTCGTACTTTTGGCCACTCTTTTTGCCACCGGCGACACCCTTCTTCCTGGGGCGGTCCTCGTCCGTGGGTAGGGGTCCTGTCTCGCGTAGGCGCTCCTGCAAGGCCTGAGACGGATTCTTGAAGACGACGTTGTGAGTGGCCTCGTACTTGGGCTCGAGAAAGTTGAGATCGTGGATGATGGGGGCGAGTTTGGTCTTTTCGGTGGTGTAGCAGTCGATGGAGATTTCGAACTCACCCCAACCCTCATTGGTGCAGGCGAACGGAGGCTTGGTGAAAGCTGAACTAGTCAGTGGCTGCTATGCGGGCGAGCTCGCGTCCAGCATCCCAGGTACGTACATTGGACGGGATTATCAAAGGTAGGGTGCAGGTTGTAGACAACCTTGGTGAAAACGTCGCCTGGGTGCTCGTTGCCGTCCTCGTCAAGTAGGAACAGACGGATGCTCCATTCTCTCATAGGGAATTCAGCGACAGGAGAAGGCTTATCACTGCGCGCAGAAAATGAAGAAGGTTCAGTCAGCGACACTCTAAACAGCGATAAGAGGCTGCCATGGTCCTAATTGGACGCTCAAAGAGGTTTTCGGCCAAGAAAAAGCTCATGGCTGAGTTGCGGGCATGGACGATGGAAGCTCACATGACATGTTGGTCGGTGACGACCTTGACTTTTCTCTGTAAATCGTTAGGACCGACTTTCACTGGAGTGCGCTGCACAGGAACGACCTGCACAGGTGCAGGCGGTGGTGGTTGTATGTTTCTTTTGGTGCGAGGATTGGCGGAAGCTGCGCGATTCTTGCGTGGTGCCATGATGGCGCGACTTTGCCATGGACCAGCAGATGCAGCAAGGGCAGAAGAAGCCAAGAATCACGCGATTATTGGGGTGTAAAGGATAGTATTCGGGTGAAAGAAAGACTGTTCAGCAGCAAACAGAGAGCAAACGGCGATGCGAATGATGCGTAGCAAAGCTTGGCGGAAAGAAGACGAGAGCTGCAATGATGACAGCGACGGGATGGGAAGGATAACAAGGATCTTCAACGAGGGACCAGCGGCGATGTTTACACGATGAAAAGGGATCCAGTCAAAAAGGTGAAAAAAAGAGTGCTGCACATGCTGGGCTGGGCGGGTGATGGCCTTCACTCACACAAACAGTGTACAGCATGGTGAGGTGCGGCAGCGGCAACCACTCCTGGCAGCTGGCAGCCGCGGAGGCTCGCCAGCTGGCGACAAGTACGAGCCGCCCGGCCAATCATTGTGAATGAAACAGTGCAGAGATGGGTTGGGATGTATATGAAGATGAAAGCCGGGCAAACCAGGGCGAAGTCAAATTGTGCGGCAAAGCTGAGAGCGCAGAAAAAAAAAACATCACAGGCGGCGCTGTGTGTTGTGGTGCGAGGCAGCAACGGGGTGTAATGAAAGGGGCCATTGCAAACGAGGTGCAGCAAGGGCACTAATACCCAGGGCAGTAGCCAAAGCACACGGGTGGTAAACAGGAACAATAGACAATGTAAAGAAAATTTGAATAATACTTACTTCCACCAACATGATTGCGTATGTGCGTGTGTCCGCCTTGCGTGTTGTCGCGACAAGATCGATCTCACGAATTAGAATAGAAAAGAGCAAGACAACCAAGCAAAGAAAGCAAAACAGAAAGAAAGAAAAGCCCAAGAGTGACTCCCAGAATAAAGATGCGACGATGAAATAGCGATGAGTGATGGAAGACGAGAAAGCACGGGAAGATGATCTATCCAAGGGTATGAGAATAGCAGATGGGAGAAAAAGAGAAGAGGCAAAAAGAGTACCGGGGATTTTCGTTTTCGGCAAGGCGTGGGCACACTGGCAGGCAGAGACGAGTGCGAGAGCGAGCAGAAACGGGGAGCGAGAAGGAAAAATTGGCAGCGGCGGCGGGAGAGAGGGGACTTGACGGGCTGGCAATTAGTAGACTGACCATGGTAAGGTACGGCTACAGTCAACAGACCTTGCTTGCATTGCCACTGTCAAGTCTCTAAAAAGGTACCTACAGAGGGCACTCCAGCTCGCTGCTGGTTAGGTACACCCACTGTAACTTAGCTGCTGGCCGCTTCTACTTACCGGAACAACGGCATAACTCGGAAAACATCTACACCTAGTTTACTCTCTCAAAATATTCTCAAATAAATACACAACCTCAACAACTCCTTGGGGAAACCCTTGATTTTCACTTCTTCTTGTTTACATGCATCATCTGCTATCCCTTTGTGCTTGCTTGTTTGCTCCATTCCATTTCCGCGCCAGTGCTGAGCCTTCCCCCAGCCCCAGAGGTAGGTACCTCACAACCTCTGCCACGACTCCACGACTCGCGAACCCACTTCGCTGCCCATTTTCGCCCTTGTTTCTTTTTTTTCTATGCGTTTCTACTACCACGGGCCTAACCGCTCGTCCCTGTTCATGTTTTATAATAAAGCCCCAATGACCAGTGAAAAGCATCATGCAAAACGTCCTCTCTTACGAAGGGATCAAACAAATGCTTCGAAAAATACCAGTATTTCTGCCGCCCAGAGCCATTCTAACCAGGTAATGGTGCCACATAGTACTATTAGTAGGTACCTACCCACCTACTCTGCCCTCGCAGACCCTCGTCCGCCCTTGCCATCTCTCCCTCGACTCGACCAAAACAATGACTCCCATCTAACTATTCTCCGTTTTACACATCAGTCATAGATACAACTTGACCAACACAGTTCTCTTTGATTGATACGGGCCATTTTCGAGCGCGGAACCACCATGTACTGTTGGTCAGTAATCCCGCTTCCTCAAAACATATTCAAGCTTCCTCATGACGACTACAAAATGGCTGTTTATCTTGAATACTCATCCTCCCATGACATACACTCCAAGTCACCGCCATAGCGTATCCAATTATTTATTTTAATTGTATTGTGATGTGACTTGTGCGCTCAATGCTACATGCCCTCCTCGTTTCCTCTGCTCCCACTATAGACTCCTGCCAGTGCAATAGCTACCTCGCGTGCGTCTCTCTCCTGCTCATCCTTGAGGAGTAGTCATTATTGGGTATATCCACCACCGCCAATTCGGCGGTAGGATCGGTTGATGATGTGATGTGATGCTTTCTAGGGGTATGTCTTGCTCGGACACCATTCCACTACCTGGGCATGGTTCCTTTCCAACCTGTTGCTCTCCTCTTACTTTGCCTCACCTCGAGGCCGTCATAACAGACTTTGTTTTTCTTTCGGAATCACGACCTTTCATAGGTAAGCGCTATATAAACGGACCCAAGTAAACTCATTATTGGAGTCTTAGGCAGTGGCCTCGGCTTCGGCCTGGTTGAAGAGCTCCTCATTCTCCTTCTGGGCCTTGAGGAAGGCGTCCTTGAACTCATTGGCATTGTCCGAGTTCGCGAAGCGAATAGCCAGGGTCACCGCTTCAGGCTCGCCCTCGCTGACGTCGGCAGCTGCGTTCCATACCCAAGAGCGATCCGAGCCGACGTTGGGAGCCAGCTTCATGTCGGGCACGACTGTTTTTCTTCGTTAGATCTGTGGATCATGTGCAACCTATCTTATCTTGACTTACTGTAGTGGTTGGCGCAGACTTTGAGCGTCTTATCACGACGCATCACCAGGCGCGTACGGCCATTCTCCTTGTGCTTAAGCAGACGGACATCGCCGGTGCCACGCTCCTTCCACTCGTTGGACTCCTTGATGAAGCGGAAGAGCTTAGCGCGCATCTTGAAAAGCTGTTCCTCAGACTCCTCGTTGGTCTTGGTCTCGACCTTCTCCGTCAGTTTGATGACGGGCTCAAAGTGAACGTCCTCGCTTTCAGGAGCCTCCTCTTCGCCCTCAGCCTTGGCGGCATCGCGCTGGGCCTTGGCGCTGCCAGAGTTGTCGCCACGGTCTTCATCATCCTTCTTCTCCTTCTTGGCGCCGCCACCAAACATGGAGAAGACGGCGGAGGAGGTGACTGGCACATCTTCCTTGGTCTCAGTCTCAGTGGCAGCGGGCTCCTCGGCCGCCGCAGGCTCGGTAGCTGTAGGCTCCGACAAGGTAGCCTCAGCCTCGGTAGCCTCAGCAGTGTTGGGCTCGGTGCCAGTGGCCTCGGTGGCCGTAGTTTCGCCCGTAGTCTGGTGAAAATTATATAGTTAGCAAACTGCGCATAGCACCTAGATTTCTTAGCCGCACAAGAATCTTCTTGCTCTCTTCCTGTGTCCCAACTGTTCAACAGCCACACCGTTACCCCCACCACCAACGGGAAAATTGCAGTATCCACGCTCATACCTCGAAGGCCTCGAAAGGCTTGGTCTCCTCGACCTTGGGTTCGCTAGCTTCGAAAGTCGACATTTTGCTCGATGCGTACGATGACTCGATAGAATGAACGTTACAAGAAAATCTATTGTAGGGAAGAAAAAAGAACCGTTAGCCTCGACTGCTCATCATTAATGCCCACCGCAACTCCCAGGCAGCCCCTCTCTGCCCGCCGCTAGACGCCAGGTACGAAGAGAGGGGTGGAAAGCTTGTGATGGAGGGGAGAGGGTCATGGCCCAGGCCATGTCAGGCCGGCACTCAGAACATACTTTGAAGAATAAATGAGTTCAAGGTCGGCCCGTGATGCAATATCCTGCTTCTTCTTGTATGGCTCGAGAGACAAAGACTTGGGGAGGGTCCGAGTGCCAGATGCAAAACTGGTAGGTAGTACTGTTGTTGTTGTAAATTACAAGTGCGGGCTAGTAAAAAACGAGCGAGCATTGCCCCTCATTTCGCCCCTTCCCTACAGCGGCCCAGGTGGCGGCGCGGAGCACAAACCCAACCCCAAGCCCTGCCTGGCACTGGTTGGGGCATGCCTGCCTCGCCACGTACCAGGTAAGGTAGGTACCTACCTAGGTAGTCGATGTACCCTTCATAGTGAATAGACTGAAGAAATACCTTGATGCCCACTGCCGCCTGTATCACGGTGATGCGTGCAAACCTCACAGCCCAAAGTGCCACAACGTAGCAGCAGTGCTACCCCGCGCCCCGTACTGGAAACGAGAGAGAAACTCGAAGCATCAAAGAGTCAGATTTTTTTGTAGAAAACACGAATGGTATAGTTCTTCAAATTAAATCTCTAAGCCTTAGCCATTCCACTACCGGCGACCAAATGGTTGAAGGTCCCACGCCTGACGAAACAGAAACAAAAAGCAAAAAACTATCCGGATAAGCAACCTAATTAAAAAGAACCCTTTAACTCCTGTATACCATGCGTGTTCAGTATCTGATTGTATTGCGTCACAGACATAGTCAAATCCAAAGCGACTACCGCCTAGAACCTGCCGAACCTCCACAAAATCCTGTATCGTAACAAGCCGCCAAGTTGAGCATCCTAGGCCCTTGCTTTCATGCCTGACGACTGGAGTTTTTGTAGAAGCTCCTTAGCTGATTTTCTCTTGTTCTGTAGGTACACTTGCGCTTTGCTCGCGTAAGTCCGGTACTCATCGTCCTTGCCTTGAAATTTAAGCCACCACATGCGGGCCGACACTTGCGCATCCAATAGCCCAAGTCGGAGCTGCGTTTGAGCGTTGCGTACTGAATAAATCGACTTGCGGTACTTTTCTGGAATGTCGGTGTTTTCACGAAGGAGCTCGAGAGTCTCTCGCCAAATTTGGGAAACAGAATTGACTAGGGGGCGGGCGGTGCCAATGTTCGCATTGATAAGCAGATCCTGCGCTCTTTCAGTCCCAACCAGCCATGCATGGGCGAATGATTCCGAGGCGTGTTCAAGAACACGTCCAGCTCCAGCAAGACATCGTCCCGCCTCGTGCGCCGCAACAGGGACCAGCTCCGACAGATCTTGGGCCAGGCTTTTGGTCCTCTCAAAGGCGTCCACTATGATGCCCTTGCCAAAGTGTACCTTGATGGCCTTTTCTATCTTAGGGCGGCATTTGCTCTTGACGGAGAGGTTCACAACGCCGTAGGCTTCTCGGCGAGGAAACCTGACAAGGATGCCATCCTCAACGGCAAAGAGCGAAAACTCGAGCTCCTGCGTGCTTCTTAATACTGTGACATTGAGACAGCTCTTTGACATCCAAGTATCTCTGACATCCCGCGCAACGTGGATCAAGACATCGTTCTTGCCATGAGGCGTAAAAGAAACAGTCGGTTTCCGTGAGCGAAAGAGGCCTTCATCTGGCGAACCTTGTAACGGGATCAACGCAACTCCAGAAGTAGATGAGCTGGGGGGCGTTATGTTTGGCTGCTGGCTCTGCGTAAACGATGGAAAAAACGGAGTCTTTGCGATAGTTGACGTAATGCTAGACACATTTGGCTGTGAGACGTTCTCAGTCCCGGGGACGACTGTGTGGAATACTAAAGCCACAGCAATGAGAGTTAACAAGCCGGGCAGCGCCGCAAATACCAATTGAGCGATAGAGTCAGACACGCCATAAGTCCATAAGAGCCACCCAGTGGGGAATCTTGCTTTGAAAGATTCATCTTGAGGACCAATGTATCGGCTGGCCTCGGGCGTGAGGATCGAAGGTGTACGCAGGCTATTATCTGCATATTCTAGGGAAGCTCTGGAGGAGTTATCGTCATCGTCCGCATCATCTGCGGTGATGGGGTGCTGCATTTGAAGATAATCAAGCCCTGGACTGCGACTGAGAAAAGTCTCCTCGTGGGCATCAGCGACGGACTCTTCATCGCAGGTGTGCTCTGTGCCTGCGAGGCTGACAACGTCATCTGGACGATGGAACTCAAGCGATCCTACCGATTCGCTGATGTTGTCCGTGTAGTTGCCGTCCTGAGACTCGCTGTCGGTGCACCCTATTAACTCGTAGGTGGACTCGGACAAACCGGCATCCTCGACCTGGGCGCTCGTCACATGCATGATGTCTGGATCGCTGCTAGAGATCCAGTGGGCAAGGCTTTGGTTGCCCTGCGGTCGGGGAAATCGGAGAGTAGGTTCGGAGAAGGATAGCGGGGGATCTTGGGAATCTTGGGAATCTTGGGAGTCTTGCTGCAACGACGGTCTCGGCAGGGGAGAAAAAATCTGCGTGTCGCGACGAGTTTTAAGAGACGGCGAAGTCGACGGGATCGGAGTATTCTGCTGTCCCATATCGAAGAAACAAGTCAGCAGGGTAAAGTCAGCGGATGGTGGCCATGCAGAAGTGCATGGGCTTACACGACCGCAGCAGCTGAAGGAGGATTGCAGGTGCGGGCAACACTGACCACCATGTAGACAGCGCGATGGAGGTTGGGAAGGGAAACAGGCGAGGCAAGAGTTTTTAAAGAAATGACAAAGCACTAGGCTAATCCAGAATGTTGTGTTGAGTCTGGGGCGTTGACTGTGCGGCTGTTTGTAACCTGATGCTGCCTGATGGCGATGAGGTGGGGTTGACGCCTGGTAGTTGTATAGGCCAGAGAGCGAGAGCCGGCTTTCGGACAAGTCGGTGATATAGCGTATTTGCGTTCTGTTGCAGAGGAAGTAGGCCAATATGATTTGAGAATCTTATCTTCGTCGGTATCTGGTCGTTGGTCGTCTGGGGAGAAGGGTGTTACGCGGGCTGGAATGAGGCGAAGCCGGTGCGAGCGTGAATAGTTGCTAGAAGGCGTACACTGGCAGCCAAAACTTGTACGAGTGGTAGCGGGGAGCAAAGTGAGAAGCTTACGGTGGATGATTCTCTCAAAAGCAGAAATCAAAAAGGTGCAAGCGTAAGAGGAGAAGAGCAAGATGGAAGAAACGTTTCAGGCTGCATGCATTCACCTTGGAAGGTGGGATGGAATGCATACATGGAGAAAGTATGGTCAATTGTACCAAGCAGAGCGCGACTGCGGGCTACGCAATGCGGTTTCACACTGTAAGTACCGCGGGTAGGTGGGGGGATCGCAGCCAACAGCGAGTACCGAAAAGGAAGTCCAACAGTATGGCACACACTGTACGACAACTACACTTGACAACGCGCCAGCCCCCGCCGCTGTCAGGCGCTGTTATTCGCTGAGGGCGCCGATAGTGCAGAACAACCCCTCGCCCAAATATAGGCCACATGACGGGATGCATGGATAAGACTCGACCGGAGTTTGGCTGCAAAACCGAGAGCTAGCAAGGTTAGATTTAGAGGATGCGCTTGTTGCCTGGAGGGGTCAAAACAGACAGCTACGTTGATATTGACTGCACTAATAAAGCAGCGCATCCTGAGAGTCATGGGCACATGCACAAGTCGAGAATTCCCGATCCAAAATCTGAGGAACAGAACATTTCCCTTATTCCATTCTAAGGCTGGCATTGAACTGATGACGTTTCATGGCTCAAGAATGTCACTGCCGCCTCACAGTGGATCCAGAAGCGCTGCGGGGTCACCAAGACGGCGGCCGCGCTGAGCTGTCCACTGGCACACTGGTCGTCCACTGCCCCTCCATCTCTCGCCCTTTTTTACCGAATTATTGGCTTGGTTAGAGTGCCTTAGACACATCACAGTTCATCACACGACTCTTTTCTGACTAGTATACCCTGCTAGACCGAAGCCAGCGCACCAGCCATGTAAATGGACACATCTTGGGCATTGGATGATATAAGGTGATTGAAATCCCTCGTTTGAGGGCCCGTGTTTTCTAGCCATAGTGACCGGATCTCAAAACAGGCTGACACCTCCTCCGTGGACGACTAAAAAAGAAGAACGAAAAAGAGATGGCCGTGAGATACAACAGACCCCGAAAACAGATAATCCATATGTACAATTGAAATCCCATGCTGCCCCATATTATGCGGAAAACAAGTCTCTACAGCCTCACGGACTGAACCGTTTGAGTGACCAACAGAAAAAGCAAATTTGAAGCAAGGTAGGCAGCGTTGCCAGTATCCGCAGTCTCATAAATGCAACATTGTGTATCGCAGAACAATCAAAACGGATGTGAGTTTGGAGGAAAAGAAAAAGAAAGAGAAAGAAAGTCGGAGTAGCTTGTCAAAAGACCTGCCTCCATCGGGCTGCAATAAAGGCGCACATTGCGCAGGGGTATCGTTACATGTAGCGTCATGCTGAGCAGCAGACCGGTCTACTCAGTGTCTGCGTCGATCGACAACACATTGGAAGAAGAGACTGGTCTGCAAAGGATCGAAAGAAGAACAAGAAAATGCATCGCTTACAGCACCCGGTGCTGCTGAAGGATTCTTTTGAGAGAGGCCGAATCGAAGCTATCGTCGTCTGGCATCATCTCAATGATGCCCGTCATGTTGGCCACCAGATCACCTTGGTTGCGATAGGCCAGTAGTGAAGGTACGGCTGCCGGATCAAATTCAATGTCGTCGTAGTGGACCTTGACAAAATGCGTTGTCGGATTTGCGCGTACCAAAGGCATGAGAGCATCTTCGATTGTCGCTGATACCTCGCACTATATTTGCACTTGATATTAGTGACCGTAGTCATCGTGAATAAGTAGGCGCAATTAGGTGTGCGTCTGCTTACCTCATTGTCATGCACAAAAACAAGTACCGTCGTTTCACGGTTGACTTTTTCAATAGCGTCGAGGTAGCCCATGGCATCTACCTCGTCCAAGCGGCCATAGATGCGCACACTTGGGCTCGTTCTTCTCGTACGTACGGCGCGGTTGGCGGCACTCTCGAGCTCCCGCCGGCGACTCTCGCGCCACTCGCTCAGGAACTCGTCGTCAGAATGACTCTTGGCGTCGTCGTCTGTATCGCTGTCGGATCGAGCGCCGCCAGTGATGGTAACGCTGTTGCCGGTGGAGGGGGCGACACCAGCGAAGCCGAGGATGCTTCGACGGGCGCTGCGGGCACGATCGATCCATTTGGTCTTGCGCGCGGCCTCGTAGCTGCGAGCATCGGCAATGACACCTTTGACACCGGTGAAGCGTCCGCTGTCAAATGAAGCAGGAGGGAGCTTGAGCTCTGACGAAGCGGTGGGCATGCGCATGTTGGCGTCAATCTGGGCGTTTCGATATGTCTCCTCCTCGCTGAGGTCCTGGTCAGACTCGTTGTTGTCGTGCTTGTCTTCGGGATGTGTTGCGGCACGAGCAGTATGATTAGACACAAGCTGGTTGAATTCGTCTTGGGCGGCCGTGGTTGGAGCCATATGGGTGACAGAACGATAGACTCTCCGGAAGAGAGCCTGCGAGAGCCGGGATGGGCGGATATATAAAGTATTCAGACGTGACTGGGTCGGGGGTGTGTGGCTACACCGAGTCAACCAAGGTATGTAGATCCTGTGGGAGTGCGACAGCAACCGGAAGTGCTCGAGGTGGGCTAGCCTTATCCGGGGCCTGCGGTGCGTCAAGAGTAATATGTCGAGAGAAAGTAGCTAAAAGGCCTAGGGTACAATGCATAGGTGAGCGGGAGACAGCGTGACAGGACGAGCCAAGCAGGAAAGCAGCTGCGAGTCGGCGCGCCGGCGCAGAATGAAGCTGAGGAAGCAGGGCACGGAAGTGCGTTGAGAATGAGAGCGTGTTGTGGTGGAGTAACTAAACTGACAGGGCAGAGCACAGCGAGGAGGTGGGGGGAGGGGTGTGGCTTGGGGGGTGCCGGCGTCTCACTGTGCTGAAGCGCACGCGTGAGGGGCGCGGTGGGAAGATGAAAAAAAAAAGAAGAAAGGAAATGAAGCCGGGCGCTTGATAGCTTCGGAGAACAGAGATATCTTGACGAAGACAAATCTTTCGGGTTTTGTTCTGTTCTATTGCAGTCATTTATTGTTGGCGTTTGTGGTCTGTCGAATCCGCACTGCAGACGAGGCACGAGACTGACAAACGCAACGGCTTTGCACGACAAGGCGCTTCTTTTGCAGTGGCTGGCGTTGCGTTACAGCGGGCAGTTGCCAGTGAGTGACTCGCAGGCGTGGCTTATTATATTATTAATAGGGGTTGCGAGGATCCGTAGCGCCACACGCACACATGCACCCGCCACGCTACTGAGCCTGACATTCATTTGCATGTCCAGCTCAATGTTTCGACCTGCAGCTCCCAAAGATGCAAACGGCACTTGTCAAGACCAGCAAGATTGCCCCCCTTTTGTCCATGTTGCAAGCCAAGCCATAAAAAACACAACAGTTGACCAGTAATATCGAAACTCGGGTCAATGACCGCATGGCCCTCCACCTTCGAAACAAGCATGTGCATATCGGTAGGCTTGGCTAACTATGTAGGTTGCGGCGTCGTAACTAGCCCAGTTTGCCCAGGTAAGGTACTCTTCTCCCAAGTAGATGGGCGCTCCGGGGTAAGAATCCAACATCATCCGAACCAGATTGCGGCTCCCCCCTCGTGAATATCTCGTCCGGAATGCGACTTATTCTGATCAAACCATTGAGCCGCAGGCTGCCAGTGAGGTGAGGACTACCGCGGGAAACACAACCAGCATCACAAACCAGGACCCGTCGCTTGCAGCAACCCGCAACCACACAACAATGCACGCCCCGTTGTCCTTGCTTGCTTGGCTTCTAGAAGGATGCGAGCAGACGAACCACAGATTTTGCCGTGACATATCGCGCGTTGGCCATGCTATCATATCTCGCCTTTGCCGTTGGCCGGGGTCTCTGACAGACGCTCGCGCCAGTCCCGTCACATAAAGGGCAAAAATCTATAAGCAACACCATAAGTAGGCCCAACCCTTTGCTATCGGACACCCTATCACCAAGCACTATGCGCATTGTTCTGTCATTGTTCTATCATTGTTCAATCATTGCCCGTCCGGCCCAGGCGGGCCATATGCTACATCGTCTCAAGCACAACTCACCAGAGACCCAGCATCTGGTCTAGCCTGCAGAACGCCATGGTCCAGCTGCACGAGAGCCCAAAAACAACGTGGCTTTCCAAATTGCCATCATCCACCCCGGCAGCTCACGGATGCAGCCGATGGCCCAAGTCTGTCATGCATGAATCTTGACCGGAGTTGGGCAGCGTCTTCTTTCGATGTCATTCAGGACCAGGAGTCGCGCATCCGGCGCCATGGCCACATTCACCGCTTTGTATAACGCTCTTACCATGTGGGCGCAGACGGACGCCACGTCAATACTCCTCGATGCTCGTGAAAGGGGGGCGGGCACAGGATTGCCGTTTCTCAAGTCCTGAAAGTTCCTCCAAAAAAACACTGCTGATTGTGCGGTGACATTTGGGCCGTCTGACTGCTGATCTAGGCTGGTTTTTTCATCAATTGACGACGAAGTTAGGCCACCACGACAATTTCAAGCCACCAGATGGCGGTCGAATAACTCACTGCCAAACTGCCTATTTGGAGTTTCCCCTGCGCACGCCACGAGGATCTACAACTAATTCCAACGGCAAAAGAAGCCATTGCCGCACGTGAAATTGAAGCGCTCAGCCTCACCACCGCGTTGGTGCTGGCTTGTGGCGCAGGTGTTTCAGGCTCCGGCTCTGTGCGTTTCAGCTAGCCTTTCACCCCAGGGGGTGTCCAGCACATGAACAACTTTTGTCATGAGCATACGAAGTACTGAATAAATCATAATGATATTATGTGTTGCCGAGTCCCGTTTTCGGAGGACATACTCTTTTCAGGGACGACGTCACACGATGCAACGACTGACGCGGTTGACTATGCAATTGTCGACTAATGATATATATGCCAACTCCTGCGGAAGTGAGGCAAAGGACACATGCTTCCCTTCATTTCGTGTCCGACAACTCAAAGTTACATGAGTCGGTTCCTCGTTTTTACACAGAGTCAAGAAACCGCGAGGCACACAGCCCACACACTTCTGAGGTTCTAAGAAGACAGTTTCAATATGCCTCCTCGTCATTCTCTGCGTGGTGCGCCTTCTGAAGCGCTTTTATGTAAGTCTCCGTCTCCTCCAGCCACCTGTCCATGTCTCGATGCTTGCATTTTTCAGTAGAAGACGTTGTCAAAGACGGCATGTCGGGGTGGCGCTCGCTGAACATGGACTGTATGTTGCGTGTTGAACAGATTTGTAACTTGCTTTCGGGATTTTCATGGCTTCGAAGATCAAGAAGCTGCCTCCGTACTGCAAGTACATCTTACAAAACAGCCAGCCCTACTTGCCTTGTCGAGTCATGCCTCTTCACTTCTTCAACTAAATACATACACAGCCAGATATCCTTTGATGGGCCGCCTCGTACTGCCCAAGGTGGGCAGGCTTATTGAGTCCGTTAACAGCCTTATGACGTGAGCTAATTTTGTAGAGGATCTGTATCTGCGCTGACAAGGTGTGCGTCCACTGAAACTCGATGATGTAGTTAATGCTATAGGGCTTGTCGAAAAAAAAAATGCTATTCGTGTCGCCAAGGTCAATAACAAAGACCCTGCCGCAAGTTTGCGTCGATACAGTCGTGCGCCGTGGCTCGCAGCCTAGTAACATCAAGTGGCCATTTGGCGCCGGCCGTCCTCAACGTCGAGTGCGGATTTGTTAGGCTGTTGCCGGAGCTTGGCGTCCTGGAGTGATTAAAAAATCGTGACTCTACTTTACTTAAAGTCGGTATATCGGCGACGGATCTGCCAAGAGACCCCTTTATTCTCCACCATGTGCTTTTAGAGGCTCAATACCCTGCTTCAAAGATTGAGTATATTTTTACTGGAGAGACGGCGCGCGCCCGATGTGTGGCTGCGGGATGGCATTCATTAACTGTGTGACGTGGGTCAGTCGCGGGAAATATTGCTCCTTGAAGTTTCATCTTGCCAATGCATATGTCAGTACACGGCCAGAACCTTTTGCCTTGGGCCTCGCTAATGAAAAGGAATCCTGAGTCGAGGCCATGGCGGATCAAAGGCTGCGCATGCTTAAACTGCCACGACATACTCGAGGCCACCGAGGATTCTGTTCTGTGGAAATGTCAGCATAGGTGGGCCAAGTCTTCGACAGTTGGGGACTTTGGGCCGTCTTGCGATGGAGCCATTGACGCAGCCCAAAGGCCATCCAAATGCCCGAATCAGTTTCTTCCGAGCAATGCTCCTTGCAGCTAAACTAGAGATGAGTCGTAAATCTCTGCCCGCAGCTTCCTAGTCCGCGTTCTCGGGGGGGCATGCCTTTCGTGGCTCGCCGATGCGATGCGATGCGATGCACCAAAATGGAAAAATAAGGCGCAAAATAACTTGAACGTCTTGCGACGAGAAATGCAAGTGCGGACAAGAATAGCGAGGCGGACGCTGGAAGCTACCGCCACCGCCCAGAAGCTCCGCTCAAGACGATGAGAGCACACAGGACGCACCGAGCAGAGCGCGAATCATGGCCTGCAAACGAGTCTCGTTGTCTTTGTGCAGTCATGGACGCGTAGACTTGCTGCGAAGGAAGCACATCAACACCCAGCTTTGTTCCCTGGTTCGGGCCCCTCTCTCGCTTTTCTCTCGCTCTCTCTCTGGTGTCTTGATTGAGATCTGGCAGCGTTGGGCTCGTCGAGTTGGGCAAGCGTATGGACACGATGCGGGCGTGTTTTTACTGCCAAAAAGGCTTGATGGGTCAGTTGGTCAGTACTACCCCCAAGCCTGCCTGTCTGTCTCTCCATGTCATTATTAGATCTTCAGCCCGCACGTTGTTGTTTTCTTCAGGTGATGCATTTGTCGACACCAGGTCAGTGACTTGGGGTGGTGGAAGCAAAAAGTCAAACTACAACTCATTTTGATACAATTTTCCAACGTGTCGAGGCAATCGGCGTCTGTGGCATCTCTAGTATTTTGGTAAGGTTGTTCTAGTAAACTCTGTAGGGCCCAGACACCACCTTTTGAGAACGCTGCTGGCGTTGACTGGCAAAGCAAGCAGCGCAAAGTAGATTGTTCTTGTTGAGGGAGAGGGCCCTTTACCAGGTCACACTGGACCTGCTCCCTGTCTTACGCAGCCAACCGAGCATGCACAAAATATTGATAATCTCAGTATATCATCTCCCTGAATTGGCTTTGACTTTTGGTATAGCTGGCCATCCTCCCTCCCGCTCGATCGTCCTCCTCGAAATCAGAGAAAAGAAACTAGATAAATAAAAAAGAGGCAAGGCCCACGAACACAGAGATATTGCCGAGATTCTTCCTCCGTCTCCGGCAGAAAACAGTGAATCAAAGCAAAGAAATTACCCCTCCATACACATTAAAAAACTCATTCTCCTTTCCTTTTCTCTCTTCTCATCTCTTCCCTTTCTTTCTTCTTCGGAGAGAGTGCGTAGGCCTTTACTGACAGCAACATAGAAGAAGGGTAGTTCGTCCAAGTAATACAGATCGCTCAAGCGATCCCCCACGGGTAGCAGAAGATGGCAACGATTCGGATTGTGTGTGCAAGAGGGGCCCAGGGGAGAGGAATTGAGATAAAAGGGTGCTTGTGGGATGCGGACGCTGTGCAAGAAAAAACAAAGACTCATTGTATAGAGCGGCAAGTACAATTGCACAGGATAAGTTCTTTTTAAACAAGACCGAGAAGCTCAACCGCAAGGAATAGAGACGAGAAACAAGAAAAGGAAAAAGGACCAGCAAAGCAAACAGAGAGTGACCAGAAAAGGCAAAAGAAAAAGAGACCAAACAAAATAAAGAAAATAGAGGACACAAGGGCAAAAAAAAGTCCATGGTAAAATGAGGTATCAATCGCATCCGTCCGCTTCTGCAACTCGAAACTCAATGTGCCGAGCATGCAACTGTTTTGTTGCGCTGAAGAGTACAAGTGCCCCTGATATGCCTCATCATCCGGTTCAAGTAGATATATAATGTACGTGTCGTCACATCGTGCAGTGTACGCCAGCAAGCCTCATCTTGCTCTCTCGCTTCCGCATACCGTCAATTCGTGTCGTGTCGTCTGCAGTCCAGCCGGTCGGTGTAGTCGTCGAGCGGCTCGCGCATGACCAGTGCGCCGCTGCGCACGCCGAATTGTCACGGTATCGAAACAGAGAATCTCTCCACAAATCGGCTAGATTTAGTAGGCCCAAATTTTGAGCTGAGTGGGGGTCAGCATTCCTGTGTACAACAAGCGCAGATCGATGTTACGTACCAGAGAATCCCATGAACCTGTGCACAGGCTGACGCCGTCGTTGCTGACGCCCAGACAGCTGACGCGGTTCTCGTGGCCGACCAAAGAGCCGACCTTATCACCTCGCGTAACATCCCAAACCTGCAAATGTGAGTATTTTGACTGTTTGGATTCGATTGGACTTTTGCGCACCTTGCATTCGTAGTCATCGTAGCCAGCAAACAATAAACGGCCGGAAACGGACGTGGCAACCGAAGTAATGCCGCAGAGAATGGATTCAGACTATGACCAAGGTTAGCAGGGCGAAAAGCGGAAATTGGGTACTTGAGACGTACGCCGTAGACGTTGAGCTCGCGGTCGGCTCGAATGTCAAAGAGTCGGCAAGTGGCGTCGTCGGAGCCAGTCACAAAGGAGTGGCCGTCGGGGAAGAACTGAATGGCGTTGATGTCGGACTCGTGGCCGGCAAAGGTCTGGACGGCCTTGCCAGCGCGAATATCCCAGAGCTTGGCAAAGGCATCGCAGGCACCGGAGATGAAGGTGTTTTGGTTGGTTGGGTTGAGGCTGATGCTCATGACATCGCCGAGATGGTCGGCAAACTCTGTGATGCGCTGGCCGGTCTCAATGTCCCACTTGATGCAGGTCATGTCGCCAGACGAGGTAAGGATGCTGCGATCGTTGATGAAGCGGCAGCAGGAGAGGTAGCCGGCGTGGCCAGAGAGCTCGCGGGCGACGCGCGTGGGACCGTCGCGCTGCTGGTTGAGATTGTATATGGAGCAGATATTGTCGAGACCACCGCAGGCGACAAAGTTACCCGAGGGTGCGTAGGCGCAGGTCATTACCCAGGAGGAGCGGAGGGGAATGGCGTGGACCTTGTTAGTGGTATAGGCATCCCAGATGATGAGCTTGCCGTCTTGTGAAGCGGAGACGAGGTGCCGACGGTCAGTAGACCAATGCATGGCGTAGATTTTGGCAAGATGGCCCTTGAGGGTGCGCTTGGCCTTCATGAGCTGGTTCTTGGGGATGGGCTCGTGAGCCTGTTGGGCAACGGCCCGTACTGTAGACGGCACACATGGGTCAGTTTTGGTAGAGGGGTGGATATGAGGGAGGGATTTATTGAGGATGCATTGACAAGAGGGTGATGGGAGAGTGAGGCAGCAATGTTGGGGCTGGCGGCGTGGCAAGCAGCAGCTTGATGAGGCAGAATAGGAGCAGGAGCGACAGCAGTAAACGAGATGGCGAAGTGGCTGGATGTGAAGAGAACGTACGGGTGGTATCGGCCAATTCGTCCTTCTTTCTCTTGATGCGATCCTTGAGGTTCTCGGCCTCGCGGCGCGCTTGTTGGATGCGCGCCTGCATAGCCTCGGGCGAAACATCGTTTTGGCCCTGGGAATTCATGGCGATGGGCTGGGAAGCGGAGGAAAGTATCGGTTAGGGGTTTGAGCAGCGCAAGTGGACGGTGTGACGAAGATGGATTGGAAAGACCAAGGGTTGCAAGGGGGTTGGACCAACGACTCGGGGTCGCAGGATCGTCGACTTCTTTTCGTGTGGTCGAGGGTCGGGGGGCGGACGGGAGGATCGAGAGGCGTTGGTCGTCGTCAATGGGAGTCGAGATGGATTTGGATCAAGTGGAGAGCAAGCAAGCAGGAAGCGAGCGAGCGAGAGCAGACTGAGCGGCGACGGCGGCAGCAGCAGCAGCAGTAGCAGGAACAGCAAGCAGCGGGCTAAGGAGGACGAGAGGATGGACGATGAGAGAGGCTGGGCTGTGCGAGGCTAGGCTGATGGACGGTTTCTGCTGGCGGGCGTTGGAATGGGAGAAAGAAAATGTGGGGGGGGGAGGGAGAGAGGGGCCAGGCTGGCCGGTGCTTGCTGGGGAGCTGGGGCTTTTGGTGGTCGAAAGTGGACAGGCGACGGACAGTGAGAACTGAGGAAGCGCTAGCAGACAAGCTGGTGGACCAGTGGTGGTGCAGCATCATTACCTGGGTAGGTATTTCAGCAGCAGGCTTAGCATGGTGAGATAGGTACCTACAAGCGATGAGTAACTAGGCCAAAATCAGAGCACTGAGTAGGTACCTATCTAGCTAGTAGCTAATCAGGTCCGGTAGGTACCCGACCTAATCGGTTTAGTGCGGCGCACCACTCCAGGTACAGTTTCTGGGGGTTGATTCGGCTGACTTGGCTCTAGGGTGCCCACTGTGACCCGGGATAAAGGTGGATGTGGGCGAGCTAAACAG